GGCAAGTGACTCATTGTTGAATAATATAATCAGTGATTCGGAGATAACCTTTGTCAAACATAAATTAGTAATACGTAAACAGAGCGATATGAATGAGATAATGTTGTAAACGGTAAAAACTAAGCAAATAATGCGTAAAGTGAGTGTTGCCTATCTACATACGTAGTTTGATAACTTGATTAATGACCTTCATGATACCTATGCGGAAGTTTTTATAAGGTATAATTAGCATTTCAATAAACAGTTTTATATTCGGGCAGCCGGTCCGATTTAAGGTTCACAAAATAATTTTACGCTGATAGCTAAATCTCCATCCTTATTTTTTGTGCATTTCTGATCTATTATAATAAGTATAACTAGAGTTTTTTTCGCAATCTAGTTCGATGATTTTGAGTTGAATAGCCGGCTTCGGTAGATTTATTGGTATTATATTGTGAAATTTTTCAATGTTAAAGCACATAAGTAAATGAATTATATGTGCTGTACCTGGTTTATGGCAATAGGATACTCATATTCCGCTAACTTTACGCAATCACGTCGAATAAACTAATTCACGTGTTTTCCACATTTAAAAAGTTCACCTGCTTTAGTTTTATCTTCCACGACAATCGTCATTTAATTTTTATCTTATGTCTACGACTAATATTAGATACCTCGTGATTGCTTTTAGATTTTAATTTAGATAACAATATTTGTAGCATGTATTGCGGTGGTAAGTTGTGGATAGGCCACGAGGGAAATCAACCCCCTACGCCCAACAAAGCGTCAATAAAAATAATATTTTCACACCCACAAACTTACTGCTCCCCAACAATTTTGGTAACCATTCATGAAAAATACAACTTGCATAAAAATAAATCATTCATTTACATACGAAGCGTCCATAAGTCGGTGTAACAGTTCGAACACCCGTCCTAATTCCACAAACAATCAAGTTATAACGCCTGTTACATATTTAAAGGGCGACATTGTATTCGGTAAGGAATGAGAAGAGAGCCCACGCACTGACGCACGTGAGCAGACACTAGAGATTAGTTCTCTGATTACGTGACGTCGCTCCCACCCTGGGCGTTCACCATTCATTCATAGAAATTTATTGACGCCTAATACACACTTTTATCACACTGATGAACGTAAAACCGTGTATTTGAATCCATTACCAAATTACAAAAGAGAAGCCGACTGTATTGATTCTTTCGGAACACGATTTAACTTATCTGACTGAAATTAGGGCTCGCCGCGCAACAGTCCTTTAAGTCGGTTATCTTCAGTTCCGTAACAAATGTTTTTGAGGACAATTTCAACTTGTCTTCGTCACTGAACGGTTAAAACTTGTGACTGCCCACAAACATTCTTTTCTTTGTATGATAGAGATCCTGGGTGGTTTTGAAACTTAAAAAGTCATTGACATCGTCCGTGGCTTAACTCAAAATGTAAACAGTACGTAGGCAGTGTTCTGAATATATTTCGTAACAGGATTCCTCCAGGAATTTTAAGTAGCGACAGTAAAGTGCGTCCAAGATAAAAAGGATTATTAACTAATCTATTTTAGAGCTTGCTTTTGACGCAGGAAGAAGTCATTTTATTTCGACATGAAAAGATTAACCGCACTAGAAATGTGACGCAAGAGACTTGGAAGTTTTATGACCAAGAGCTACTCAACACGTAGGGTGTTAACTGTACCATCTAGAAAATTGTGACATATTTGTTAGCGAGCACGAAGCGGTAGAGACGAGTAGCAAGTCATTACTTATCTATTTGTGCGAAGAAAGCGTATATAGTATTTTATAGGAACCAATCACTAATGAAACTCACTACACTCCCTAATTTTTCGGAATACTTATTTGAATGGAGTGGACTTGACTAAACTGATATTCAAATACATAAACTCTGTCATATGTCAGTATTACATAGCATTCATTGAATATTTAACTACTTAGTAAATTTAAATTACGGCTAAATAATTTAATTCATTCATTCCTAAAATGCTGTGTCACCAAATCACCATAAAAAATTACCAGTGCTTCAGGAATGTACTTATTGTCCAGTTATCGTATTATCGTACAACTTCTCTATTGTATTACTACTTCTAAAATTACTTTTAACCACGGAATTTTCGCAACAGTAGAAGCTCTGGCATCGCAGATAAGATAAAATTAGCCTGCAGTTAAACAAAACCCTTGAAAAATACCGATGACGTACCTGTCTACTATGAAGATATGGATGACTAAATCAGACAAACAGACAGACAGATGTAACAAAGGTTAATGAAATGTATGATTAGATGACTATTAACATGGCCCGACTCCATGATTCATTCGTCAAAAATCCATACATAGGGGTGTTACTTATTTGTTCAATTAATCTAATTAGAATTTGCCCACCTACGTAAGTACCTACGTACTTATTCCGGTTAATGTCGAATATTGTGGTTTCTTTGAATTACTGTGGTTTGTTTCCCTTATAACTTGAATAATAATAATATTATTATTATTATTCAAGTACTAACACGCATTACAGTTCACTTATAAGCTTATGACTAATAAAGAGAATAAAGTCCCTTATTTAAATGCAGTCGCATTGCGCTATTTTAGGGTTTCGTCGACAACTAACTAATGTAGAAAAGGAATCCATATAATTTCGTCATTTCCGTTTGTATAGGAAAGAAGCTACTGTAAATATATCGCATTCATACATATGTAATTTGAATTCGTAAAACAAGAATACGAACTATTTATTATAACATTTTCACTGGAAATAAAAACAGTTATTTACGAAACGTATTTTAATTTCCCTCGTAATCGTGTTATTGGATACCTTGTGTGGTGTTTTATATCGAGTTAAGTATATTGCGCAAGCTGTTTACTTCCATCACGTGAATGCAATTCTGTTCACTGGCAAGTTATTCTGCCTTGAAGCAGCGAGTGTCTGATGAACGTGATCCACTGCTGGCCAAAGAATGTGCCGACTTGTCATAAGGGAATATTTTCAAGTCAAAAAAGTTTCCTTTTTTAAATTAGGAACTAAGCCGTGTCTCTGAGAATGCGTAATTTTCGCTCGTAACAGCTAATTAGTTCGAGTTTAGCATGTCATAAGTCAAAGATAGGATATCCAAAGTGCTGATGCGGATATCTAATGTCAATTAGAAATGAACAACAAAACAAACATGTTAATAATACCTACACCTATTCTATACATTGTATCAACAAGAAATAGACACAACATAATGCGGAAGTTGATTACAAGAATAATGGTCAGCAAAAAGTGACCTGAACATGACTTCATACTATTTTGTTTAGGTTTTGTAATTAAAGTAATAAAACATTATCTGTTGGGCAATTAAAATGTTTGAACAGAAATTGAGGTCATACACACTTTACTTGAATGTTTACTTTTTAATTATTATGATCATTTGGCAGCACCTGTTTCATTGAGGTTTGTAAAGTAACTGATAATTAAGATAAGGTCTTGCTTTTCATTACCTAGGTTTGGGCAGAGGTGCACAAATGTAACACCACCTTTTTATCAGTTGTATCTTATTTATTGAAATACATTGGGCACAATCCCAATAATTCCAGACAAATATGCAAATTTTTCAAAATTGCCGAAAAATAATTTTCTCAAAGCAAGTATCGGTTAAAATATGTTGCGCTTGCAGCCAGTCGACCAATGATAGGTATGAAAAGATAATTAAAGTCCCATTAATGTTAGAAACATACATTTTTAAACACATTAATGTTACCTGTTTATCAGTTGATAAGAATTTTATAGATTACGCAATTGAAAGGCAGTCACATACGAATGACTTTGGTAGATAAGATATGGAGCTTAAAATACAATTAAAACAAAAATATATTTTATTGTAGAAATCTGACAACAAACAAAGCAGTATGAGACAGCATAGTTACAGTAAATTTGTATTGTATTTGAAAATCAGGAAGGAAAGAAGATATAGATTATAGCTTGCCTAATTTTGGTCAATTATTATACTAAATTAACTAAAATTGCGGGTTACTCACCAGAATATACTGAGAAAAGCTCTACTATTATTACTATTATATTACTACAATTATTATACTAATCTAATATAGACTAACCATTATATAACATGGGACTTAATGGGACTCATAACCAATAAAAAGTGGTTGTTACAATGTACAGGAGCATTTGTCTAGCACTTCCGACTATCTAACAGTGGAATGCTGATTTGAGACGAAATAGAGGGAACTGAAATATGTTTCCCGTTGTCTCAATTTTAATTTAACCAAGTAGTTTGTACTTACTTAGCAATTTGCATTTATTTATTTATCTACTTTTAAGTTTTTATTCTTTTATACTGTGACGTGTGGTCTATAAGACACTATGCAGTTTCTTTTTAATTTATTTAAACTACTGGTAATACTGGAAGGTTGTTAAAAAGATAGCTTTGGAATCATTGAAATCTCATAGTACACACAGTATCTGTACTCACACAGATTTCATAATTCAGCTAGAATTGTTCTTTTGTAAGAGAACATTTAACAAGATTTCATATTACATAATCACAATTACTCAAATTGTAAAGGAAATGAAACACCAATGTGCTTTTCTAAATTAAGCCTAAAAGGTTTGCTATATCTTACATCGGTTTGAAATGAAATATGATTTTATAGTTATCGGTATTTTTTTTTCATTTTAGTGTGTCAAGAGTATTGTAAGAGAATTATTCAAGTGCTGGCCATGATCCCAAGGAAAATTACAATATTTTAAATATAAAACCTTTTTTCATAATTATATTCGACCTTATAATAAAATTATTACCTACATCTATTGTCTATTTGCTAAAGTCAAATTACCTGCTTTTAAAATATTCTTATAAGAAAGTAATTTATTATGATAAAGTACCAATTGTGAGCTGTTGAAAGCTTAATTATTATTAGTTATAGCCAGTACATTATTTAAGAAATTCTTTTACACAACTGAAAGTTAAAGAAAGTTGGATAAAGTTTGTTGTCACTTACCAGCAATGGTGAATCTGTCCATATAGTTGATAAGGTTGACGAAGCACAATATTCCGACAGTCATGTATTCGGTCAAGGATACTTCATTTAGATTCTCTCTTCTTCTACTCTGCTTCTCCTGCAGCAGCGCGGTCGCCGACTCATTATCACTGTTTATAACAAGCTGCTGATTCGAAGTGTTCGGGGTTATGCCACTCTGGTCCATGATGTTAAAGCAACTATACTACACACTAACGAAGATCTTCTCAAAGTACAAATCAGTTCTAACCAACTATCACTTTCAAGAACTTTGAATGCCAAAATTTTTATATCTCCGATTGAAAATGTGAACTGACCTTAATTTTAATAATACTAAAAGTTATATTATATTAAACTGAATATTATACAAATTAAATATAAAATACTGTAGAAGATAAAATATTTAGGAACTCAAATCATGATTTGACGTAACGAGCACCCGTGAGCCGTGATGACAACTCAGCGTTCGTGACGTGAATATTTTTGATTTGACTTGCAGCAACAACTTGGCAGCGCGTTTCTCGCGATGACGTTAAATTGAACGATGAATGAGAGAATGAATATATTTTGCATAAAAATCAGATAGAATTTGAGAATAAATAATAAAAAAAGTATTCACATAGTTGATCATTGAGTAAACATAACGTATTAGAAATAATATTTAGATGTATCATGCGAAATAAGAAATTGTTAGTTTAAATAAATGATGACAACCATCTCACTTAGGAATATTAGGTTTGGATATTTTGAGAGACATCTGGGAAATCAGAAGGGAAGCCCGTCTTTCGTGACTTTGAATAATAATATATCAAAATAATATCTTTTTAACCTATTATTTGACTTATGGTAATTTTCTAAGTTTTGGTCATATCACTTGGTTATCTGTGTTTGTAGATTGAATGCAGGTCAATTTACTGTCAAATCGAAAAGTCAAACCTGAAACTAGTAATCTCATTCAATTTGTTGTCAAAGTCACATTGATTGATTGTTGCTGTGTCGGCGAATCAGTAATCTCGCTCTATTTGTGAATTCTTATTTGCGAATCCAAGAAGAAAGTGTAGCACATCATTGTCGATATCATTCTAATAAATCAATACTGTTAGCATATAAGTAATTATTTAGCAGTGAAAAGTTTTTATTTAATTTACAATGAACAAGACATTATTTTTTTTAGTTTTTGTTTGCATTTCTGTAAGTTTAGCTAAGAAAGCCAACGATGAAGAAAAGCCGGATTGGGCTAAGAAGGATATAAGAGATTTCTCCGATGCTGATATGGAAAGGTAACAGTTTCTTTAGTAAAAATTCACATCAAAAGAAATGTGTGTAAGTATTATAGTAACTGTAAACAAGCTCTAGATCAGAGAAATCATCAAGTCTATTTTTCAGATTATTTGACCAATGGGAAGAAGATGAGGAACCCTTACCAGAAGATGAATTACCAGAACACCTTCGAAAACCTCCCTCAATAGATTTCACCAAGCTGGATATGTCTGACCCAGCAAATGTCTTACAAGCAACTAAAAAAGGACAAACTTTGATGATGTTTGTCTCTGTAGCGAACAAGCCCTCCAGAGCAAGGACTGAGGAACTTACAAAGATCTGGCAGACCAGTTTGTGGAGTAACCATATTCAAGTTGAAAGGTTAGTTGCAACTGCTACATAAAGTTACATCACTAAGCATCTTTTGTCAGAATGAAGTACCTACATTTTTATTGCCCCACAGGATTCTCTTGTATCATGGGTGCATTTAGAGACATACAAACTGTACTCATACCATGCATAGTTGGTTGCAAGAATCAACTTGACAACACATTGCCTTGCAGCTAGTTGCCCAACCATGCAGTCTTGCAGTAAGTCATAAGACTTATTCATTACATTCTATGTCTTGTATTTCTGTTTCAGATATCTTGTAGATGATGACAGAGCAATTTTTATGTTCAAAGATGGATCTCAGGCTTGGACTGCAAAGGAATTTCTTTTGGAACAGGAAGAACTTAAAGAGGTGCAGCTAGAAAGTCAAACTTATACAGGAAAGAAACCCGATGTTAAAAATAAGTCTCTTCGGGATGAGTTATAATAATAAGTCATTATAAGCTATATCTACAGTGAGTTTCCAGACAGCATTTATCATAATAAGAATAGCATTTTTTATATTGTTATCATTACAGTTTTATTTACAGAACTTGGAAACTGATAATTATATTATATATACTGTCTACAGAATTAATTTATACATAAGTTTAACTGTGTGAGTGAATATTTGTTTAGTGTCAATTTTTATCTGTACATTAAGGAAATTAGCTTATTTCTAAAAAGTTTGAATCTATTTTTCGCTATCAATCTTTTTTATAAATAAAATATGTGAATGTGTACAGAGTTCTTTAATTAAAAAATACAGTGATTGTGTGAGAATGTAACATTGTTGATGCAAAACAATATCTTATGATGATGATGCAAAACATTGTGATACAGAATACAGAATTAGAAAGCATCAGTTGCACGATAATGTTCTTCATCAATTGTGGAATAGATATGACCCTCGCCGCACATCCATTCAAGAATATTTCTGAAAAAAAAAAGAAAAGTAAGTAAACTTATAGCAATTTTTCTGGTCCTCAGTTCTCAAGGTTGGTGTTATAGAATGCTACTTAAGTAGAAGATGTCTACTCAAGCATAGTTAGAAACGGTTCCACATATCTAATTTTCCTGACTTCATGTTGAATGTATTTGCATCCCCATTTTAACTGTACTCAGAAGAGATCTTTGATTTAATATTATTCTGTAATTTGAAATAGGTAAGATACTTACTCAAATTCAACTTGTGACATACGATCCTTGAGGCTGCTATACATGTCTTCTTTACTGATACCCTGTTCCATTGTAGAAGCTCTTATTAGGTTGAATACCATCATTTGCCGAGGGTTGAGGCCGTTTACTGAGCCACTACTTTCAGTTACACCAACCATAGAATTTGCAGGTAAACCAGTAGCAAAGGTAGAGTTGTTGGTTTCAACTTTATCCTGTAGATAAAATAAATGTTGATTAAATTGCATAGGTACATTCTTATTTAGGTACATTATTATTCTTAGAGTATTGTAAATAAAAATGCATTTTATGTATACAAATAAATCTAAAGAGTACGTTTGAATGAGTTAATCTAATTTGAAAATTCTTTTCGTGGGTGGAGGTCTTTTGCAGGAGTAGCTAGTCTTTTATACAGATAACAGTATGTAACATGAAGATCTTGGTTTATTACTTTGAGTGTCTCTTAAGTAAGAGTTACTATTTATTTTATTAGTAGACAAAAAATACTATATTTTTAGAACTTGGTTAGATAAGAATTCTTCAATTACCTTTTTGGAATCAGATTCCATTTTGAGCCTATTTTGTATACAGTGTAAGTAGTGGAATGTGATTGCATTGACATCTGTTACAGGCATTATTTTGAAGGTCATCAGCACTTTCCTTCCTTTGTTGGTTTTCACTGTGCCATACACTTGTATGTAGTCATCCACTTGCACTTTGGGTGCAGATTTATCCTGTAAGACAAAGAATTGAATTTAAAAAATAAAATAGTTTCAGGTAGGTACCTATAGAAGAAGTATTAAATTAGGCACACATTAATGATTACCTCTTCATCAGCTGCATCTTGGTCCAGCCAAAGCACAGCTCTCATTCGTCCTGTAATATCTTGTAATGTGTATGTAATTTTAGTGCTTTGCATTCGAATGTTTCGAACTCGGGCCACAATAGAGACAATCTGGATTTCTGTGCCCCATATTTTGACCCCATCATCACCACTGTGGAGAGCTTGTCTAATTACAATTGGGGCTGTACGTGATGATCTTCGAGCCTAAATAATACAAACGGTAAGGTAAGCGTTATGTTATTTAACTTGAGTTCATAACATGTAAGTAACCTCAATAACCGATACTTACAGATTTTTGAGCCTGATTTGGTGTGTTTACGTTGCCAAATTGGTTGGGAGAGTTGAAGAAACCTCCACCAACTGCAGATTGATCTAAAAGCCGGCAAACAATGGATGGATTACAGTTACATAGGTACTCTTTGAATCCATTCGTTTATCCAATTGGATAGGTAGATGCGTTCAACAAAATAACTATAAACTGTACTTACCATTCCACATTGTATAAGTTACGAAAAGCAATGGAAAACAATCACAAGACAAGTTTTATTACACGCAAAAGGTTTCAAAAACGAATATTAGCTCTTGATTTTTGACAAGTTTCAACACGTCTTTGAAGGGCGGGAAATATTAGTTTGGAAACTTGACATCTATCTACCATCTTGCTAGAGTAAAAAAACTATTAGAGAAACTATAAAATAGGATTATTGGGAGACATAAAGATGCGTAAATATCATGTAAATATTAACCAAGATAATAACTTCAATTTTATAACAAACTTAAAATTACCGATAATACTTTAAGAGTCTGCATTGATGATGTCTGCGATGTGTAGTCGATGGTTGTTGGACTTTACAAACTGTCACCACTGTCAGTTTTGTTTGACAGTTGTTTTCAAACAATGTTGTTACCTTGTTGTTTCGTTGAATGTTTTTATTATTTGAAGACTATTAGAATAATTTAATATTTCTTATGCAGTATTATACATAATTTTAATCTTTAGTTTTCGTAGATATGTTAAAATGGCTTTTAAAACATTCCACAAGGAAAAATATTACATTACTTTTAAAAGAGGTTTCGAAGACTGCAAAAAAGACGTAACCGTAACGATTGACAAACTATTTGAAAGTGATGCACTGGTAAACTAGCCTTTTAATTAAAAACTTAGCTGCTACTGAACAACAAACAACAATATATTATTATTGTTTTAAACATGTAATTTCAGCGAATATCACTGTCTGAAGACGAGGATCCGACATTTTTGTGTGTGCTGATTATAACACGTATGGACTATGAAGATTTGAAAAAACAGCAGGGTTTACTAGTGGATTTTGATAATTTCCCGTCACAGCTTGTAAGGCTGTTACAACAATGTGCATCAAATAACATGTGAGTATGATAAACTGTGTTTAGCATTCCATAGTCTGTGGCTACACCCATGGGAGACAGGCGTAAGGCTATGTATGTATGTAGGATATAATGATACACTGGTGATAATCAGTACATATTTAGATGATATTTAAGTCAATGAGTTTGTTACAATTGAATCACACAGACCCAGAAAGTTGTTCCACCCTTAAGAATACACACTGATCAAAATTTTTTTTTTTGTAATGTTATCTTTATATTTTTCAGGTTCTTGATCATGGAACAGAAGAATCCAATTCAATATTATTTAGAAGTAGTAGAGCATAATGAATTTAAGAGACTTGTACATTTATCTCTGAAGACTGGACCTGCAACCGACAATGAGATCAAGCAGCATATGGCTAGTACTATAATACAATTAAAGGTAAGGACTAAGCAAAATTATTATTCTATTTTATTCATTTTTAGTAATGGTCATCCCACTGCAGGGCAAAGGCCTCCCTACCCTCCTTGGGAACCTAATGGGTTACCGGGGCTCCGGCTCAAAGCGCAGGAGAAGGAATGTGGTGCTTTTTAGTCAGTAAGAGTCTGACACTCCTTCTGCCTCACCCAGACGGGAGCAGTCATTCAATGATTTTCCCCCCTTAAAAAACCCTCCTTTCACTAATCTCTCCTTATAGCCTTCTGTGGTCAATCCTTTTCATAGGCGCCAGTTCATCATGCCATCACCTTCTGGGCCTAATGTGACGTCCCCTTTTCATCACCAGTTATGTTATGCGTACCATAAAATAGGGGGTGATTCTATTGCATTACAATTGTAACTTTTTATCTCTGAAATGGGTTTGCATTAGACCACCATCCTGTTCCAGACTCCATGCTATAACAGAGAAATATTCTTACCAATGATGTAATAATTTGTCACTATAATCATAACAAATAAAATTATGTATTAATTTTCGACTTAAATATTTACAGAAAATGTTATCATCATTCAAAAGCTCGGCAATGAGTAATGAAGCACAATTAAATGAGAAATGTTTGAATATGGAGAGAAAGATCCATGATTTAACACATACTGTGTCAAGAATGGAAGAAGAGAAGTTGAAATATGAAGTAGAGTTTAAGGAAACTTTAAAATTAGAGAAAGAGAAACTCTTACAGGTAAATATAAGAAAACATTTTTACTACTTACTCCTTTGGCTCGGCAACTCATAAATTATCTTGACCTGATAAAGAATTTCACACATTCCATTATAACATTTATTACTTCTCTATTTCAGGAAAAAATACTTTGGCAGCAGAATGCAGATTTAAATCTAAAAACACAGCTGACTACATATCAGGAAAATTTAAACAAGAAAGACAAACAAGCTGACGAAATTAATTCCCATTGCAGGCAATTAAAAGACAACATTGGACACCTAGAAAATCAATTAAGGTATTTTTTACCATTTATTTAATGAGTTGACAAAATTAATCCTATGTCAGCTTCTTATTGAGTGTCTAATAACTATAGTCTACAAACAACTATAATAAGTTCATCAACAGTTGATGATCGTCCACTGCAGGACTATGAGTCGCCTCTACAGAGAGGGTTTGCCATAATCTACATACTTTAGCATTAGTGACAGTAAAATCAATTAATATATTCTTGAAGTTTGTAAAACTACAGTCAATCATTTAAGTATTTTTACATTATTTTCACGTTTTCAGTGAAAAAACCCAATGCTTGAATATGTTAGAAAAGGAAGTGCAAAAATCTCACATAGAAGTAGCAACATTAAAAGCTAAAAATGCGTCGTTGGAAAGGGATATCATGGAAAAAGAGAAACAGTATCATCAATTGAACTCAAAATGTACTTATTTAGAAAAGGTATGTACATTAATAATAATATAGGTAAGTATATTAATAATATTCATTTCTGATGTTTTATGCAATTGATTCTTTAAAATAAATATATTCTTCTTTACAGACTATAAAAGATAATTCCGATGTCATAAAAGAATTAAATAGTTCTCTGCAAATAGTTAAAAAGGAAAAGGTATGTTTCTTTCGCCAATAGGCTGATTACTTGGTTTAAAAACTGAATTTGTGTATTAAATTACATTCAATGAAAGTACATTAAATTCTGATTTTTCTTTTTCGCAGTTAAGTTTGGAGGAGCGATTAGCTTTGAGTGAATCTCTTGTAAACAGAAACAATGATGCTGTCCAATCAACATCTGAACAGCTCTTGAAGGCAAATCAAATTATTTCCAAACAAAATGCTGACTTGATTGAGATGAAAGAAAAGGTGAAAAATAATATAAAAAAATAATACATTGTGTCAATAAGAATATTTTATGTATTTAACTGTTAAGGCTCGTACACTAAACTGCGAGGCGACGTCGCATCGCAAAAATGTGCGAGCTCCCTCTACGCATCAAAATCTTATCTTCCTAATAAAATCTTCTTTGTTTCTTTTTCTTGGATCTCCTAAGCAATAACAAAAGTGCACACTTCTTTTCGATCCCTGTCACGACTTAGTTTTCAATTGAAAATACGTTGGGTACGGTTGTGGGTCGGCGAAGGAATGGTCACCCTGGGAGACAAACGCCTTGTCGCACGAAATCGCATCGCAGCAATTCAGATCGTAATTTTTTGTGTTGTGAATCTGCTTCACATCGCATCGCAGTTTTGTGTACGAGCCCTTAGTTATAAATTAGTTGAATCACATTTCACATAATTTCAAAACAATATCTTCTTTCAGTTGCTATGCAGAACAGCAATAGCATTGGAACAAGAAAAAGTTATAGAACGGAATAATAATGAGATCGAAGATTTAAGTAGTAGAATCAGCAGTACTACACAGAGTATGGCAAGATTACAAAAAGAGTTAGACGATTTGAAGGAAAAGTATGACGCTAATGAGAAAGGTCTCAAAGACAGAGATGAAACTATCAAGAATAACAATATGGGTAAGATGAGGCTTTCATTAAATTTAAAAAACATAACCTCAGGCCTTTTAATCTCTGTAAGGCTAGGCACGGTCGCACATGTACAATACAACACCCACTTTTCACTGTTATGTATCTTTAAAACCTTGTGATTAATATTTTTATGATAATTGACAATCGCAAACTTTCCAAGCAACATCTTCAAGCCAAACTGACCCTGTATATAAAAAAAAAATATCGGTTTCAGTGATCCAATGGCTTCACAAAAAATTGGATAACATGGAACCATCTGATTCAGGGCCAACCAAAAGGCTAGGCATACAAGCAGCCACTAGTTCGACTCCATATTTCTTGTCTAGGAACCATAACCACACAGATTCTTCACATGGCTTGACTGAAGAATCCATTGACTTTTATGCCACTTCCAAATCGTAAGTAATTGGGAATGTATTGTTTTTATAACAAGAGATTGATTAATATTCTACTTTGATTTCTTATTGTATAATACCCACATGATACTAGCGCCAATTTCCTTCTGCAGAGCATCAAATTTGGAAGAGTCGCCTGGGCCTGCAGTACAAGAAAAGGTGTCAAAAGTAGGACTTGATCCAAAATATCTGCAACCTTCTGAAAGTGATAATCAAATGGGAAAAGGTGAATGAAGGAACTTCATAGTATAGTATTCACACAATTCTTACATAGTGACCAAATATTTAATTTTTCGACTTTTTTGTTCTTTATAGGTGCAAAAACGAAGTCTTTCCCAAATCAACCAGACAAAGAAAACATGCATATAAATTTACCTAAAGTGAACTACAGGGAAAAGAAAACTACGCGAGGATCCACCTACCGAGCAACACCTGTTTCAGCTTATTTTCCTTAAGTTGTCTTATGTCGTATTTGTCATTAGTTATTCGTCGTGTAAAATTAGTGCAATAAATGAATTTAAACCTTTATTTCACTTTTTATTTAATGAAGTGGATATTCAAATGTAATATATCAAATTTTTATTAGATGGATTGAGTCCATGTAGAAAGAGGAAGAGTTTCTTGTCAAACGACTGAGATTTTTTGGGCTGTTGATAATTTTCGAAAACCGACGAAAAGTCCAATAATGCTTTGCACATTTAGGATTTGAACCTAAACATTTTTATTTGCTTGTATTTAAATATGATACTGATAACCGACTCATGAAGCCATCCATGGGCTTGTAATTTATTGTCTTTCATTTCCTGATACAAACAATAACATGCGGGATATTAAAATTCGCGGTTTGCCGAAAGCAGTAAGCCCACAAATGTGAAGATAAAAGTTACTAGTTATTATATAATTATATTATATCTCTAGCGTAACATAAAATAATAAATCGAAAAGCTTAGGTATTGTTCGATCCGTTCCACAAACTACCTACCTTAAATTTTTGAATTTGCCGCCATCTGACCACCTGTTAATCTATAATGGATTTTGAATTGCAGGTGAGGTAGTGCGCTAATTATTATCCGAAATAAAGAATTTTAATGCCGAAAATTGCTTTAATTTTATCACCAAACAGATGATTCTAAAATCGATATGAATTTTGTGCTTAGTCGATTAGGATTTAGGCTAAAACTCACTGACGGAACTACCATAGAGGTAATTAGTAGTTTTTAATCATCTGTAAATAGTCAATCATAGTCAAAATAGACAAAGTATGCGAGACGATTCATCAATGAAATGAACGACAGAAGTAGAAGTGACGGCAAAGAGTATAATAAGTATAGGGGATAAGAGTTGCCACTCGTCAAAAATTTATGCCAATCAATTTGAAACGCCATCTGAAAATTGGATCCTAGTATATTTTTTTTTTTACTAACGTCTACAGATAATCCTAAGTATAGCTAATGCCAATACTACCAACAATGTACCTTGCAGGTTGGTACATTGAAGGTAGTATTGGAATTAGCTATGTCTGGTAGCTGCAAAATCAAAGAAGTTATTAATTACAATGTTACATTTATTTTACAGTATTTAATTTCAGGTTCGAAAACTAGATGTAGCTGACGGTCCGATTTTTAAAGCTGTCAATGGCTGTAAGTGTGACGGCCCTGAGTGACGGACCGGATTTAAGAAAATGAGAATACTACTGGGATTGGTCGGGCGGGGAAGGTTATCATTATTTTGTTTGAGTGATTCATTATTATGTAATTTTATACCATTTTGCTAAGTTTTTATCACTGTGACTAAGTGGAAAGAAGCGCCGCAATGTTTAAGTTCTACAAACAATGTCAGTGATTTGGACAGACCGTGTTTTGTGCATTTTTGTATCAAAAAAGTATAGTTGTGTGTTATAAGATTGGAAATAAGTTCCAACATAATGCCGTTCGATTTTCTGTGCTGTGTGAGACCTGGCGTCGAAGATGTTGTGGAGTTGGACTATTCGCACCAGTCCTTAGTTGACTTCCCCACTGAAGTGTTCGTGTATGAAAGGACGCTTGAAACTCTCTACTGCCAGAGTAATCGTGTGACGGAACTCCCGCGCCAACTGTTTATGTGCCATGGATTAAAATACTTGGATCTTAGTGATAATGAAGTGTCAACTATACCAGCAGCCATATCTTCGTTAGTAAATCTTCAACACTTAAATATTAGTAGGAATACATTAACATCAATACCAGAAAACATGAAAGCACTAAAGTATTTAGCTTTCCTAGACCTTAGTGTTAATCCCTTGGAGAAACTACCAGATGCTATTACAAACCTGACTGCATTACAAGAACTGTACCTAAATGATACATACCTGGAGTATCTTCCAGGCAATTTTGGACGTCTAGCGAATTTAAGAATACTGGAACTAAGAGACAATTATTTAATGATTTTACCAAAGTCACTGTCTCGATCAACCGAATTACAGAGATTAGATATAGGACAGAATGATTTTCAACAATTTCCTGAAGTAATTGGAAGATTTGTCAAGTTAAGAGAGTTATGGATTGATAACAATAATTTGACATGCATTACATCTGTTATAAAACCATTAGAAAATTTGATACATTTGGAAGCCAGTAATAATATGATTGAAGAACTGGCGCCTGAAATTGGATATTGCACACAATTAGTGGATATAACTTTATCATTAAATATCTTAACACAGTTGCCAGACAGCATTGGACAGCTTTGCAACTTAGCCACATTGAAACTAGATAATAACAGATTATATTCAATACCAGAGAGCATAGGACAACTAGCTAATCTTGAAGAGTTAATGCTCATGTGCAACTACTTAGATAAAATACCGTCTTCTATTGGACTTCTAAGGAAATTGAAATACCTGAACATTGATGATAATATGTTGACCGCAATACCTCCAGAGATAGGGAGTTGTACCAAATTGTCCGTGCTATCCTTACGATCAAATAAATTGACTAGAGTCCCTCCAGAAGTTGGTCACCTGACTTCATTACGAGTGTTAAACTTAGTAAGGAATTCACTAAGTTGTCTTCCTCAGTCCTTGTTGAATTGTGATAATTTAGTAGCCCTCTGGCTATCAGAAAACCAAAGCAAACCTTTAGTGCCTATGCATTCTGAAGTAGATCCTCAGACATATGAACAAGTCCTCACTTGTTTCCTCTTTCCCCAAGTGCCTTTAACTCCTATTGAAATGAAATTGGAAAATGATAAATCTGAAAATGTTGAAGCCAACTCTTCAGCCCGTCATATCAGTTTTGTTGACATGAAAGCAGCTCCTAAAGTGACAGAAAAGCCAGGTCAGCTTAAGCGAGCTCCAACACCTTATCCAAAAGAATTAAGAGCATTAGCAAAGCATGCTAGAAATATACACAAAGATGGTACTCAAGATGTTACTCCGCCTATGCAAAATGCAGTACATATTAAAGCTGCTAAAATAACACCTACATTACAACAAAGGTTCGCATCAGACAACAAATTAGAAATAGAAAACACAGGAAAAGGTAATTCAGGCAATACAAACAAAGATCCGCTTATGAAAACATCCGTTTATGATAATCTTACTGCTGAGAATGCTTATGATAAACCACTGGATCTTTCATATGAACAAGATAAAAGTTACAAAAGTGTAGATCATGCTTTGTATCCTGAAAATACTGGGAATCCTGGTGGTGACTTTAAATCAGAAAATGGTGATAATTACCTTTTACCTCAGAGACAATATAGCTCCAAACAGACTGATAAATACAGTTCTAGACAAGACATGGATAGAGCAAATGTACCTTTACCCCAAAATGTATACCGTGGCCATATAGAACATAAAAATTATCCATTACCAAATGATGTTAATTACAGAGTTGGGGTTGATGAGTCGCATAATCGATTACAGAGGCTGAGCCTTAGTTCACAAGATAGGCAACCTGTCAATGAAGCTATTCTATCGCCACATTTTAGTGAAACTGCATACAACACTAGACCAATCATGGAAAATATATCTCCTTATGATCCACTATATGCTAGGAAAGATCACATATGCCATTCAGTGTCAGAGAATAATTATCATGAAAGTATATATGATAGCGACAATTGTGCGCGTGCCAAAGATAAAATTTATGGGCAGCGGAATTATGATGCCTATAATTACCACTCTCATGGGAATCGTGATTTGCCAAGTCCTAGGTTACATACTGTTAGTCAAGTAGTTAGTTCAACTACTATGCCAAATTTAAGCAGTTACGGTAACGTATATCCAGGTGCTGTAGTAGGTCATGAATACTCTACAGCCCTTCATCAACCACAGCCCCAAAACGCCAATATTTATGGTATACCGGCAAGTCCTACTTACGTATCCACGCAGTCCCCAGAATTATACTCTCCGACGGGGCATACTAACTCAACTAATCCATATCGAATGGCTACTACACCTTTGATATCTGATGATGGAAGTTACAGTCACGTTCATTCACCGACTAGCCAAAATATGTATGATTTATATGATTCCATTCCGGCTTCATCTAATCCTCCGAGTGTGGTTAACCACCGACATAGTCCTAGCATTTCTGAGCCAGTTTACGGTCGAGGTCAACCTCCGCCTTATCACATTGCAGCTCCGTACACGAAACACGCACAGTATTTCAATGGCACGGGTGGATAGTGGTGTCTGCAACCGGGAAAGCCGCGAACTTTCCTGAGAATGCACTCCTGTGAACGTTATTAAAGTTAGTTCCAAATATTTGGTGATTTAATACCTGTTTTGTAACATTGGTTTTGTTCTCTGCATGTGCAATTTAAATGTGATATAATTGTGTAAAATGAAAATATTGTTGTAGTAGAAACTAATATTAAGGTGCTAAGGGACGAAACATATTTGTTGTTGGAAAATTATCAAATGAATATAATATTAAAAAAGTTGAATTTATTCAAATAATAAATTAAAAATAATTACGGTTTTAATTTAATGTAGCGCGTATTTAGGAAGTGGTAGGTACTGATTAAGTACGAATGTAACAACTGTGTTGTTTAAAAAATCGATTGTAATTAAGTATTAAATTCTGTCTGTTTAGCTGTAATTATAAACTCGAATTTTTATTATAAAATAATCTGATTGTAACATACCAGTTTTATATTTTTTTTAGGAAATGAAAGAAGTGAGAATGTGTGTATTTGTGGTATTATCTGGAGTGGCAAGGTGCTGTGCCCTAAACTATGTACAAAGGGCCTAGTTTCCGGGTAAGCTACAGCTAAATGTTGTATCATACCTATTATTTTAATGACGATATTGTTTTGTAATGAATGTCTATGATATATATTTTTGTAATTTTGTGATATTTATGAATTTATCGCATAATATAATGTTTTTTCTTACATTAGTTAAGTCGTGTCAATGTAATAAGTATTTGTATGTATCAACAAAGATCCATATTTTTTATGTTTTTAATTGAAATCATCGTGCTACATATCAATTAAATATTTAACCGTTAGCTTGTTTCTCCGTAACTTGTTAATTACTCAATCATGCCCCTCGTTTACAACAGGGCTGGCAAGTCGAGTATTTATTTGTATTAAAAATATCTCTATTTCCTATTTAATACTTTCGGCTTTCATTATTTCTCTTATATATTTAAAAAGTCGTAAAAACATAATGCCCGATACATTTTAGTTTAACCGGCCACAATAAAAATAACCGTTTTATTCATTTCGATTTGCTATGCGAATTTTGCATGACGATGATGGAACTATGGAAGTTTTGTTATTCAGTACAATAGATTTAAAAGTTTTGTACAATATTACCCATATATTTACCTTCCGTATCATGCTATAAAACCGCGCATTTTTTATATACGAGTACAATAAATTAATTTACTTGGTTCAAAAATGAACTTACATTTTTTATGCTTTTTATGATTATTCATTATGCCTTTACAAGTTTACTCTTCAAATGTTGGGGTATTTACCTTTACAATGAGTACGTTTACAAATACTACACATCACACCTCGACCAGGAACAACAATTTATAGATCACGCAAGGAATTGTTCCGTGCGGGAATCAAACACGCGACACGTACAGTCATATTTCAATTTATAGATCACTCTTGATCACATCGTCTCATTTTGTCTACTCTTAACGCCTGTGATAAAATTCTTAACAGCAGCTTTTTTTACACTTCGATTGTCACTATTCTATCGTCAGTTTTGCCCCTCCGTCCATTGCTTATTTTTCGTCGCTTTTATGACGCCTATTTTTTTAATTTTTTTTACAATCTGCTGATGCACAGCTCAGTTCTTTTTGCAGTAAATGCACAACTTATGATTTAGATATTTATAATGCCTTGATCGTTGTTTCTATATATTTTTAATAATATTTACCTATCTTAAAAATATGTGGGCTTATACAAATACGTATCTAGTATATTCTGACTGACTGTAAATGTATTTTTATTCAATTTTTTCTATCTACGACTGTACTAATGTTTGTATTTGAGTGAGACTCCTAAAATGGTTTAATCACACCTCAGGTTACATAGGCTGAATAAAAGGTCCAGTTTTCCATTTTTGAAATGTCTAACGGTGATCCTACACTGCTATAAAAATGTTTACTCACATTACATGTTTACGTAAGAAAATAAATCACAATATTATCTAATAATTTAAGCTAAAGAAACGTATGATGTTTGTGATCATTTTTAACAGCAATATGGAAGCACCCGAAAATTACCGTTGCGGACTGAAAGACCTGATCTGGATCAGGGACGTAAATACTTTTTTAATGTTAAATTATGTAACAGATCATACGAATTTTGAAGTAAGCAAAGGCTTGTTGTTACTTTAAATTCGATTTTGCACAAAACAGATGTCGCTTTGTTCGTTTAATATCTAAACGCGTACCAATGTTGTATATGCTACTAGTTTCGAAATAATTAATGTTTGCTTGATTTCGCTGCTTAGTGCAAACTGTTTAGGGTTAAACAACTTAAACATGAAATATTTTTTGTATCTTTTTAATATTTTGTAACTATACATAAATGTTCAGTACCTGTATAAATAAATGAATATTAATTTGGTGTAATGCTCTCTACTACTAGCCTATAGATAGTATTTGTTGGTATGACTGTTAAGAGCGATAGAAATAATAAGAATAATTAGAGAAAAATTACAAGCATTTGTTATATCAGTGACATTCATGAATCTGTACTACTCCGCCATCTTAGATGTGTTGAGTATTACCTAGAGCAAACAGTAGGATCTTAGTCAAACCTTTTTATAAGTACTTTTGCCGAATAAACTAGATAATTATGTACATACAAGTTACAAAATTGTTAGATAAGATATAAATAAGTTCGCAGAAAAGTAAATTTGTTGAATGATTGTGTAACTAAGTACCTAGGTATCAACCTAATTTGTGAGTAGGATACGTAGTTCAGTGTTTTCATCCATTAAAACATTGCACATTTAAAATTTATAATAATTACACTTGTGTCATATTTTTGTTGAATTAAAATACTACAAATGTTGTACGTTAAAATAAATGTATGTATTTATATATACCTACTATTAGACTTGTATCGAATTTCCAGTTACGTTTTTCTACGTATATAATTATTCTAAGATGATTCATGATGCTGATGAAGGTCCTCGGATCTTATGTTGTAATGAGATAAATACTTTTTTATAAACCGAGCCAATGTCATGAATATAATTTATTTTTTAATATTTATTTACATATACGAGTACAGAGTATACTGCCAGCTCTTTATAATTATACCTATTAAATTCTAAACGAGGAAAATAATATTTTATAAAGAAATGAAAATTTTATTTTGATTTACAAAACATTCTTCAATGAAAATTCGTAATATATTTCCTTGTACCTAATTGTGACACATTCAGGTAATTGAATAAATATTTTTCATAAATTTTTTCCTATTTTATTTTATGACCTTTTGTGTACCTAACACAATAATGCTTGCTCATTTTGTTAAGGAAAACTAAGTACAAAGTTGTTCTTAGTTTTCCGTCCCTAACAATGGAACAAATGAACCGCTATTTCCCGCCCACTCACTAAAACTGGAGAGGTAACAAGTAACAATCAATAGCTTCGCTTTAATGGCAAGGGAAACTTGTGAGGGACGTCTAATTTAACGAATTGTTTTATTCATTCAAACAAAGGCTCCTCACTTCCACGAAAAGCCGTATCTGTAACTCACGATTACAAACCAAAAGTACCCACGTGAACTTTGAAAGACCATGAAAGAAATCAATTGTTAATTGAATTGAAAGACAATAAAAAGACGTAACTTCTATATTTTATGGTAAATACGGTAACTGGGCACTATACAATTACATAATCACTTATAATCTAATCTAGTTAGGTCTTAAGTTAGTCTATCAACTAACATTTGTGTACCTATTTAAACAGTATGTATCAAGTTCCTTTATACGAAACCTAATCACTAAATTACATAAAAGTAATTTATCAAAATGTCACTAACAAGTCTATGAATACCTATGTATATATTTATCTCTTACCTAAATATTTACTCTATTTTTTTAGTAAATCCTATTAATATGTTTAACATTGTGGGAGTATTGGGACCATTGATTCGTCAAAATTGATATTTGTTTCAATTTTGTAATGAATATTCTGTGCGATTTAATGAAATATGTAATTGTGTCACTCTTGTTATCGTTATGTGACAATCGTTTAGGTATAATAACTATGTAAGTAAGTATAGTATAAACTTCTAATAATATCTAGACTTTATAAATAGGTTTATAATAGACCCTCTATTCTGTGTTATCGTAGAACTGTTCTGGAAGTTATCGTCGTATATTTAGATAGATACTGAAGCATACCATTACTTACCTACTTACCTAAAATGAATCCCTTAAAGTTACAAGTTACTAGATACTTACATAGGTAATTATTACAAAATCAATACATATAGTCCGAATTTAATTTGTTAGAATTTAAGGCCTTAGGGGCTAATTACTATTTCGCGACATACGTAATTATCCATTAGGTACATGCAGAATATATGCAATAATATGGAGCAGTCAGTTAGTACATAATTACTTATACTGTGTTAAGATAAATAAAATTCCTAACTAACTATGTTATTATGTTAACTATATTCTAATTGTATAAATAATTTACCATAATTATTGCTACATTTCTCAAGACTGACGCCTAAAAACATATCATTTGATTTATTATACCTAATTCTTGTTACATAAGCAATTATTTCTTTATGTAAAGTACCTACTTAAAGAATAATTTCGCTTTACTCTATCTTAACTCGTTATAACTACAAGAAATCTTATTTTAATTAATTTCGGAATATCAATCTACAATAGAATGATTTATTTAAACATTTCTTTGAGAGCTCTTTGTGAAATTAATCTGACTTATCTGTCTTGATCGCTTTTGTCTCGAGCGTGAAAAAGATAATTATTTCTTGTATTGTGTGGGTTGCCTTTAATTGCTTTGTAAATTAATAGCTAACAACTTAAAATAGTCACAGTTAACATGGACTGAAATACAGACATTAATACATAATTTAGAATAGAACTGTTTCTACATATTTGAGTAATTTGACTTGCCATTGAGATGGTAAATAACCGTGTTACGTCATAAAGATAAGGCGCGTGACAAAAATTTGAAATCCATTAAATTCGACAAGTTGTTAGCCTGATTATGATTGCCTATATTGAGGTACTTACGTGTTAGCTGTGTACTTACAAACCTACTTTAATATAATCAGTAATCAGTCATTTTTATATGTAATTCATTGATTCATAATAATTTATTTAAATTATAACGTATAGTGTATGTTGTATGTACTTTTATATATTTTGTAAACAATGTTTACATTTTGTCTGTAATAAAACAAGTTAGAAATAAAATGTTAAAACTAAGTCTATGGTTAGTTTTATTTCCAGTTTTTTTAAGGGGGGAAAATCATCGATTGACTGCTCACTGCCTGGGTGAGGCGAAAGGGAGTGTCAAATTCTTACTGACTAAAAACCACCCCGTTCCTTCTCCTGCACGTCGAGCCGGAGCCCCAGTAACCCGTTAGGTTCTCCGCGACAGTTTTATTTCGGATAGGTTAACGATTAGGCAACAGTTACCATATACATAAGAATTTAGTAAGTTATACCTATTAAATCTAAGTATTTCAAGGACATAACTAGCTATTGGTAAAGACTAAGTTCAGAAGATTCTAATCACTAAAATATTTAAAATAAAGTGTTCCATAGAGGTGCCTACTCAAATATATCATATTTCTATATCATTATTTGCTACCCATTTTTCTACTCAGCAGTTTACGTACTTATGGCCTTTTCCTCCAAGAATCCGGGAAAACGAGATCCTAAACTCAACAAAGGTCGGAATACAAGAGCAACAAAAGGAATATAAATAATTCATAAGTCCACTATGTTCCAGCTTGCGATTTAGGGAACTGTAATAATGTGTCTATTTGTTAAACAAACATTGTTCACTGTTCGCTCAGCTCGTATTTACATCTCCGGAAAATAAGTAACCTTTCTGAAAATCCGACTGTAGGTACTTAAGTTATCCATTATCAAAACCAAATTCCGGGTTAGCTCAAGTTAAAAATAAATGCGGGGAACATCAATAGCGTAGGCGGGCTTTGGGTTGAAGTATAAGTACCTCGCCACTGCCTACGTAATTCCTTTTATGACAGAGACAGGAATTCAGAAACATTTCTCTCAACAGATAATACAATTGTAGGGAAATTTTAAGAGGTTGTTACGCTGTGCGTCACCTAAAATTACAGCCTATAGGCTAGCAGCTTGAAAACTAAGTAAAATATATACACATAGGAAACAAATATAGAAAGTGTGTTCGATTACATAGGCTTGGTTTCGTTTGAAGTAATTACTGACCGACTTTTATGCAGAGATTAACCTACAAGTGAAAATAGCAGTCGTATACCTATCCATCCATTGTGTTAATAGATGTCTATTTATGATGGTATCTATGATTAGGTAGAGCATTTTCTTTTTTATTGTTGGTAGGTAGTAGACATGATGGTAGTAGGTAATTTAATGTGATTCTTCATTCTAGATAATGGCCGTTACCTAAGGAGGTAGTGTGATAGTCAAGACTGACTATACATTGTATAAAGTTCTAGTAGGTGGATCTTCTGTAGTTTGTAGGTAGGTACACTACCCACATATATTCTACGTACTTGAATATGTGGTAAGTAAATATCGTAAAATAAGTACCTTGTTGGTTGAGTTAGATAATGCTAAAGACCATAGCAACGTCATGCCTTTTTATACATAAATGTGCACATAGGTATGCAATGTACTTAGTACGTGACCATTTTTCAGCATTTAAGTTAAACGAGATGAGTTGATTGTTACAAGTATAGATACCGGATACTATTTTAGACTTCGTGTCTGTGCTATTACTGAGAATTTTCGAAAAAACAATCTAGGAATTAAACCCAAATTACCGTGCTTGCAAAAATCGTACAAACGTATCGGTAAATAGCAATTCTGTTGTAATTATGCCAACCAACTACACGCCTATCAACATGCATATAGTTTTATGTAACGCAAGCGAGGGAGATATGCCTACTTTATCTAGGCACGTTAAAAATCACTAGCTCGGTGAATCGTTGGTCAGCTCGTTAACGATCTGCGGTTGACCCAGTTCTCTGAACATTGTTCTCACTTCATTCGATGGCAAACAATTTTATTGCTATCGTTCTGGGTACTCCCGGATTAAGTAGTAAACGGTATTTATACTCGCTGTTTATATTGACTTGAAAGCTTTTGCCAATTATTCTAGATCGGATGTTATTAATCAACTGACGTTGTAATCGTTGTTTTTTTAATGTTCTGTATATCGTGTATTTACCATACCGATGCTACAGCTAAAAGTTATAAAAAGGAGAAATACTGGCACTATCTACCTTATGTAGTGATTAGGGTCTCGGGTTCGATTACCGGGTCGGGAAAAGTATTTAAAAAAATTCTCAGCAGTAGCAGGAGCCTGGAATTATGCCCGGTATATGGCAATAGGCTCACCCCCTATTACATGGGATTCATAACAAAAATAGTGAAAAGCGGGTGTTACCTACATACTACAGTGGGATTATGAATGATAATTCATCTACAATGCAAAGCAGCCTTATCAAGACCCTATGAAAAACGGGTGTCATCTCTTGTTGAAACAAGACGATAAAAAATATTTGACATGTTTAAATAAGCAGGCAATTGCTTACCTACCCACATACCGAAGGGCCCACATTCATAAAACATGTAGGTATGTCTGAGCTTGTTTATTGACATAGGTCACGTTTGTTACGCACGTAGACACTTTTTGAACCTATATAGGTACTATAGTAGCAATGTAAAAACGACCCACATGACTGTAAAATGGACAGACTGTGACGATTCTATGCATTTCATATGCCTGCCTCAGGGCAATTTGTTTCATACAACGATGTCATACAAATGATGTTGATACAAAGGATGGGTTTAAAAATGACATATCACTAGACGCTAGCTACATAATTACTTACTATGTCGTTCCGGTTGGTCAAAACCGCTCAACTAGATCATTTAATGTTTCAGACTTCCGTTGTTTGTTAACTAAATAACCATAGATCCTAAGAGGCCTTCCGCTACAATGAACCGACATGATAAGCGTTTGTTTACTTAGGTTCGTAGGTACATACATATACACATACTTGTCCATTGCTATTATAGCTTCGTATCTAATTCAACCCGCAAAAATTTTTGTGGTGTAATTATTTTTTTATTATTTTATTCCACAACCTATTTGGAGCAAATTCTTCTAAACGTGCAACATAACGCGGTTATCACTATAATATGTACGTATCAAGAAATCGATTACTCGGCTGCGCGCGCCGACCTATCTTCGGTTAACAGTTGGAACAAGTTCACGCAAATATCGTCAGCTGGCCTTTTAACATCATCAGGTATTGTCAAAGCTTTATATTTACAATTAATGAATAAGTGAAAAGTCTATAAAATATGTTTGTAAAACGTCCATAAACTGGAGCTCCTGATATAAGCAAAGTTTGTAAAGTAGTGAAACCTGTGTTCAATTCCTAATATAGCTCTACCATCTTAGTGACAGTCGTCCATAAATAACTGAAGTCTTCGTATAGTGCAGTGCAACTCCAATTAAATCTTCTATGACCTATATTTGGGTCACCAAAAGTCCTGTCTAAATACCTTTGTTAAACAAGGCTAAAGTGTGTTAATACGTGGATAGGTATAATTCCTAGTATTATTTTTCCTGTTTCAGGAAAACGACGTCACGATGCCGGGGGCCAGACATAAGATACTTGGGCACGTCCTATCTGGCTTTTGCCATAAGATGAATCGTCGTAAACCCATATACGGAGATTCATTGGATACACCACTCAACCGATGTCTCACTACCTTGGACATCACCTTATTGGGTAAGTGGCACCAGCAAAAATAGTACGTAAGTAGTAAGTAATGAATGAGTTTCGGTGTCAAGACAATGAAATTCTAGGATGTTTTGTGTTCAATAGAATTAATACTGTTTACAAATAGGAACTAGACAGGTAATTGCAAATAGCCTAATCATGTGCTTAAGCAATAGGCCTGCTTTCGTGATAATACCTATGCCTATACTTGTATGTATGTTTTGTAGGGAGATCTCGAAGCGATCATTGTTCCCGGTGGCGAGTACCCACAAAAAGTGAGATCTTAGAAATAAATGACATCAGTTAGTGGTCCTCAGCAGTACTTACTTGAAATCCCAAAATTATTTCTTCATTTCATTTCAGGTGTGGGGCATATGGTTGGAGCAGGCATTTACGTCTTGACTGGAACTGTCGCTCGTCACATGGCAGGACCAGCAACTGCTCTGAGTTTTCTTTTGGCTGGAATAACATCTACCTTGGCTGCTCTCTGTTACGCCGAATTTGGAACTAGAATACCGAGAGCGGGCAGTGCATACGCCTACACATACGTCAGCATCGGTGAATTTTGGGCTTTCATCATAGGTTGGAACATCGTACTGGAATATATGATAGGTGAGATTTCGCAAATCGTAACTCTATTATTCTTTTTTCTAGGTTTACAGTAACTTACCTGTTATAATCTTCTATGATTGTTACAGGAGCCGCATCTGTGGCTAGAGCGTGGTCTGGCTATCTAGATGCCATGCTGGACGGAGCAATAAGCAACGCTACCATTTCCATAACAGGAGAAATGCACGAAACTCTTTTGAGTAGATATCCAGACGTCTTAGCATTTTTAATATGCATCGTAGCATCTTTAATTTTAGCTGTTGGTGTTAAAACTTCAGCATACATAAATAATGGCCTCACAATCTTGAACCTCTTGGTTATATCCCTTGTGATTTTCCTCGGCTTCTATTACGCTGACATCGGTAATTGGTCCCAAAAGAATGGTGGCTTCATGCCGTATGGAGTGAGTGGTGTATTAGCTGGAGCTGCTACTTGTTTTTATGCATTCGTGGGCTTTGACAGTATATCAGCCTCCAGTGAGGAAGCGAAAGATCCATCCCGGTCAATCCCCATCGCTACCATTCTATCAATGGCACTTGTTGCTTTTGGCTACATTTTGGTCGCTCTAGCTTTGACTTTGATGGTTCCGTATCAAACTATCAACCCTGATGCTGCTTTGCCAGCTGCCCTTGGTGCAGTTCACGCTGATTGGGCTAAGTACGCAGTTGCCGTAGGCGCAGTGTGCGGTATGACCACGACTCTGTTGGGCTCCTTGTTTTCTTTGCCACGGTGTCTATATGCCATGTCTGCTGACGGTCTCTTATTCGGTTTCCTCAGTGACATCAATAACAAGTCACAGATTCCTATTGTTAATTTGATTATCTCTGGCGTATCTTCGGCCTTGATAGCTCTACTGTTTGATCTGGAGAAGCTTGTGGAGTTTATGTCTATAGGAACTCTGTTAGCATACACCATCGTCAGTGCTGCAGTGATTATACTTCGTTATCGGCCTGTTCCTGCGGTGGACGACAAGAGTTTTGGGGTGCCACAGCTGGAGTCTCCTGGTGACAGGGAAGATAGTTCTGCGACTGGTACTCCGGCTACTGATGGTGGTTCTTCTTCTTCTGAGGTACTCACTTAATGTTCATCCACTTAAAATGTTAGTAGATATTTTTTGTTGAGATCATAGAAACATATAACAATGTTTCTGCTCTTTACAGATGTTTGAAGCTTTGACGGTTGGTCGTCTTCGGGCTCAGTACGCTTGGTTGGAGCCCCTGGCAGGTGGCAGGGCTCCCGGAGCTGCTGTGACGAGCTGTGTGTACACGTTTACTGCTGCTGCTGCAGCTCTTTGTGCTCATAACCACTTCTTGGCGGAACCAGCTGGACTGTGGGCTTTGCTGCCAGACTTTGTCCTGAGTTTCATTATTATTGCTTGTGAGTATAAAATTCTTGTGCCGTTTTTTTAAACTGACCAGATTGGCAACATATTAAAGAAGAGCCAAATTAAAAGAACCTTAACCGACGAGCATGCATGAAAAGATTGATGACTGTCGATGAAGCGAAAGGGGTATGTAGGAATCGTAGCAATTGGCGTTCCATAGTCTCTGCCTACCTCTATAGGAGACAGGCGTGAAGTTATGTATGTATGTGTTTTCAAAGTTAGGTGAAATGTGAAATTATTATCTGTTAACCCACAATTTAGTAATAGTGTAGGAATAATTATAAGTTCTAAACAAGTACTCGTAGATTTTATCTTGTAAATATTTCTTCAGGTTTGGTGATAATTTGGGCACATCAACAAAGTCCAACGCGGCTTCCTTTCCGTGTGCCATGGGTTCCTCTGCTGCCGGCTCTGAGTGTCATGCTCAATGTTGAGCTAATGATAAACCTTAACGCACTCACTTGGGCTCGATTTGCTATTTGGATGACTTTCGGTAAGTCGATAACGAAAGACTCATAAAGACATTAAAGAATGTATATCTAACTCTAATAATAATATCAAAAAAATACTTACATTTCAGGCCTCCTTCTTTACTTCTTATATGGGATACACCACAGCAAACTCGGCGAGGGAGTCACAGGACTTCTATCTCGGTCAGCCAGTGGAGGAGGTCACAGTGGCGGATGGGGTGCTGTTGAGAAGACGAGTGCTATCGCTCGTCGCGTCGGGCGTTTCGCTCGCGGCAGTAAGGGCGACGACCGCAAACCGATCATTAGCGACGACGACTTATCCAGGCGTGAACCGTGATTCTAAACCACACGTATGTATCTTTCCTAATTTAAAAACAACGCGATTTCTTAGTCTTGCCAGCTTAAATAAGTATTTCGTCAATGTGTTGCCATATTGTATCAGTAATAAAAAAAACACAGTGGCCGTAAAATTGGAAACTAAAGTAAATATCTTATCGTGCTTTCTAATAATTATATGAGTGTTATTTATTAGGGCTTAATGAACAGAACTTTATGAAAATTGTACTTGGTTATAGATTTATTCGAGTTTATATAAAGCTAAGAGAGGAAAAAGTACCTTATGATAGACTAATCGATTCATTGACATATAAAACAAGATTTTATGGACATAGAATATAGACAGAACGTAGACCATGCAAGGAAAAAACTAAGTAAGTAAAATTCTAAAGTACCTAAATAGAAGAATTGTATAGTGTAATCGTATAATAAATATAATCAAAGTGTGCAGGTGCCTATAGAATAGCTAACAAATTGAATCTCAAAATTCAAACACCTGTTATGTACTTATTTACCAAAGAATAATAAATTATTTCAGTGCTATTATGTATTCTATGTAATTAATTTGTAAATAGATGTCGCTTTTCGTGGCTCAAATAACATGAAAAAATGTTGTGTTGCAATACAAAAAAAAAACACAAAGTACCAATTTCAATTTTTATTGTCAAACAAAATTCATTTCATAGTGCCATATTGATGTCAACTTAAACATTACAGGGTCAATTAATGTATAAAGGCAAAATGCTGCGACAACACAATTATATTGAAATTGTCGAGAACATTATGGGTTTGTGCAGACGAGAGACTGTGTGCCTGTTGCCGAGTGCAAATCTATTGAGGATAGCAAAAACACCCACTTAGAACTTAACATCTTAACTGAAACACTGGGTAGTTTTACAACTGAAATTAATCACTGATTCTCATCCAAAATTTCTGGATCTATAACTGCAACTAATATAATTTCGGTCTATAGTCCTCTTTAAACTGTCAAACACCGCGAGGACACCGGTGACCACAACCTACGGTTCTTTAATTGTGTCTATAATGACGGTACTCAACGAGTTAAGAGTTATTCGATAATATTGACAGGGGATTTATATTGACAAAAACGTTTTACCCTGTGAATAGTCTCTCGTCTGCATAGGTTCTAATAGCTTTTTTACTTGTTTGAATGTATTACAAAATGTGTGTAACTTCGTATTATGAGTGGTAAATAGTTCTATTATTTGATTTTGGACAATGAGGTAAAGTGACCTCTACCTAATCATTCGGGGAACTATTTCATTAAGACACCATGTACTACGACCAATCACGCTACCAACAGTTCTATGGAGGGTATCGGTGTCAACTTAGTTGCGCAATCAAGTTGTTGTGGGCGATAAAATCATCCCTAAAGTTTGTTTCGGTGATTCCCGCTTGTTAGCTGTATAGAACATGGTTGTACGACTAGTAGGGCGACTGTTGTGTCTTACTGAAATAGAGTCCTTATGTTATGTAAAGTGAAAGTAAATATTTGTGATTGTTAATCCAGATCTCTTTGCAGTATAAGATGCTTTATTGTAATGTATGAGTGCACAAAATGTTGTATGCCTAATGGAATAAATTCAGTTCTATCACATAGTTACTATTTAGAAATGTTTCTTCCAAATGCTTGGTTATGTTTGATAAAATATATTACATTTTAGATGATATAATGACAGTTGCAAGTTAGCACAAAGTGTACCTACTCTTGTATATCTATTCATCACATGTATGGATTTATTATATAATAATTATGGCGCAAATTACATAGATAGAAATGAACTATAGTACCATTGTTATAAAGATTGTATATTTTAAGTGTTGATGTGTACATAAAGAAACTATAATAATACGTCATTACTGTTTTTCCTTTGCTCCCTGTACTTCGTATTTATTTACATAAGTTATCACATACATACAAATAAAAATATATACAGTTAATTGTGAGAACAATCATTTGTACTGTCGACAAAATACATGATGGTGTACGTTTTAAATTAATACCTTCGTTATGAAATGGACGTTACAATATATTAGATAACAATTTTTAAACTAAAGACATTCAACATAATATAATAACTAAATAATATTCACTAAAACGATCTGGATGAGGGTTTTCACTTGGCGATCACGAGATGGCACTAGTGTTCCAAGCCCCTTCCAATCAGTGTAGCTGTTACTATTTTAAATGGTTAATGATTTTACATTAGCGAATATTCCATTGGTTTACAGACTTTAAACTACACTAGCGCCTCCAGCACCACAAAAGCCCTCATTCTAATTTAAACTACTTAACAGCTACCTATATACGTCATTGACGTTTATATAAAAATTATACAAGACTGTCACAAATATTGGAATCATTTTATTTTACTAATTGCACTCTTTATAAAGTTACAAATACATAGTTATTAAAATATACATAATATTATAGAATGGGGCTACTTCATCAACTCCGCTTTTTTAGTACGAAAATTTAGTCTTTTATTGTTTTAAATGTAGGGTAGTATGAAAATGGTAAGAAGACGCGTCTTTTCTGGCAAGAAAGCACCAGTAGGGCTGTTTGGAAAGATAGATAATGTTTTTGAAAACAGTTGAAGAACAATAGAATAACAACCAAATAATAAAAACATATTATAATATATAGAAACACTAGAAAAATAGAGCACTAATAAATAAGATAGCAAAGACTAAAAAGTTAAAAATAATCATAAGAAGTGTTAATAACTAATCGCAACCTTAGAAGAAATAACATAATAGCACTCTGCTCAACAGACCGCATATAAAAACAAATTTGTGAAATCACTTGGAATAAATTGTGCTGTTGGCTGGAACAAATAATACTTTAAAATATTTAAATAAACAGTGAAGGATGATACTTTTATCACTATAGAAACTAATTAAATATAATTAATTATTCTTTGAATCTGAGCATGTTTAAATAACGAGGTTTAATTAGGTCTTTATCTATGAAATTACAGTTTATCAAACAATAGAATGATGTAACTGTGACTTAGGCACACATAGGCACTATGACTTGACGCATTAAATTGATCCTTATAATCCAAAGCATAAGCTTCAATTTATCGGCAGAACTTTCTAAACTACTGAAGAAAAAATATATCGACCTTGAATGTCTCAAAGGAATTAAGGACCCTGGTAGGCATAACCAATAAGATTTTAAAGTTGCTGAAACGAAACAGTTACGTCATGAATCGCTAAGCGTTTATGGCAATTTCATAGGTAATGACTAATTATTTCCTCTGGAATATGAGTTAAGGTAACTTTCTGAGGAAAAGGTACTGTATGAGTAATCAGAAGACATTTTCTCTGAAAACCTGTACAATATATACATAATATTATTATATTAAATGGGGAATTAACGAGATTCAGTCTTATCTGTTAAATCGGCTGATTTGCCAGGCTGAGGCGGGCAGTCGCTGGAGCTTGTTGATGGTTGGCTTGCCCCACATGAGCCAAACGAAGCCGACGACTAAACATAGTACTGTTTCTATGTAGTATCCATCTATTCGCACGTTGCATGTACCGCCGAATGACTTACATTCCTAGGAGGAAAAATATGAGTTACTTATTGAAGGAAATATGTTGTTACTGGGTTATTCCTAGCAGCTATTTTAAATTACATGTGTAGTTAATACTGATACTGATAGTAATACTGCAATTGTACCGTAATTTATAATATATATTTCCTTGTATGCATATCTTTATGCCATAATAATACTTATTTCCTCGCTTTTATAAGAGTATAGGAAAATCTAACAAAACAAACTTCAGCTATTTTTCTATACTAATATTATAAAGAGGAAAGATTTGTTTGTTTGTTTGTAATGAATAGGCTCCGAAACTACTGGACCGATTTCAAAAATTCTTTCACCTCTGGAAAGCTACATTATCCCCGAGTAACATAGGCTACATTTCATTTTGAAAAAAAAAAAAATCTACTCCGTGCGAAGCCGGGACGGACTGCTAGTCATTTATAAATATCTCATGTTTTGTTACCAAAATGTTTTCATATCGTAAAATAAGATAGAAATGAAGGCCCTCGCCCATGGCGACGTTTTGTAGAGATGTAATCGCGCGTCTGCATCGATACAGTCGCAAAGTGCATATAAAAGTAATATGCGTTAGTAGCGATGCTGTAGCGCTTTTAGTGAAAGTGCAACAGCATCGCTATAAAAAGTCGCTGTGGGTGAGGGCCTTCATTTCTATGAATTTTTATCTTTATTTTTATTCATTTCCATCGTTTTTTATGAAGCGTAATGTAGTTAATATATAACAGGCTAATGACAAACTTTGAACCATCGACATATACTACTGGACATGCCGTACGGGTATAATCTGCAGTATTTTTTTTTGTTTGAAAAGAGTGAGAGAGATGGCCTATGCTTTCGGTCTAGCGCTATCTCTTTCTCGCTCATAACGTTTTAACTACGGTACTATTTCGAGAGAGATAAAGATAGACCGAAACTTCGTTTCCTCTCTTTCTTTCGGAGTGCCACAATTCTCATCTCTCAAGGCATGTCCATTAGTATATGTCGATGCTTTGAACATTCCATTGGCATTCCACCAGCTACAGTGATTGGTCAAAAAGGACCATCAGCTATATTACTGCCATCTAGTGGACAAAAAACAATAGCCCTCATTAAATAAGAAATAACTTGTTTTACTTACAGTCTCCTCGCCATCAGAAGAACATGTGTTATCAGTGAGCCCGGAATATGAGCATTCCTTAAAAGTGAGGTGGTCTATGGCCCATAGAGCGAGGGTGTTAGGCCAATTAGTTCCCAGGTTCGACATTGTGTTGAGGAAGGTCATGTAGGTCCCACCGACTGCTGGGTCTGATACTTTAGCAAAGAACGCCATCACAGCCACGAACATGCAGTAGAGACATGTCTGTAAATGAAGTAAATAAAATATGAGGACAATTACTTATGCCATAAATACTTTTATTGTAGGCCAAGGGATCAATAAAACACAGAAGATGTGTGTCACTTAATTTACGATTTATTTATTCACACTGTTTCTGATTTTTTTTTATTTATGTAAAAGTAGCCAGTTGGTAATACATTATACATGTACCATTAAAACTCTTTTAAGTTTCTAGCTGTTACATTCCTTAATTTTTTACTTACTTTCAAATTTACTGTTTTTTTTTTTTCAACTTACTATTATAAGTTGTGTAATCAATAAAGTACTACTAAATGTTACTGAACCGACTGCTTCGTTGCCCAAGTGGTCCCAAGTGCGACTGCCGGGAAAGGGGCCTCAGGTTCGATTCCCGGACGGGCAAAGTATTACTGGGTTTTTAAACATTCTCAGTAGTAGCACGGAGTCTTTAATCGTGGCCGGTATATGGCAATAGCCTCGCTCCCTATTACATGGGACTCATAACATAAATAGTGAAAAGTGGGTGTTACATTGTACAGTGGCATTAGGTGCAGCTCTGACTACCCCTTCCGGGATAAAAAGCATGATGTTATGTTATTATGTTACTGAAATTTGAACGGTTTACATACCTGATGGAATATGTAGAGCATCATCAAAATGAATAGATACGAGTAAGAGGGGGGTGCATTTTGCAGTAGCGTGGGAGTGATGGCCACGAGCGCCGCGGCCAGTGGCCCCACCAGTAGTCGCAGCGGGAACGCGCGGAGCCACAGCGACAGCGGCTCACGACCTGTTGTGTGCTTTGCTAACAGCTGAAATAATAATATGAAGCGTGTTATAAATATTTTAACAATTCTAATTTATTGTATGCGGACACTAATTTGAGAGCTACTAAGAATAATCCAATTGGAAAGATACTGAATGAATACTTTTTTTTTAAGGGGGGAAAATCATCGAATGATTGCTCCCGCCTGAGTGAGGCGGGAGGGAGTGTCAGACTCTTACTGACTAAAAACCACCCCGTTCCTTCTCCTGCACGTCGAGCCGGAGCCCCGGTAACCCGTTAGATTCTCCGCGACACTGAATGAATACTAGATACATGAATTCATGCAAATCAAATCCAATTGGATTGAAGCTTTAGTGGTGGCATACTGTGTTTTTTTGTGTACATACCTTCATGAAACATAAGCAGAATTTTATGTACTAAAGATCCAAGCTCTTTGTAATCATAAGCATTTAAAAATAGCCAAAAGATTTAAAAAAAAGTACTCACCACTGGCATTATGATTTGTACTGGAACTAATGGAACTGCAAGTAGAGCTAAGTCTTCCCTCGGAACTCCAGCTTCGACAAGTTTTAACCCAGACACGGCATCACTGGCACAGAATCCGAGCTGCAAACATTTAACGATTAGATTAAAACAACATTAGGGATAGTTTATTATCTCTTTAGATGCACTTATAGAAATATTATTATTTAGAAAGATTACTAAATTATTTTTCGTAGAGAAAACTTATAATAATAAACCATCTAAAATTATTTTAAAACAAGAAGACAAAGTTTAGAAATAACAAATAATAATTTTAATAAACTACATTTAAAAAAAACTTTTTTATGAAGTTGATTAATTACTCGTTGAGTACCGTCATTATAGACACAATTGAAGAACAAAATAGGTTGCAGTCACCGGTGACCGCTCGGTGTTTCACAGTTTAATATACTAAAACCTTTTTGAGTAACAAACACTTCAAAATCGGTTCAATCGGGCAATCGTGAGATAACCGCGAAATTTTTTTAAATCGGTTAATAAAAATTTACCTTCGCCGTGAACAACACCAGAGCCAGCGTACGTACTGCAGGTAGCTTCATAATCGTATACAACTGTTTGTAAGCCGTAACAACATCACTTAGTCCCTTCACGTCATTCTCCTTTGTGTTCGGAGCATCATTAGCCTCATGTTTGAACACCGCTATCAACGTAGTAGTAACAATGAACACCCATCCCCAGAAGAGAAGGAAACTAGCCAGTGTCACAAGTCCTTCGTCTTGGGGCTCATAGTACAAGTACTTGTTGCAGAAGTAAGGAGATTCCAGAGCCAGGAACATTACGTATCCGAGAAAGAAGCCAGCTGTCTGACCGACAGTATTACAGGTTGAGGCATGGCCGACATTGCATCTGGAAATTACGAGGTTAATGTTGATATTAACTTGTGAACTGGCCCATTGTTGAGTATAAGCGTCTTCTCATATGGTAAAAGTATGAACATTGATCACTTGTCAAAGGTGAAATTGAAGTGTGGGAGAGCCATGCGAGATTAGATTAGCGAATGGGCCGGCTCGACCGGAGTGATACCACGGCCTTGTAGAAAACCGACGTGAAGCAACGCTTGCGTTGTGTTTCGTCGTGTGAGTGAGGTTACCGGAGGCACAATTACCCTCCCCTTCTCCAATCTCCCCAATCCCTGAATCCCCAATGGTCCTCAAACTCCCAATCCCCAAAAGGCCGGTAACGCACTTGTAACGCCTCTGGTGTCCCGGGTGTCCATGGGCGACGCCGATTGCTTACCATCAGGTGATCCGTCTGCTTGTTTATCGGCTTATGCCATAATAAAAAAAAAAGTCGCAACATGTTGTGATAGCTTGCTTCCTAATTTATTAACAATTAAATTTTTGCTATGTCATAGTTTTAGTAGTGATACTGATTAGAGCTTGTAAGTAATTATTATCACTGATTCGTAACACTGATAAGCTATACAAGCCATTTGAAACGCAACTATCTAACTATGATACAGTATACTACTGGTTTATGTAATTAAAATTTCACTAATACTTGAAACTTTCTTTACCTTTTAAGCATGGTAAGAGCCCATCCATCCACAGCAATATCTTGTGTAGCAGCCAAGAAGTTCAGGAAAAGGAAGGACATGGTCAGAATAGTCATTGAAGGTGGCACATCATCGGAACCGAGCCAATCAGTGACACTATACGACATGATGATCATCACAATACCAATCAGGTATTGCACAGGTACCAGCCAAGTTTTTCTTCGACCAAATTGCGGCCAGAATAGAGCATCTACAATAGGCGCCCATAGTAACTTTACACTGAACGGCCAGTTGACAAAACTGAATTCCGCCTGAAAAGAATTTATACAAAATGTATTACATTCTAATAGATAAAAGTAGTCCACATTTTATTCCAGATTATAGTTTATGTCCATTCCAAGTTCAGAGTAACAAACATACATCCACACTGTCTCACAAAATTTCATGTATAGTAACATTAATGTCATCTCAATTAATCAATACATAGTATAAAACAAAGTCGCTTTCGCTGTATGTCCGTATGTATGCTTAGATCTTTAAAACTACGCAGCGGATTTTGATGCGATTTTTTTAATAGATAGAGTGATTCTTAAGGAAGGTTTGTATGTATAATACATGCATATTGCACCCGTGCGAAGCCGGGGTGGGTCGCTAGTAATACATATAATAAAATCTATGTAGTCTTTAGTCTGTATATTCAACATCCCGGATGTGGTAAACAAAAGTTATGTCACCTAGGGAATATTTTTCCTGTTTGTTTTACATAAGCTTTTGATGTTTTACATGCTTACAAAGTATACAACTTTATTTCATTATATTTATTCACATTAATATCTTGATATATCATACCCCAAATTTATTCGTACAAAAGTAGCCTAAACTTCAGAAATAAGGTCTATAATGGAGAGAGAGTGGTCACAGGTGATCGCTTGGGGATTGAACAGTTAATTTATTTCTTGTACTGGTGGTATTTGGAAAGGAGAAATGGGATAGTCATAGAGGATGGGGTTGCTTTAAATTATTAATATTATAATATTTGCAATTTCCAATGACCAATAAGAACAACAGAAATAAGGAAATAAGTTTTGTTAACATTAAAAACCAGTTCTGGTTTCTGATTAACTACTAAGAACTAATAAAAGTTATAACTTAGAAGGCATTTGTAATTCCAACTTTAGCTCAAATCAAATACTTTATTAGCAATCAACAAAGTACAACAATAAAAAGTTCATTTAGTTTTTAATTACATTCCTATTTCACAGATATCATAGTCGTATAATGGGAAATTTTACGAGTTAATCCATGATATAGGTACCTCCTAGCGATTAGCAGTAGTGAATATTAAAAACCATGAATAAAAAATACTTACTTGTTGAGTATATGTTATGCCACGATTTTGAAGGAGCATGGGTACAGCTCCTGCAAGACCGAGCGGTATACCCTGCAGGGTGTAAAGGAATAATAACACAGCTATATTGAATTCATCTCCCTTGATATTACTGCGCCCCTCGGTTAGATTGTCACCATTTTCAATTAATTCCTCCTTTTCAGGTGAATGTTTACGCTTAGTTATCGGCATGATTGCAGCAACTATTGCCTGGAAATTGATTGAAAAATATAAATCCACATGACACTACCAATCTAATAAATACACGTCATTGAATTTGATTTTCTACTAGCTGTTCACAAACCTTAATTTTGCCTGCAATCAATCAATTTATAAAAAATAATAGCGGTTCTCTGTTACAAATTTTGAAATGTATATTTGACCATTCATTCATATGTACGTAAATACTTTATTAAATCGTATAAATTGATTAAAATAGTACGAGCACTCTTTTCGCCATCACAAATACAAACGATTGTAGACAAATTGACATTTGATTGACAGCGCAGTCAGTGCACACTGACAGCAGCTGACATAATCATTGATGTCAAAGACGTCAAACAAAATGTTGTTTCACTCAGAAAACTGTAAAGTAATAATGAAACTTCTGTTTCAAAAAATAAGCTTTATTGAAGTACCGAATATATAATACAAACAGAAAATAAAGCAAGTTAAAAGGAAATTAAAATTCAGTTAAGTTGCCCTGTGCTGCATTGATTAATAAACACGGTAATGATTTGTCAAATGATTTTGCCCTTGACATGACAGTTGACGTTCATTTTGAAATTCTATCATCAATGTGATCAATGTCAAATTGTCAAATAAAAATAACCAAAATGTTTGTTGATTTTTAAAAACGTTATGAAATTAAATTCAATAACACTCATTAACATATTGTTTAGTGACAACATTTTCTTACATGGGGTCTACAGTTCGCTCTTGTTTTTTAAAATGTTTGCTGGATTCCCATGCGCCTATAAAATTAGTCCACAATATCGAAACTATAATAGGGCGCAGCAAGTTAATCAATATTAAAGACCAGACATGTTCTCGTCAGCAACGTAAGTAAATTTTTAGTTACTAATAAACTTTCAGTTTTGCTGTTTTTTATATTGCAATTTTTTACAGTTTCTCTGAAAGCAGACTGTGAAGAGTGCCTGGTTGAAGTCAAACAACTGGGAGTGAATACATCAGGTTTAAATGGATTCGCCTTAAAAAGGAATCTAGAATATAAAGTAGAACATGGTTCTAGAATTGAAATTTTGTTAAACAACTATATTCATGTCATAGAGTTTGATCCTCCACCAGAAAACTATGAGGAACCAAAATTAAGTAATAAGAGGAAATTAGAAGAGGAAGAAGAATCCCCAAGAAAGAGAAAAAGTCTTAAAATGGATAATGATAAAGTTAAAGTCAAACCTGCAGGAGAAAATGTATGGGAAGACATTGATAAAGGTGAATTGTATGTGTTCACCTCTAAAGGTGTCAAGCCTAGCCACAAAATAGCGGCCTTTGACATGGATGGCACTTTAATAAAGACAAAATCTGGTAAAGTACACCCTGTTGATACCAACGACTGGCAAATAGCTTTCCCAACAGTTCAAAAGAAGTTAAAAGAACATGTAGAAGATAATTATAAACTTGTTATATTAAGTAATCAAGCACCAATAGGAAATGGGAGAGTTAAAATAGAAGATTTTAAGAAAAAAATTGAGAATATAGTAATTAAGTTGGATGTCCCATTTCAAGTGTACATAGCTACTGGTAAAGGGTTTTATAGGAAACCAACTACTGGGATGTGGAAAGTGCTATCAGAACAAGTAAGAAACAAAATAGAAGAACATTTAATTTATAATATTATTTTAGAACATTTTTAACATTTATTATTGTTTGTTTACAGAAAAATGGTGGTATAAAAATAAATATGGATGAAAGTTTCTACTGCGGTGATGCTGCAGGTAGACTCGCTAACTGGGCTCCTGGGAAGAAGAAGGATCATTCTATGGCCGACAAACTTATGGCTGAAAATCTAAATCTTAAATTTTATACACCGGAACAATTCTTCTTAGGACACTCTATAGCCAATGTACCTATGGGTAAACCTGATTTTAACCCCAAAGAACTCGGTAATACACCATTTAAAGACAGTTTAATAGGGAAGGAAAAAGAGGTAAGTTGCCTCTCACAAAAACTAATTAGAATATTCTACTTCTTATTTGTTTCTGTGAAGGTATTTTTAACCGAATGATCTTTTTTTACAGATACTGGTTTTAGTTGGGTTCCCTGGTAGTGGTAAATCATCTTTGGCTAAACATATAGAAAAAGAATCCGGATACAACTATGCCACTGTGTGTAGAGATGTCCTTGGTTCCTGGCAGAAATGTGCAGCTGAAGCCACTAAGCTGCTTGAGGTAATTTTTGTGTATATTTTATACTAGCAGCCCGTCCTGGCTTCGCATGGGGTAGACAATTATTTATTTTTGGAAATTTGGATTGTTGTAGTGGCATAACTACAATAGTTGGACATATGCTACCGCGGAGTTTTTTATAGACATTATGATGTTCTTCAATATTGTTGTAGTTTCGGCAGCGCATGCGACGAAAGACATTTTAAGACTCATTTTTCTACACCTTCGGTTACATTGTTCAAATTTTACCAAGGATCCCTAATTTTTTTCAAAATGAAATGTAGCCTATGTCAATTTGGAAGTATGTAGCATTCTATTGGTGAAAGAATTTTTTAAATCGGCCCATTACTTTTTAAGCCTATTCATTACAACCATACAAACATTACAAATCTTTCCTCTTTATAATATTAGTATAGACTAATACTTTATTTACTTTTAAGTAGTACTTAAAATAAATTATTATCAGACTTTCAAAAAAAAAGATATCAGAAAGAAGACTTCCTATTAATTTCCTATAGAAAATAAATTAGAAATAGAATAGAAGCAGTCTAAAACTAATACTGAATTATTTGTTTTTTAATAACTTTCTTTAACTTGTTACAAGTGAAACCATGTCATAACATAATATACAAACAACAATGCACTAGAAAATGAATGTATTAAAAATATAAATAAATCAAATCATTTATTTCTCAACATCAATATATATTTTACTTGTACATATAATTTACAAGTACTTGAGTACACCAAGAACAACCTCCGCTTTCATTAATTGATTTATTATTATTATTATCAATTAACATTAAAGAGACGTCAAACAATGACACATAAACTTGAGACGGGTGTTTGGTATCCGTAGTTCTGTAGTAGGTGTTTCTTACTCATTGGTTTTTTTTATTTCAGAGAGGTAAAAGTGTTATAGTAGACAATACAAACCCTGATAAAGAATCTCGCGCCCGCTGGGTGTCACTGGCCAAAGAGAAGAAGGTGAGCTGCCGTTGTGCAAAGATGGCGACTACTGTAGCTCATGCGAAACATAACAACAAGTTTCGAGAACTTATGAAAGTCAACCACATTCCAGTTCATGATATTGTTTATCATACATACAAGTGAGTACATTCAATATGCCCAGGTATGGCAGTACAATTGTTCCTTTTTAATCTTGTTGAGATTAATATTCCCCGAATCGAGAATGCCGGTCGACGGCCTTTTCAATGTTGTGCAAGTGACTGCTATCAATTTTAAGGTTAATCAGCTACATAAATTATCAATTTCTATACTCTCAGTAATAGGACAACTCCTGGATTTCAGCATAGTGTCCCTAGCAACACCTGACTCTATTGTTATCTCCATCTGTTTATTATGTACTTCATAGTAACAAGTTTTATTCTGTTGTTCTTCGTTTCGATTCACTGTGACATATACTTAACTTTTTATTACAGGAACAAATATGTAGAGCCATCAGTCAACGAAGGGTTTAAAGAAGTGATTGTTGTACCATTCAGCCCTAGATTCGAAGACAAGGAATCTGAAGAGGTGTATAGAATGCACCTGCTAGAAAAATAATGCTTATATTAATGTTGCTTGTTAATGATTGCTATGAAATAAAACAAAGGTGATGCGAACCAGCATTTTTATTGCTAAATTAATCACGATCATTTCTATTCTTATAACATCGTGTAGGCCGATTTGCTTACAATAGTAAGCAAAGCTAATCATAACTGCAAATTGTATTATTATTATTATCAACAAATTAGTTTTCTATTATTTTTAAAATGCGACATTTAGATCTCTTTTAACTTGTTCAGTTTATCTACAATTTTATTTTTATCTAACACGAATTTTAAGTGAAAAAATACAAGTTTTTTTTCTTATAATTTATTAAGTACACGTGATTAATTGCATCAGGCTAAGCGTGCCGACGTGGCAATGGCGGATGGACGGATGAAGTTTTTACGACATTTAAAAACGTATTTTATTTACACACCTACATGATTCAATTTAGAAAACGCACCAAGCTAGCATTAGTTGTAAAAATCTGTGTACGATCAAATGTCCCTAATAAGTGGGACTTAAAATATCCAAAAGCTATAAACAGCTAGCATGAACAAATTTCAACATTTTCTAGGCACTAGAGTACTTACATATTTTTTACATGAACTGGATTATTCAGGGTACATGTTCATGATCTCCGTTTAGGAGCCACAAATATAGATAGACTTGAACCATTTTTTAAATCCTAAGCTCTCATTTTGACTTGGTAAGTACCCAAACATGATTTTTTAAAATTATACACGTAGGTTCATAGTCAGGATCGGCCTAACTAGTCAAATTAAATTTTGTTATGAAACCTACGAGCTCCTGACAGCCCCTCTGCTGCTATTTTTTTATGGCCAGTTTGGTCCAAACCAATTCTGACTGACTAAATTTAGATTGGTACCAATTAGTAACAATTAATTTAGCAAATCCTTGCAAACGTTAGGTAGGTACACAATTTTATAGTTTTCTAACACCTAGCTAGCTATACCTATAGTAGCACAACAACAGTTTTTCTATCCTTCGAATTACGGCAAAATGACAAATTCTCTAAGATTGCACAAATATGGATAGAATCAACGTGATGATCCAGCTGATTCAATCTGTGTCCTTATGAACTGAAATCACAAATAATCACAATGTTGATGATTATGGGGCGATGATGATAATAGCCTCAGCCTGTTGTCATTCGCCGTCAGGGTCTTCATCCTCCGCGTCTAAAAGATTATCCAGACTCGTATCCGAGTCATCTTCATGTCATCTGAAAATAGATAAAAAGTTGAATGGCAGGTCCTCATATGTAAAAGAGGTCTGAGGAAGCCCATAGTCCATTAATGGTTAGCTAGGTACCGCAGGCACTTGGTCTATGGTTTGTGGTTGCTTGGGTCTTTAATTAATGAGGTAAATTAGTTATTGATGAATGTTATATACTAATTCAAAAGCTGAAGAGTTTGTTTGTTTGCTGGAACGAACTCGGGAATTACTCGTTAGATTTGATAAATATTTTTATGTTGGATAGCCTGTTTATCGAGGAAGGCTATATTATAGTCTAGTCTAAAATAGTATACTTAGTATATTATATGACGCCATAGCGTCACTGCGTGCGGCACCTATTGATCTTAATTAGTCCGTACGGAAATAGCTAGTGTTATATATAATGTTCTGTGGTTATATAAGTACCTGGCTATATACACAGTGTCTATATGGGTCAGGCGGGCTCCAGTAAGAGGGACCGTCGCTGACACAGGCCTCAACTTGCGTCTCTCCATAGCACTGCGAGCTTGCTGCACAGCAAGGTCTCCGCACCAACGTTCACAACGAGCGTAAATTACTACACCTGAAAAATAAGTACAAAAAAGATGATGATGGACATTGGACGGTAGCTTGATCCGGATATCAAACCCCAGACCAGTGTTGGGCAAATTGTAATTGCAAGAACAATTAAAGATTAACAATTGATTAATTGCTAAATATAACCACAACAACTAACAATTAATCAATTTTAATTTTGGTAAAATACAATTAACAATTATGTAATTGTTAACTGTAGTAGTAACAATTAACAATTAATTAATTGTTAGTTGTGATTTACTACAATCAACAATTAATTAATTTTCAATTGTTTAGTGAATTTTAATTAAAACTAACAATTACAAAAATTCTGCTGTATAATATACAGCCGGTATATATAAATATTTAATATACCCGTATGGCTCCGGGTAGTAGAATAGTGCCCCCACCTATTCATATGTTGGCAACAAATAAAAGACCTATTCAAATAATCATCAATACCTTTAATTGAACATGATTAGACAGACAATGACAATTTAAAATCTCTTGTAATAATTTAAATTACATTTTAATATCACTCTCTTCTCGAACATGCCGTCTGACAGTTTGTGACTTTTTGGCAAATTTGTCATTGTGGCAAAAGAAAAAAGGCGTTCAACTGCAGCTGATGATGGTAATGGTGTGTTGTATTTAATGAAAACACTTTTAATCTCAGGATATCTATTGAGGAGTTGCAAATCTTGGCTTTCCTCGGCAAAAAAATGCAGCATCAAAAGTTCTGCTTTAGTCATTGGTGCATCGGAGGAGCATCCATTTTTATCTGAGATTGAAATATCCGAGTCTGAGTCAGAGTCAAAATTGAAAAAAATGTTTTCTTGAGTACTTTTAGTTGTTGCAACAGTAGCTACAATATTTTCACTCATTTGTTTGGAAATGCAGGTCTTGAAAAGTTTTAGAAGCTTAGTACGATCCTTGGGCTCAAAACAAGTCAACCATTTATTTTTGAATCTTGGGTAAGATAATGCCGCAATAGCCGCATTTTCCGCTTCAGGAGTAGTGACGTCAAACATTTTTTCAAATCTTTTCTCAACACTCACTCTGTATGCCTTGATCAACGGGTTACAAAAGGAAAAGTTGTTTTTCTTTTCAATTTTTTGCAATTTTTTTCTCAGGGCAAGTAGGCACGGCAGAGTTATCCCATAATATGTGTTACTCTCACTTTGCATTATGTCAAGAGCTTCTGCTACCGGCGAAGTACACATCAAATATTCTTGAATGTAATCAAATTCATTTTCTTTGATAGTATTTTTTATGTTTAATGATCTATGTAAAAGTAAGCTTTTTTCTTTTATGTTAAAAATTTGCTGGAGGGCATCAAACAAGCTATTCCACCTGGTCTCATCAGGCCGGCTTAACGTGTGCCCTAACACATCCTGTATTATTTCGGTACTCTTTGGTCGTCCTGCAGCCTTCCACAAAACATTACATTTCTTCATTATTGCAGCATGCATTTGCGACAGAGGCGTGTCTTGCTCGGTTAAAAGTTTGTTCGCGTCCGTAGTTGCGCAAAGGCTTAAAGTATGCGCAGAACATCGTAAATGAGCAGGAAGGAAATTAATATGCTCAGGAACAGGATCATCAAAATTCCATGACTCAACTTCTTCATCATCTGACTCTGAAGAAACTTCTGTTGGCTGAGAATCGGGCATAACTTCATGTTCAATATTTATATTGGTCAATTTAACACCAAATCTTTTAAAAGCTTTTACGAAATTGCTGCCATTATCCGTCACCGATGCAACAATTTTATTCGTATTAAGGTCGAATTCACCATTAATTTCTTTAATCATATCGGATAGTCGATCATAGCTGTGAACGCCTCTGAACCGTCGACAAGCTAACGCCACTGAAACTCTGCGTAGATCATTTGTGATCCAGTGCGCTGTAACTCCGATGAAGCTTCTCTTTTTACTGGACCAGATATCTATTGTTGTGCACACGTAAGGAACTTCTTCTAGTTCTGACTTAATCTTAGCTACTTGCGTTTCGTAGTGTTTTTCTATACGACGTCCTAGTGTACGTCGACTCATTAAAGTTAGCCCCATTTCAGATATCTGTAAGTCGGTGAAAATTTTTGTAAAATATGGATCTTCAACTGCATGCAATGGGATCATGGAATGTATAACATATTTCAAAATATCTTCATCGAATTGTTCTTGTGTAATTTTATTTTCATTTGACTTCTTAGTTTTACTAGTTGTGATTTTGACAATAGCATCATCTTTTTTCTGTACCTCACTTTTCTTTTTTTTTACATAGGTTTTGTACTCTTCAGTGCAATCTTTCCCATGTTTTCGCTTCAGGTGACTCAAAAAGTTCGACGTACAATTATGAAATCCTTTAACTTTAGTTGATACATCTCTTGGACATTTCATACAAAGCGCTGTGATTTTATTACCCGAACACTCTTCAGGCACGTATTTGAAAAAAGTTCCATCAAGTAAAAGAAGCCGCGCTTGCGATGATGATGGACTCTCGGCGGTGTCGGTTGGTGGCACAGGTGAAACCGTTTCTAATGAATCATTAACGCTTGAAACTGAAAGAGTCACTGAAATGTTACTATCTTCGTCCACTTCGTTTATCGACGCCATTTCATGTTACAAGTTTAGGCTAAAACCATGTATTTTTAACTAAAACATAAACATTTACGTATGCAATAAGCTTAAACGACACGAGTATAGACTAGTTCACGCGGCGAGCGAGCGAAGAGCACTGAACGAACGACACTCCGCGCCCGGCGCTAGAGTGATGGAGACGAAGATGTATACCTACGTGTCGTGTGCGCGAGTGAGAGGCGAGAGGCCTACAAAATAAACACGTTACGACTTGATATTTTTGTTGTACCTACCTACGAACGCTGTAGAAATAATTATCAATGCAACATTGTTATACATAAATACAAACACATCATCATCCTCATAGCCTTTTCTTAAATATTTTTGGTCTATGTTTGGCTTCCAGTCTCACTGGATGCGGCTGAATATGGATATTTTATTTATTATTATAAGTTGATTGTTAGTTTTAATTGTTTCATGAAACAACTAAAAAAGTTAATTGCAATTACTTTAATTGTGAGTTACATTTGTCATACGTTATATAAATTAATTTAATTGAAAGGTGCAATTAAAAGTTTAATTGCGATTAATTTATTTGTGATTAATTTAATTGCAATTACTTTTTTAGTCAATTAACAAGATAATTGATAAATTAATTAATTAATGCCCAACACTGCCCCAGACCTACCCGAGTCACGCTTGCGAACACTTAACCAATAAGGTCATTGATATTCTAGTATCAAGTTTTGCTACTGTGTTTAATTTATAATTTTCGTAATAAACTAGGTACGGTACAAAACGTTCAGTTTCTGAAGTGAGTTGTGCTTACCAGCGCCTGCAAACAGCGTGATAGCTGGCCAAGAATCGACGAGTAACGGCGTAAGGAACAGGAGAGCAGTCAGCATAGTTATGGGACCTTGAATACTTTGCGCTTTCCTCATACCCAAGTTATGAGCTGGTTGCCATGCGCATATGAAGGTACCCGTGAGCCACACTGCAATAGAAGCGAAAAGAAATTAACTGAAATTATTTTTTCGTCTATGCTCTTAGGTAGGCTTGTTTTAGAGAAATTATTGGTAGAAGACTATGGCTAATTTATTATCAGTAAGTTTTTTGAGGTCTGTTATGACGTCACTTTAAGTGTGGGAGAGCGATGCTTCGGCACAGCCTCACAGAAACCTGACGTGAAACAAAGCTTGCGTTATAAATGTTTCGTGTTTCGTCTTGTGAGAGAGGTTACTGCGAGGCCCAATTACCGCCTCCACCCCTTCCCCAATATCCCCAATCCCTGAATTCCCAACAATCCTCTAAGTTCTAATATCAATAGGCGCGTAACATACTTGCAGCGCCTCTGGTGTTCCAGTGTTCATGGGTAACGCCGATCGCTTACCATCAGGTGATCCGTCTGCTTGTTTACCTGCCTATCCCATAAAAAACAATCTTACGTGGTATTCCAATAGCGAACATAGGCAGTCTGATAGTTTCGTTGCAGAAGGCGACTGCGATGATAGCATCAGCTACCAGCTGCACCCCAGCACCAGCTGCCGACCAGCGCGAGCCGCGGACACACGGCGGAGATGGAGTGCTGGACTCGGGGACTGAAGTTACCACCTTCGAAGAAAAAGGGTATTTGTTTGTCTATAGGTTTTTACTGGAATAATAGAATACTTTTTTAAAACATTGCATTTTTGTATGTTTGAAAAAGCACGTACATACAAAACCTAGATACACTCAGACGTTGAACCATTATACTATTTGAACCACATCACCATTTGAAGATACCACTATTAATTTTTTATGACGTATTCGACGTAAAATTTTGTGTGTGCATCGAAATAGTGTCAATTATGTAAATGTCTTTCTTACTTGTATCCTATCTCTATATTCCTTCACGACTGCATCAATATCCGTGGAGTCATCACCCGAAGACATCTCCTGCTCACTGGCTTCAGCATCAGATACCACGTCCACCTCAGCCGTGGCCATAGGCACACCACTACTGCTGCTGGTTGGATCATTCTCTTCTGTAGGACATCCTGCATATTCATCTAGAAGAAGGCACTCTCGTTCCTCAGTTTCTGAAAAGAAGAATTGGGGCTAATATAGAAATCATGTAGACCGTTAAAGAAGTTGTTGAAAATATTTCTGGTTAAGCAAGAATAGACCTTAATTTAAAGATTGACAATCAAGTATAAAGAAGGTATATAAAGAAAGGTCGCTACAAGATCAGTAATAGTGCAGAGAAAAATATGTTACCACTAATTGTATGTAGGTACCTTTAGCAGTTACTTTAGACTTGATACTCTCCAGAGTTTTGGTGTGGCGAATAGCAGATGGAATGAACCAAAGCCCCGACCGCTTGGCCTTACTTCCAGACGCTTTCGATCCTCTAGCAGCTTCTCTCCCTAAACGTTTGTATTCAATATCTGTAACACAATAAATTTTATAGAACTGTTGCACCTAGTTGTGGTTAAGTAAAGGTTTTGGAGTATACATACCTCCAGCCTCTTTCTGTTCAGCTGTTGGCACACACCTCATTACAATGAAATGTAAGGCTTGTATCGATATCCCAAGCAAGTGACTCGCATTCATTAGAGTGATCATATGTGATAAGGGGCACGCAAACGCAAGTATCGCTGCCAAACTTCCTGTAAATAATACATCAATTAAGGCTTCACCCACACAAATGTGAATCAGGTCTGTAATTTGATAATTCTAGTTAGCAGTTACGTGATTAAGCGATAACCAGTTATCCTACAGAGTATCGCGGTTGGGTTGCTAAATGACATCATCCCTGATTTATTCGCTCGTTATTACCAATTGACAAAACGTCGACACTCGACTGAGAACCTATATTGCTTAAAACCTCGTAATTTGGTTAGGTATGCAATGTGTAATTAGCATTATTTCATACGAACCGGCAGTAAATACCGCTAGAACTGGACTGCCGGTAGTAGTACTCTCGTAAGTCATTGACCTAGTAAGCACCTTCCATTCGGGTGAGGCTAGAGCTACTAGGACAGTGAAGAGTAACGGACAGAGCTCGGTCAAGGCGAGACAGATGCCGGCGACGGTTACAGCAGCTAGCACTGGACAGACCCAGCCCGCGGCCCTCGCCTCCAGCAGTGTGGTCACCGGCAGAGCTGCGTCGATGCTGTTCCTGTAACATGAACAAACGAGGATGTAAACAGATACGTATGATTACCCATTATTACGTACATTGATAGTAATAAGATGAAATGTTAGATACAACGTTTAGTTGGTTAGTACAACAACCTACATGAAACAGTGAATCTGATGACAAATTATTTAGTTCTAGAACAATATATCAACTTACCCTTTTAGCATATTAGTGTAGAGGAAACATAATCCTGAGAGAACTATGGTGGGTAGTCCGATCATGAGGAAAAGATTTTTCTTTAAGGCACCTTTTTCTTTCGGGAGTATTACGTTGAAGGCATAGGATATTGGTGCACCAGCTGCGAACAACTGAAAAAAAAAATGTTGTTATTCACGCTGTAGATGCAGTTGTAATAATATGCGTGTTTTGTATTTGCTTACTTCATACACGGTGATTGGTATTGGCATATTGATGTTTGCTATATCGAAGTTGATAAGTCCGAAAATAGCAAAGAACTGGCTGAAGATGTATAAAAGGATTAAAAGCATGAAGGTAAACATCATGCTTTCCTGAAACCAAATTGTCATAAATTAACATGGTAGTTACGTAGTTAATAAATTACATTGTTCTGTATCTTTGTTACATTTATCTCCATTTCGATTTTTGTAATATCGCTGCCTGTGATCCAATTAAAACTGTACCGATTATAATAATCTTATTATACTAAACTTCAAGATTTATTTACGTTGCAACACGACACGATAGGCAAAACCTGGCTTGAGTTATGTAACAGAGATAGCAAGAGCGTTTTTGTACGATGAAGTGACACTTACCTCTAAGCCGCACATGAACATGGCACAAACGACCATGACAACGGTAACACCGAGCACGTCAGGCCAGGGTTCCCCAAGTGCTCGAGTTTCATAACCAAACAACCATCTTCTAGTTCGACCACCAGTCACATGATCAGCTGTGGCGCTCAGAATACGAGCACAGATTGCGACAGCCACCAAATGAGAGAGGAAAGTCATCCACATTGCCATGAAATCTGCGAAAGAGCGTAAATTGCGCTCGCGACGGCCTCTAGATGTTTTTGGTGGTGGAAGTATCTCCGCTAGCTTTTTGAGGTCTTTGCATGTGAAGGCTGCAAAGATTTAACATAATTTAAGTAAGTTGAATACTAGATTTGTGGTATACAAGAAGAAAATTTTGTCGTACTGGCAATAGTGATGAAGATTGCAAGGAGCATGACTGCAGGAACAGCGCAGTAGCTGGAGTTGGCAGCGGCAAGGGGAGCTAGGAGGAGTGCTCCAAGGGTCCATCGCGCTCCACACGCCTCCCCGCCGCTAAACGCGCTCAGAGCCTTGCTCATCTTGCTCCGCTCACTTCGTTCCGTCATCGTCGTGTCTCTATAAAGAAAATTGTAATTTTCTTCGAAAATTATTACAATTCTTGATTCTTTACATTGACCAGGGTATCTTTTTAAGAAAGACTGAGGTCCTCACCAAATTCTTGGTATTAAATGTCGAATAAATAATTGATTGTCTTGTACAACTGTAAAGAAACATTATGTAAACAATTGATAAACATGTAACTATAATAATCCCTTTTTAGTACTACTGTCAATGTTTTCAACAGCTTTTAGGAGATAAAAGATCATATCTTTAGGAGATAAAAGCTCTGATTATATGACTGTCATTTCAAAGAGGAAAATTACAGTTATCTTATCAACAGCAGTGATAGAAAATTACATAGTAACATGAGATGACTTTCATGTTTCATTTACATAATACCTGGGTATCTATTTACGAGTGAGTACATTAAATTTTCTTTCTGATGAATGTTTCAATTTTTTTTTGATTATTCAAGGCAGGTATAATGTTTAATGGACGTAATTATTTTCATACATAGGAACGTCATAATTATTTTGAATAGTTCACGATAAGCTGAGTAAACTAGGCCACAGTCAAAAAGAAAAAGGAAAACTATAATCGGAAAAACAAAGATCGTATTAACAAATTATTTAGTCAAAAAGTGTCAGTGTTTCAGTTCCCAAAATATTATACTAATTATCGTTTTAATTATTCGATTAATTACCAATAATTTTCCTATAGGCAGGCACCACAAAGAGAAAATAGAACTAAGGTACAATAAAATAATAAATTAGATAACTCACCATCGTCGCAGCGCAGGCTATTTACGAATTAACAGCACTTTCGATAATAATGCCAATTTCACACTATCTCACTACATTTTCAATGGATTAACACTAGCTGCTAATTAAAAACAGTTTTACGTAATTTTTAATCCTCTGACGTAGTTTTTTGTATTTTCCTGTGTATTTTAGCTGTGTGTGCCGGTAAATAAGGTCGTGTTTTCATGTTTATGCGACAAACGCGAGCAGGGTGGCAATACACTGCTCCTTTGTTGTCTCACTCGCGATCGATACGGGATATCGGTTGGGGTGACCATCCTCGTGGAAAATTTACCGTACACTTTGTAAGCCCACCCTGTGTACATATTTTTACTTTGTTATACATGCTTTTTGCACCTTATAGTTATGTGTTTAGGTCCTACATGGTAATTCTATCAAAAACAAACTTTTAACACCCAAGCAATGGCAATACTAAAATGTATCGTCACGCCTTGATAGATCTGAGATTTCGTTTAAGTTTTAAGGTTTGAAATTGAAATTACTCGATGTAATTGTATGACATATCCATTCATTAATCTAATGCTTGAATATATTAGTCTTTAATGTTCCTGTAGATGTAAAAAGCGTATAAGAAAATAAGTATTTTTTTTAAGAGGGAGTATCATCGAATGTCTCGCCCTGGTGAGGCTCTTACTGACTAAAATCCACCCTGTTCCTGCTCCTGAATTTCGAGGCGGAGCCCCGGTAACCTTTTACGTTCTTCGCTGCTCCAAGATAATAAGTATAGATAGATTCTAATGACATAATGGATAAGGTACTTTTGCTACTTACACAGACACTACAACTATGGCAACTTCATCAACAGCCTATAAATGCCCACTGCTGAGCAAAGCCTCTTCTCACACGGAGAAGGTTATAGCATTAATCACCACGCTTGCTCAATGCGGGTTGGCGATTACAAAATTATAATTAGAAATTGAACCTTCAAGAAAAGAGCGTACTCCTTTTTAAAAGGCCGGCAACGCACCTGTGACTCTTCTGATGTTGCGGGTGTCCATGGGCGGCGCTGATCGCTTACCATCAGGTGATCCGTCGGCTCGTTTGCCTCCTATTGCATAAAAAAAAAATTATATAAGCCCAGGTTATCTCACGATATTTTCCTTTACCGTTTGTCAGTGGTGTCTAAATAATCTTAGAAAGTACATATAACACGGAAAAAGTCACATTGGTACTTGCCGTTGATAGGTTTCGAACCCGCATTCTCATGCATGAGAAGCCAGCGTCTTAAACCTCCGGGCCACCACGATATTACTCTTCTGTTACTATGGCAACTTAATCTTCTGTTACATTTCCTGCCAGATGTTTTAACTCGTGTATTGACGGTTTAGCAGATCTACGCGGGACGCAATGTATTTTCTTTTGAGTCTCATTTACCGGCAGAGAAGAGATTTTTTAATCTTTATTTAAGTACGGGGCTTTTTTCTTGAAATGTTCTTAACAGAAAGTGGCACCCCGACTATTGTGTACATATAGGTATATTATAAGTTATACATAGACAAGCTAGGCTGAATGGGCTGCGCGACATCCGTCGCCGCGACCGTGCACGCTGCTCATGAAAAAGAGTCCCTCTGTGACGCGAAACTGGTAGAGCTTTTCTCAGTATATTTACGCGAGTACCGACATTTTTAGTTAATTCAGTATGTCTCACGATTGTTATTAGAAACAAAACAAGAAGTTAATATATAATACTTCCGCCATTCAGATGGGACAAACCAGTTCTGTGGTCACTCTATGCTTATCTAATGCCTTCTAATTTTCTAAGGCTTCTCTCTAAACGGTCTACTTGACGTGTAAACCTTGTCTAATAATTCGTTCTCAGCAGATATAACTACCTGGCTACTTAGTATGTATGTTTCATACGAAATGTAGGTTACTATTCCTAGGTAGGTTCGGAGTCGCAGAGAACCTAACGGGTTACCGGGGCTCCGGCTCGAAGTGCAGGAGAAGGAACGGGGTGGGTTTTAGTCAGTAAGAGTCTGACACTCCCTCCCGCCTCACCCAGGCGGGAGCAGCCATTCGATGATTTTCCCTCCTTAAAAAAAATACCTAGGTAGGTATGTACTTTTAATATTTGATGGGTCTACGTTTGACCACTATCTCGTCGTCTGGTAGTAAGCGATGATGCGGTACTTATATTGTTTTGAAATATAGAACTACATCTCAGGTGTTTGACTATTGATTTCCTTCTAAACTGTTAGACTGATATTAATAAAATATTTGTTTTTCGATAGAACCTGAGATGGTGCAACTATACCTAGAGGTATGTTGGTTTGTTTTTGATACAGTCGACCTGAAGGATAAACGGTCAGGTAACAATAGGCAGAGCAACGGAAAAGTCAATCCAAAAAGTACAAAAACCTCTTTAGTCACGATTGTAGTTCCTAATAATACTGTTTCATATGATACGTTTACATAATTAATGCAACACCAAGATGACGTGTCAAGGAAGGGTTCAATTAAAGTTCATTGTTCAAGAACCTAGTTGAAGTCTCGAAAAATCTGACTTGACACATAATATAGGAATTGATGACGTAATCTAATTATGACACCTGACTCAAATGTTCCCCGTTTCAGTTCACGGAAGAATTTACTCGCATACTGTACTCATGATCGAGTTTCAGACAAACAATACAATTGTAGCTTGTTAGTGGATAAAATTTGTCGTTTGGAAAGTTCCGATGTGGGCTGTAATTAATGAATCATGTTGTTTAGTCATGTTTTAGCAGACTGAGTAATTAAGTAGGTACCTATCTAGTTTATTAATTTGCATCGTTGCTAGAGCAAAATTGCAATGTTTTTCTTAATTTTAGACAAACTAAATAAATTATTATGTTTTCGGCTTACTCACTTAATAATTTAACGAGGAACTCGACTAGTTTCAAGCTATGCTAGAGGCTCATATTCATGAGCAGCATTTCGCGACCCGCGACGCGGCGACTGGCGCGCTGCTACTATAAGCCGAAAACATAATAATTTATTTAGTATGTCTCACGAAAGTTACAATACAAATTTAGACAGACTCCCTCAATGGTCAGTTGGTGGCAAATGTGATACAAAAATAGTTTGGGTAATAAAAAATACACTGTACACTGTTCACTGTTTATTTTAAAACACAAATAACTGTAGATGTGCAGACAAAATACTTAATTTGTGTGCGAGATAAAATTGCACGTAGGTATTTCCATACATGTCTTTAGAAACCAACTACATATGTAACTAATATGCTATAAAATAAATATTTATTTTAGTACTTAATATTTAAAATACTTTACATCACATTACCGAGTTCGTTCCTCTATCTTAGATGTATCTTTGTCTCCAGCCTTCCCATTATAAGTCCAGCCCCAATTCGGAACAAAGTTATTATCTTGAAGGCGTCGAAGTCCAAACCTTCGATGCCAGGGGTCGTCATCTCGTTGCGTGTAAATGTCACAGAATGGTCGGATAAGTAATATGTAGAAGAGTTCCACGAAGCTAAGGATACTGGCTCCAAGGAATAAACCGCCAGTTCCACCTGTTGATACTGGAAACAATTAAAAATAATTGTCAATCTTACGAGTATCTATTTGATACAAAGTCATGTACTAACGTTAATAACTCCTTTAAACATCGATTGTCGTTGGTTAGTACGCCTCATTAGATGGTCGTAACATAAGTGCAGCTGCCGAGCAAGAGTGCTTACTAGACTTTACCTTTTCCAAAAAAGTATTTCACTAGAGCTACTTATTTCCTTTTGAAATATGATTGTCTTACACAATCTTATCAGCTATTGGTACCTACCTATAATGTAATTGGTGAAAAGGTACAAAATTTATACCTATAGTTTTTCTAATATCTCCCCTCACCTACTAAATCCAAGACCCCTCGCACCACGTTCCTCCTGTACCGTTCGCTGGGTAGAACCGCCAGTTCAATCTGAACGCTTGCATAACTATCTGTCGTGACGAACTTGAAATCTTTTGTGATTGAAATCTCCGCCTCCGTGCATGACGGGAGACAGTTGCAGGATAAACCAGGACGGGACGACCAGCTGGCTTTTAGAACCTAGATTTTTAAGAGATCTATTATGAAACAAAAGAGAACATTTTAAAACTGGCATAGCTTTATAATGATTAACTCCTTACCGACAGTTCATGGACATGACTGTTCAAACAGATGATACCGCTCACATTACAACGCAGATGTTCTGGAACATTCGGCATGAAGTAATTCGTACAGTTACAAAGCTTTAGCTGAGCGTCTTTCCTACACTGCACAGTACAAGCAGTGTACGAATAGTGATGGTACACTTGTAAGAAGTTCTCATCTATATAGCGACATTTCCTCTTCTCCGGCGATATCAATCTAGCCCCAGCGTCATTTTCTATGTTACGTATTGTGATATAACGCCTACAAAAGATGATTAAAATTAACTTTATTAGGTACAGTCTCTGCCATATTCCTTGGACTCAATTTCTTAAGTGTCTCCTAATTCGACGAACTCGTTAGATAGCTATCGCTTTACGTGAACGACAAACGTGTACCTAGACATGCCATTGCCAGACAAACTGGAACAAAGGGATGTGATTATGTCATTATTGTCTTTTTTCATATTGATGGTCATGCCTACACGTAATACACGCACTTCGTGACTACAATGTTTTTACGCTCCTTCAATTAGGTGCGTCCATAGTGCGGTCTTAAGACCTAAGGCCGAGGCTCCAAGGTGTTAAGATATCCCTATATTAATATGAGTGGTTAAGGTGTTCATGTCCTACATTTCCGTCAGTAATTAGTCATCCTTACTTATGAAATATTTCTTGTCCAACTGTGAGAACATCTGAGCCTATAGTAGTAAGTGTGGGCACCTCTTCCTCATTCAGAATGTAAATATTTGCTGTCACCATCACGTCGAATCTGATTGCTCCTGGACCCGTGGTGCGATTACTTGTCATGTCCAGTTTAGGAGCATTCTTCTCTCTGAAAGAAAATCGTAAGAGATTATTACGCAGTTACCTTCCACACATCAGCTAGTATCGATCGACACTTTCCCTTACCTTCCCTGTAGAGTATTAATAGCATAACAAGTTCCGAGCTCCGTGTCCATCGGTCTGAAGTACTCACAACATTCGAATGGTTCCCCATTCCATGAGCAGTTTGCTAATGTCTCTTCACAGGTGCTCCTTACCTAAAGTTGATATTGAAGATTGGTAAGACTCCAATACTTTATCATATCTTATTGCCATAATCCCCACGCTTGGCAGACGGCTTGGGGATCGTAGTTGGGTCACCGATGTATTTTTGGAACACTGCAGCCCGTTCCTCGGTGGCTGGTCGCAGTTTTACGACGTACCTAGGTCCAACTAGCCTTTGAGCATTCTGTACGAGCTCCTTTGGCAAAGTATAGAGGTAATTCCTTAAATGTAGGTAACGAAGCAAACTCTCCACTCTGCACCCTTATGCAGTTATGCGGCACACAGCGCTGGTATTATGTCACTGGCTACACTCTTATCTAGACTCTTAAATGTGTGTAAGTTAAGTAAGTATGAGTATTGTATGGTAATTACTTACGTACCAAATTAGCGTAATAAGTCAAATTCGTCTGCATGCAGTCTGGTAAGGGATCCACCAAGTTACAAAATTCCGAAGTATAGTAAGTTATTCCTTTGAAAAAAGCTAGTTCCTTTAACACTTCTTCCATATTGAAATCGTGGTCTTCTCCCCATAGCCTGTTGTGACAAAAATGAACGTTTAATCTTTGCAATTCATTGGTCTGAAATTTATACTAAGTAGGATGAATAATCAAGCCGCAGAGCAAAAACCACATATTGGAGAAAAGTTAGTTTTTAACGTTAAGTAAGCTTACGAAAAGTACACTACCCCTTCGAGAAACAATTTATTTAATACCTAGGTATCTCGTTGTGCAATATTTAAATGAAAACAAAATTACTTATCAGATATTTCTTCCACACGGTTTGAGTTATCGTTTTCACAGACAACTACTGTCGGGAACTCTGTGTTCCAATCTTTGTAGGTCGTCTCCACCACGAAGGAAATTGGATTGTTCTGGAAAGCATCGTACTGGGCTGCAATCAACAGGGATGATCCATACCATGATAGTGCAACGGCTACCAACCAGAATATTCTGGAACATTTAATGCCATATAATTTATTTTATTTAGACGAAGAAGGCAATTTTGAACGCCTAAAATATGGTCTATCTGTAGTACTTTGGATATTTAGAGATATAAGTCTTCGTTCAAAATTGTACCTAACTAGATGCGTATGAAGAAGAACAAGTAAGAATTTGGATATCATAAAGAAAACCAAGAAATACTTTGGTAAATATATCGGTATTACATAGTTTAATTACCTTTCCACCCAATGTCTTTGCGTATCAGCAATGAATCTAAAACCATGAATGGAAGTCGTCTCAGGCAAACTCTTTATCCCATTCCACCATATCTCTAAATATCTCCTACAGGACTCATTGGACTTCATCGTCACAACCAACGGCAAACACTAAACAATTTTCCTTCCAAAATATTTATTTTATACAACAGCTTACGTGCTTAACAATAATACAATACATTGTTCTATCTAAATAAATAATGAAGATGTAAAATTATACCGGGAGCTTAACTTCTAATATAGATTTTAATCAGCATGAGAGCGGCACAGGTGTTCAAATGTTACGACCATTATACAGATAACTATTATTTCGTGGTGTAATGTCTAATGATGATTGCCTACTATACAACATTATTGTACACTACTGTGTATTATGCACACTACACATCTTACTATTTAATTGCAATCAAATTGTACAGTTAAATCCTAGATCTATACAGCCTACACATCTTCAAGTAAAACTGTATATAACTGTTTGCTCTACACAGCTTACGATAATTGTACAGTTCGATTGTATAATTGAATCGTAGGGTGTGTACACTACATTACTCACAAATGAGTGGTTAATAGTTAAAAGACACAATCGATAATATTAGTCAAGACATTTTTTTGAACTTTGACCTATAGATACTAATATTGTGGCAGCATTTACAAACCTACAAGTTTACATACAACTGGCACCCAGACCCGAAACAACATTTTGTGAATCACATAAAGTTGCTCCGTATTGGAATCGAACTCGCTACACGTTCCACGGCAGCCGGTTGCTTAGCTACCGCACTAACCGTGCAGTCTAAGTATAAATTTGGTGTAAGTACATACATGTAAGATAATAAAGATTGTTTTAGTTCAGAGAACTTGACTATTTTGACTACTGTATTCTTTTTAACGAAGTTGTTGCCTTTGTATTACCTATACCGCTACCAATATTCGCCTATTTACTCTTGTAACTAGTTCTATTTGTCCATGCATAGTTAAGCTAAAATGTTCATCTGAATAAATGAATTTATTCACAGGTAAATTCACATCTATTGGCATTGGAAATAAATATTTCTGTATCAAGTGAAAATTATTATCAGCCTACTTTTGAGAACAATACCGACTTGTTAGTTCCATGACAACCTTCGCAACAGACAGGCACGAACGACGCCCTTATCGTTTTGTTTCCCAAACGACGATATCAAACAAACAATTAACTGTCAAAATGTGAAGTTGATTCACCGAATTCTTGAGGACATTTTTAATTAAAATACGTTGTTCATAAATATTATCGATATGGCAGTCGCGAATAAGAAGGCGAGTTTTGTAACCAGCGATTTCGAAGTTTTCGGGAAAGTGCAAGGCGTCTATTTTAGGAAACACACTCAGAAGAAAGCCATGGAGTTGGGTCTTAAAGGATGGGTGATGAACACTGCTCAAGGGACTGTCGTAGGACAAATCCAAGGCCCTGCTGTAGCTGTAGAAGATATGAAAACCTGGCTGCAAAAGGTGGGAAGCCCTAAGTCGCGAATTGAAAAGGCTGCCTTCAAAAATGAAGGGCCTGTTGTTAACTGCGCCTTTAGATCCTTTGATATACGACGGTAAACAAAGACTAGCCTTATTCTGTGTGCCTTCAATGTATTCGATTAGCATAACATATAATTATTATTAAATCTCATAGTTTTTTTTACTTCTTTGATGTAATTTGAATTTTATTAAATTTACTTTTTGCAAAGAATGGTCTGTTTAATTTTTTGGCTGTTAAATGTTGCTACTCTGTGATGTGTTGTTTAGTCCTTTTTTAGTCCTTTATTTAGGGCCTATTTTTCAATCGCCAGAACCTACTAACGGCAACTACCAATATGACTTTTTCTGAGTTATATGTACTTTCTAAGATTGTATAAACACCACTGACAAAAGGTGAAGGAAAACATCGTAAAGAAACCTGGTACTCGTCGAGTACCGGTTTTGTAGACACAATTATAGAACAATAGGTTGCGGTCACCGGTGACCGCTTGGTGTTTGACAGTTTAATAAGTTTGAAATCGCCAATATTCTGTACAATAAAATGGACATTTGACAGTTTTCTATGGAAGAATTGTCAAATATTCAAAGTTCCTCGGATAAAATTTATATAATTTTAAGTCCTATTTTGAAATGTTCAATATCTATTATAATATGCCCCAATATAGACAACCTATCTACTAGACAATATACCTATAATCTATTAGTTACACAGGCAAATTTTCTTTTTTTATCGTTATTATACAGCTTAGTACTTCACGACACGAGAAAGGCAGCTGCTGGTGTAAATAGAAAATAATTTAATCACGATATCTTAGCAGCACGCGAACAACAAAAGACCTGTACATCTTATCTTCAGCAAGAATAGAGCATTGTTGTCTCACAACCATGTTCAACAAAGAATCATAGATTTATTATTAGATGCAGAATATTTTTAATTAAAATTGTGTCAAGTTGAGATGTTATTTATTGTTTCGGTTATAAAGTAATCGGTCTTCATCGTCGGATTTTCAAGTGTATTTTATAAGGTTCAGACAAAGAAATAACTCTAAAATTGAGTAATAGGAATTAACTTAAACTAACGAAAAACTCAATTCAGAAGCATTAACATTGGAATCTCAACTGTCAATTATTAGGTACAATTCTGAGATACTAATTCATCTTCATCACATGTCTACGACAATTTTTTTTTGTACGTAATATTTTAAAACTTTTAGGTTTACCTGATTTCGATATAACAACAAAGATTTCATAACTTCCACCGTATTTTATTCGATTTCAAAGTTGAATCAGTAAAAAATCCTTAAAAATATACGTACCTACTTTAAGCGGGTTTTCGACTCGTACATACTGACAGTAATGGATTAATTAAAGAGTTAATTCATAATTGCGAGTTCCTATGTCAAATGTGGATTGTATTTATCATTGCAGTCGGTTCGCTCTTCGGGAAGAAAGTGTGTGTAGGCGGCCATAGTCTATAAATGCTGGATTCCCAGCTATCCAGACATTTCTCATAATACCTGAGCGCTAACTGGACGTACACGGGAGTACGAGAGCATTTCGCGCCAATATCTTGCACTCGTTACCACAGATAAAGTTTGTCATTGTCTATGAAAATGAAGTTGTATTATGTGTGTTTTCTTTTTGGTATAATTTTGTGTTCCATCGCCATGTGTGAGGCGTATCCATTCCGAGGGGGGAATATTGATTATGTGAGTATTTTATTATTATGTATTGGATTATATATTGCGTTTAATTATTTGCATTTAAGTGTTGAAAAATATTTTAGGTTAAAACTTTTTACTGTACATGTTTTAGACGAATGCAACTTCAGCGAAAGTTTTATTAAACTTTTACATACATAGTTCCTTTATTTAGGTTGTATTAAAAAAAGTATTATGATACTTCTTATGTGTATTTATTAAATAGCTAAGTAGTTGTATCGAACAATTAATGCTTTATTACTAAATATTTGAAATTAAAAATAAGTGGAATCGTATGTGATATTTATTTAGGAAGTTAGTTAGTTTAGTAAATATACAATTAAAAATAATTTCTAGACGATCAAATTTTTTTATTTATTTATTATTTAAAATTATATTAACAGTGATGTTTGTGTGTGCTACGTCACCAAAGTTATAGTTTCGTAGTACATTGCTACGAAAAATATTGAGGACATGAAAATTCGTAGCACTCGCTACGAGAAAAGTTCGTAATCGATATTTTTCTTTCACTCCATATTATGAAATCGTATTTTAGAAAAACTGGGGTTTATTTTTTTAATTTAAAACGCATTGGTTTGCTATACATGGAGAGTTCCTATTTACATTATATTTTGGGTACCACCGAAGTGCCTTAAACTTTAAATCCTGTCTTATCATCAAGTAAACAGTGGTTCGTTTGCTCCTATTAAAAATCTAAACCCTAAGAACCATAAACATAACATAAAATTACGCCTTTTATCCCCGAAGGGGTAGGCAGAGGTGCACATTACAGCATTTAATGCCACTATATGTACAATGTTACACCCACTTTTCACCATTTATGTTATGAGGCCCATGTAATAGGGTGTGAGCCTATTGCCATATACCGGGCACATTTCCAGACTCCGTGCTACTACTGATTTTTACAAACCCAGTAATACTCTTTCGACCACTCGGCCAATGAGGCAGTCTTAAGAACCAAAAGCAGATGATGAGATAATCATTTATAATAAATTACCAAATAGTTTACAAGAATTACCATTGACATTATTTAAGAAAATGCTTTTTAAACTTTTGCTATCCAAGTGTTACTATAGTATTAAACTGTCAAACACCAAGCGGTCACCGGTGACCGCAACCTATTGTTCTATAATTGTGTCTACAAAACCGGTACTCGACGAGTTAAGGACTATTTAGAAGATAAGACGATAGAATCTTGATAGTGAAATTTTAATAATAAATTTGCACGCCATATACGGCAAGATACGCTGGAAAATTTTTTTACTGTAACACCTTTTGTACCGTATTTTAGCAAATAAACATTTTTGATTTGATTTGATTTGATTTGATTTAAAAAATCCTGCCGACTTTACCTCATTATTAAAAACCAGGAGTTACTAACTTACCCTTATGTATTTTAGATGGAAGCTCTTCGTCGGATGCAGCAGATCCCGCAATGGCACTGCATGAGGTACAGAAAGTTGCAGCTGCACGGCCATTGCAGTCGCTGGCTGCTGATGCGACGGACCTGATACCCTAGGACCTCGGTCAGGAACTGGAGATCCAGATAATGAACCAAAGCATCAAATGTCATGTTTGTATACGTCATAATACATTTAGAAACGTACTCAAATATTTCTATTAAAAATTGTGATTTTATGACCCAAATTGATCTTTAAGACTTGCGGCATATAGTCTATATTAGGAGATATCTAAAACTGATATCATAATGAAAGATGCAACTGTTTTGCAAAACTTGCTGTCGACAACATCAATAAATTAGATAGGTGTGACTGTTATGTTGTCTATCTTTATGATCTAAAATGATCCTTAAAACTTGGGCTGTAAAGTCTGTGTTTGAACTAAGACTTGGATAAATTATAACCTATCAATTGTGTAAAGCTGTCTATAGACTTTCGAAATTATTATATTGAATTATTGACTGACTTTAGGGACCTTTCCTAACTGACGATTCTTTATACTTACTATACAATATATTCACGTAGGTGACATAGGATTAGAAGAAATTAGAAGTAGGTATTTTATTAAATGTTTTAATTACGCCCGTAGTTTATTTTATAAGTTGTATTTTTCCGTATGAATTATTTGTTTAATATTTGTAAGTGTAAGTACAAACATACATACATACATGACATATTTCATTGATATTTACTGCGAACTATTTCATTTGTCAACAAGTTCTAATGAAAGTGTAAAGTATTTAGAAATAGTGATAGACGATATTTATTTAGTAGTTTTGTAAGATTGTTTACAATTTATGTAATAAGTTGAAAGTGTGTATAGTACTGCACAATATCTGGTTAATTGCATATTACGATTAGAACATTTTATTTCTATTTATTGACAAACAATGTTTGTGTCTCTTGGCCTTTCTAAACGTTTCATTTTGTAATATTTTATATATTATGTAGAAATAGTTTTTGTATAATTCAAGTTTCTATAACGTCTTTAAAATGAGTATCTAGACGTTTATTTGACAACAGATTATTGCATTATCTTGATAATAGAAGTTTAAAGCTACGTTAGAGGTTAGTTGAAATATAGACTTTAACTTTTTTGTATACGTGCCAAAATCGCTAATAAAAGGAAAAGGGAATGTTCTAGAAATGTTGCAATATACCTACTTGAGTGTAAACAATGTAATAAAGGTTGGGGTCACACAGTAACAGAACTATAGAGAGATTATGACGCTTATGCTGCACCGCTCAAATGCCATTCTACTTTTAAATTGATTATATCTCTGTCTCTATAAAATACCTTCAAACAAAAGAGACAGAATTAGAATTGCGAAACAATTCGGTCATTAAAATCTTTTATTGTTTTCCAGTAATTATTTATTGCAATATTGTTTTAATAATAGTCATTATTTTGTTGCTTTATAAAATGCAATTATTGTTGTAGTAGATAAATGTTGTTATTAAATGCAAGCATTAAATCTTTCCACAATGGATTCCCGTTCACTTCATAAATTAGTATTACTTCAGAGATCAAAGTCTGGCTTTAAAGCTATCTAATAATGACTTGACGACATCATTGCATCATCACTTCGGTTTCGCACCGCAACCGGTGTGATCCCAACCTAACTTGTATAAGTACTTATAAATCTAACTCATCAGTATTACTATTTTTACGTATATTGCCTAAAAATAATATTTTAGTAAAGTAAAATAAACTATTGTAGTAATTACGAATAGAGTAGGTTCAGATTCTGTTGTTACTAAAAATAAAACGAATTGTCAAAGATATTAGTGTGGTTTTATTCAAACATCAATCTAGGATCAAAAAACAATTAACACGAAATCTATATATATAAAAATGAAACCTTTTTCCCGTTGTTTTTTTATACCTCACTCACACGACGAAACACAACGCAAGCGTTGTTTCACGTCAGTTTTCTGTGAGGCCGTGGTATCAATCCGGTCGCGCCGGCGCATTCGTGCCGAAGCATGGCTCTCCCACACTTGTCACGCCATAATTTTAGAACGGCTAGACCGATTTTGTTGATTTTCTTTGTTGTGTTTGTTATTGTCAGGAGAAGGTTCTTAAGACAGAAATAATCCTGAAAATCCTACGGGAACGGGAGGAAACGGGATTGCGCGTACGAAGTCGCGGGACGAAGCTAGTGTTAATTAAAAAACGTTTTATCGTGCCAATTAAACACTTATTTTAACTAGCACTAAAGAATACATTATTTAAAACCTTTGAAATAGATTAGGTAATAGGTACATAGTATCTGCAATAACCTAACAGCAATCTATCAGACAGAATCGAGCATAAATTATACGAGATGAATGAGATGAGCTGTCAGTAGAGAGCAATGGGCTCTTACATCAAGTAACCGATGTCTTCCTGTACTTACTGGTAACTGGGACACTCCCAGATACTGCACATACATCTTACACTAGTCACTGGAGTATTTCGTAATGATGTACAGACGGCAGCAGGTTAACCTACCCATTACAAATCTCTTTATAAGACTTTATCGTTTAGATGCAAAGTCGAAAATTCAATGGCAAACTTCGAAACTTCGTAAGTACTAATGTGACTTTTTCCGGGTTATATGTATCTACTTTCTAAGTTCATATACATGAAGGTAACCATGAGGAAATCTTAAATTATAATTTCGAATTATAATTTAGAAAATTAGCAAGGGCAGTGGTTTAATACTATTTGCTTCTCCATGTAAGAAGAGACTTTTTCTTAGGAGTGTGTAATAGTTCCAAGCTGATGATGTAAGTACTTGTGAATCTTGTTACAATGTTATACTGTTACTTGGGAAGTCATCACGGTGAAGACAATCTGATATCTGATACTTGACGTAACTACTCGTAAATTATTGCAGTTGTAGATAGCTACAGATATGATTTAAGAGATATAACTTTGAATGGATAAAGTTACGAAAAGCTAAAGTGTTGAAAATGCCTCGTGTACTTTCTTATAGCCGGTAAACGAGCAGACGGGTCACCTGATGGTAAGCAATCGGTGCCGCGCATAGACACCTGAAACACCGGAGGCGTTACAACTTACAAGTGCGTGGGGAGACTGGGGATGGGGGGGTGGATTGAGCCTTCTGTAACCTCACTCACACGACGAAACACAACGAAAAGCGTTGTTTCGCGTCAGTTTTCTGTGAGGCCGTGGTATCACTCCGGTCGAGCCGGCCCATTCGTGCCGAAGCATGAGTCTTCCACACTTAAACTTTGGGATTATCTTTCGGAAGACGGATTGAAGGTCCAAAGTTATAACAGCAATTTCACACTGTGTACACTCTTATTGTATGTTTTATTTAAATCGGACTTTTTCATGAATACAAAAAACAGTAAGAAGATATAAAGATTTCACGTCTAGTATGGAATTCTGATGTACACCTGTTGACATAGTAAAGCTGAAATTTGAAAAGTAGGTTAATTACCTATATTTGACTAGAAAAACCGAACACTGTGGCAATTACAAAGCGTGTGATTGATAAAAGTCGGATCTCCGTTAAGCTACTTATGTAGTTTAGTGCCTATAGTTATTTTAATTTGATTGTATGTTTGTATAATTTAGCAGAAAACTTAGGAACCCCGCTAGTAGCGTATGCTTCTTGCGGTCTATCACTCTGAGGCCCGATCACTTCAATTTCTGGAGGTCCGGGAAGTTCTAGCAGGAATGGTGTGTCCTTAGTGGTGATAGATTCATTGTCCTTCTTCCTTTGCATCCAGATATTGCTGATGAAGCGGACGGTGAAGAAGAAGAATAGTTCGACGAAGCTTAGTAAGCTTGCTCCAACGAATAGTCCTGTTGTTCCTCCAACTGACACTGGAACATATATCAAGTTAAAACTGTAGTTGACCTATTAACAATATAAAGTGAGATAGGCAAATATAGGCTAATGCTAGTCCATAATGATTGCAGTATGTTCCTATATTGGATAGTTCTGCAAATTCTAATCCTTTTCATGTAGATCGGTCCAGCTGTTTTGGCTGCTTGTAAAACTGAGTAATAAGTATCTTCAGGACATTCATTAAAATCATATTTATTATTATAGGTACCTAGTTACCTAGTATTCCTAGTTTAAATGGTTATATTAATATAATGTAGGAATAATTTACCAACTAAATCAAGCCGACTTCTAACAACGTTTCTCTTGAATCTTTCAGTGGGTAAATAGGCGAGAACAATTTCGACGTGCGCCTTCTTTTTGTTAGCTTTACCTTTGACCCTGGAACATTAATGGGCGATAACGAATTAAAACAGAGAGGGCGCCACTGTGCAAATAGTTGTATAAAAGGGTGCGGAAGGAATAACCATTCCTTTTAAAGCTAACCTGCTTTAATAATAGACTTTGTTATATAAATAGACGAAGTGGGATATTATTTTTCTTATGATACGTTTGGTTCGACTTGTTAGCTACAAGGAAGTTGTAGCTTTTATTTTAGTGTTTTATTAGTGGACTAGCCACCCGCCCCGGTTTCGCACGGGTGCAATATGCATGTATTCTACATATAAGCCTTCCTTAAGAATCACTCTATCAATAAAAAACCGGATCAAAATCCGTTGAGTCGTTTTAAAGATCTAAGTATACATAGGGACAGAGAGACGGCGGATAGCGACTTTGTTTTATACTATGTAGTGATGTAATCTTTGTAATGTTATTACAACAATACGAAAACTGTTGTAAATGGCTAACCGAAAGTAAGTAATACTTTTTAGATGCAAATTGTTAAATTCTGAAAAAAAAATAGCATAATACTAGTTATATTTTTCCACAGTCAGACAGATAACGTTTACGTTCGGACTGTTAACATTTACCTACCTAGTATATGTAGTGAATAAAATCAAGAGGTATCATATAAGTTACATAGTTAGAAAAAAACAACAATCTCACGAGGTAGTGATATCTTTGATGACAGTAATTTCAGTTTCATCACACGAAGGCAGGCAGTTGCAAGAGAGCCCAGGACGTTTTGCCCAAGCCGGCTTCAATATAGTCAAATGATTTTGTAATTTGTTTAAACATGCCATTCCTGTTAAATTGCATCGTGTTTCTTCAGCTGTAATATAAATAAATGATTAAGATTATTCCATTGATCAATGAATAGTGATGAATGTACTTCGGCTGCAGATTGTTCCGATATACTAAGGTGTTCAACCAAATGTGTCAAGACCAATACTATTACTTTTCTATTCTCTCGTTTGACTGACATTTAAATGTCATTTGTCTAGATCTTAAGGGTAAAATTATCGAATGACTGATCCCGCCTGGGTGAGGCGCGAGGGAGTGTCAGACTCTTCTTACTGACTAAAAACCACCCCGTTCCTTCTCCTGCACGTCGAGCCGGAGCCCCGGTAACCCGTTAGGTTCTCCGCGACTCCGAATCGGCATCGGCCCGGTTGGCCCCATCTGTGGTGGTCTGATGGCTCTTTGAGGCGCGCGCGGAACGCGACGCACCGTACGCTCGGGTCTGTTTCTGGTCGGACGGGGAGCCATCCGTGCTCACCGTTCGCAAGCCCACGCTTGCGGTGGCCGGAGATCGTATGTGTCTAGATCTAGACTCTAGAGTTTAGAGAGATAGGATGGTACTTATGAATTTTAGAATAGATTATCGAGATACATAAATATATATGTACATATCTAGAGAATACGCTTGCATGGTTTGGTTAAGATGGCGAGCGACAATCTCTTAGAAAAAAAACAGCTGAACGTCAACGGGGCTTGTTAACCTCAGTACTCTGTGGTTAAGTAATTATATCTACTCCAATTCCAATAGTAAAAGGCAACAGAAACTTTGACATGGATCTTTATGGACAATTGGAGCTGTTGCTTTACTTTTACGAAACAATTCCATTGCGCTTGATTGTATAACAAACTGGATCCTCTCACTTCAGTAAACATATCGTATTTGGAGAATATAAGTACTATGTGGTATATAATATTTATTAATTTAATAGCTCGAAGCTTCGCCCGCAGGGTATCTGCCAATGTCCTCGAAGTATCGATGACCTACGACTTCAAAAATGCGGCATGGCATAGTTATGCCATGGCAAATGAAGAAGTGAAGAAGGGTTGGCGACTTAATTAATTATTATGTTTCCGGCTTACTCACGTAACTATTTGACGAGGAACTCGACTAGTTTCAAGCCATGCTAAATGCTAGCATTGCGCGACTCGCGCCGCGTCCTCGTCATACAGTTACTTGAGTAAGAAAAAAATTAAAAAAAATCACCTAAAATAATTGACAATTAACATCATTTGGTATTCACCAACCCCGATATGGAGCTGCGGAGGGCCTAACGGGTTACCAGGCCTCCGACTCCGAAGAGCAGGAGTTGGAACGGGGTGGTTTTTGGTCAGTAAGAGTCTGACACTCACTACTTAAACAATCAAAGATACAATACTTACTAGTGCCAAGCATGAAGTGGTCATTGCAATGGCAGGATTCAAGCTGAGCATTCTTACGGCAGAGTACAGTGCAGGCGCTATAGGAGTAGTGTGGGTACAATCCTCCCTCGTTCTCATGGTGGAATCGACAGGCTCTCTGCTCTGGAGTAGTCTCGGTAATCAAGGGATCGTTCTCTATATTTCGTACTGTTAGAATACGACTGTAAAAAGTATTAATATCTGTTATTTTCGGTAGTCATTTTGAAGTTCTTTTTTTAAGTTGACCCGTACTTATCTAATCTAGATTCAACCATATGAGATAATCCAGTCAAACGAAACTCAGCTGAATTATGTGTGACTTCGACTTCATAGGTACTTTTTTATTTGCTAGTTTTCAAAATAATATCGAATTGGTAAGATAATCTAGAGGTAGATTCTGTTTAATTTTATTCAGGATTTTTACACAAGTTAGAATTAAAATGTGTTTTACTTACCGATAACTATAACCGATTAGTAAATTGAAGGTAGACGAGTGCAGTGTGGTTATTGTAGGGACTTCATCCTCTCCTAGAGTGTACATCTAGCATATAAAGTTATTAATTAAGTCGTTTTGTCTAAGGTCTAGGCCGGTATACTGCGGTTTTCTCCGCGATTGATTGTAAATGTTAAAAAACAGCTGCATTTATTAGAACTTTAGTCAATGTCACGACTAAAGACTGCCTCATTGGCTGAGTGGTTGCAAGAGCGACTACCGCGCAAGGGGTGTCGGGTTCGATTTCCGGGTCGTACAAAGTAGTACTGATTTTTTTAAATCCCTGTAGTACCACGGAGTTGTGCATGGTATAATTATGGCAATAGGCTCACTCCCCATTACATGGGACTCATAACATAAACAGTGAAAAGTGGGTGTTACATTGTACAGTGGCATTAAGTGCCGTAATGCACATTACTCTGCCTACCCCTTCGGGGATAAAAGGCGTTACGTTATGTGTATGTTGTATAAAACTTTAGTTTAAGATACTTATGAACATTATGTATAGAATGATCTAAACATACCATCACGGGAAAATATGTGTCAAATTTTATAACTCCCTTTAGATTCTGCAAGCTCTTCACCATCGGGTACGGATGAGGATTCCTATCAGGACAGTTGGTAAAATATTAGCTAACTCTAAGAGTAGGTATACAAAAAACATACATTTTTTTATTTCAACCTACTTGGTTTGTATAGAGTTCAATATGAAGCAGGGTCCTACGTCAGTTTCTATCGGCTGGAAGTAGTCACAGCATGGAAATTCTTTATTATTATAGGAACAGTTCTTCAGAATCTTGTTACAGTCACTGCGTATGAGGTTTGAGTAGTAGGAGTAGTTAGATGTAGGGCACAAAGGGTCAGGGTCTGGGTTCGTAAAGCACGTGCTAATAAGAACATAGGACACGCCACGGAAGTATGCTATTTCTTTGAGGGTATCCTCTAAGTCCAATAGATGTAGTGGCGGCCAAATCCTGTTGAAAGAAGTTTATTGGATGTATTATCTTATTTTGTTAAGTTAATCAAGTCCGTTCGCATGTTTACAAAATCTAGAAAATAAGGGAAGCCTATTATTAGCCTTAATTGTAAACTATATGTAACGCTGTTGGTTTTCTAAATAAATAAAATAAAATAAAAATATTAATGAGTTATAAGTTATAAATTATAGTCTATGTGTAATGAAGTCTTTTGCAAGTGCGACTGCGGATCAAGTGGTCTCGGGTATGACACTCAATTCGGGGTGAGGTTTATTAATGGCTTTTTATTTTTGGACAGTTCTATAGTAGCTCAACCCATATGAATGTAAGGGATGCATGAAATTTTACATAATATGAAAAGTGGTTATTACATCGTACCTATATTAACCCATCTACCTACCCCAATAAGGATTAAAAATTAGTATATTAAGTTTAAGTTAATTACTGAGTGGAGTCCATTCATCGTCAATAGATGTCGCGATGGGCTCTGAAGGAGATGGCGGGATGAACTTGACGCCTATGAAAAGGGTTGTCTACAGATAGCTTTAAGAAGAGACGAGTGGAAGGAGGGTAGGGAGGCCTTTGCCCTGCAGTGGAACGACCATGGCTAAAAATGAAATAAAATAAAGGTTGCCTGGTAGATACCGCTTTTAGCGATAAGGCCGCCTTTGTACCCTATTTTCTCTAATTTGTAGCTCGATATACTATCTCAAATTGGTGTACAATAAACATTATTATTCTATTCTATTATTCTAAAATAAAATAATGTTAAGTTACTCACGCATCAGCAACATCGTATACACTATCCATCCAGATTGATTCACAAATAGCTACTGCTGGCATTTTGGTTTCCCAGTTGGTGTAAGTGGTCTCCACGCCGAAGCTGATAGGGCTTTCGACGAAGGCATCCCAGGACGAAATGATTAGGAGGGTTGAACCGTACCACGACAGTATCACTAGGACCACCCATAGTAATCTGTTGAGGATTTTAGTTGCTAAGGTTTGAAATTAATTATTATAAAAAAATAATTTACACTTGAAGAATTTTACTTCTAGATGTGTACAGTTACTTATTTATTTACCTTTGAAATGAAAATCCATAATAAATATGATAGTATGCGTCTGTTAGTTTGTCCGTCTTTTACGGCAAAACGGAGCGACAAATTGACGTGATCTTTTCTATCTATATTTTCTTACTAGCACGTGAAATGAAAATAAAAAGATATCGATGCTATCTTACCTTTCGGAGACATGTTTAGATTCATCAGCAATGTAATGTACACCAGCAAAGGTACAGTTCGCACAATAATCTTTGATCAAATCTTTACATATTGAAATCTTTGATTTCGACATTTTGAACTATAACATTATTTTGCAATCCGTTAATGGAGCCCAAACACGACTGTTCAGTGGCAGATACCTATACTATAGTTCACCTTGTGAAAGTGCTGAAAGATTAATAATTAATTACATAGCTTGAATTATTATGAAATGACATGATTATACAGCGCAACTAGCGTCCAAGGTCAATTCAACCATTTCAAATAAAAAACCTTGTGTTCGTAATTGTTTTGTTTATTATCAACAATGGTCGTTCACACTAGAAACAACCCACACAGACCAATGATCAAACATTCAAAAATATCAACTTAAAGTTTAACTAAAGCTGATTTTATTTACATGCTTATCACTATCTTAATCTAAGTCTTTGTATTTATATTGCATAGATAGGATACATTGGAACTAATATAAGGGCTTCATACTTATTTAACCTACAATTAAAGGCTGATTTTTCAATCGTCAGTTTTTTTTCTTCTTTGGCAACCGAGTCTCCAAAATGTTGTTGTTGTCGACTATACTGCCAGTGTCGAAAAAATCGTCAGTTAATAAACTGTGGAATAAAATTGACATTTGACAATTATTAGTAGATATGGAAGAACTGTCAAATATTCAAAGTTACTAATTCTCTGATAAAATTTAACTGACCATTGAAAACTCGGCTCTAAATGGCGAGACATGGAAACGTTTTTCATCCAATGATATATTTTTAACATACACAACAACAATCGAACTATTATTATAATTTGGTCTAATCTAATCTAATTTAATGAAAAAAAAAACGATACCAACAAAATCATCGGTAGGCACGAGGTCATAAAAGAAAACAAATATGTTCATAAAAATAATCACAAAATTTCAAGATTCACATCACTTTAAGTCATTTGAACTACAAGAATTGCAAGATTTCTTGGTTGAATGCCGAGTCAGAAAACTCTGCTTCGTTCCATTTGTTGAAGGAGATTGGTATATGGTTGAACCTATGGCTATGACTGTATTCTGATGGTGGGAATGTCTTCCTCGGAATAAGACCCGCATGTGTGAGGATCTTGTAAATCTCCTTCCGTGACACATCATGAGCGTCTCGTGCGTAGACCTTGAACAAATACGAATATTTAGATGGTGTCCAAACCGCTTTGCTAAAATTTGAAATTATGAGAGCAAAACCGAATCTTTGGAATGTAACAGCATAATGTTAAAATCGTCACAATGATTTGTATTTTTGGAAATCTGGGATAATGAATTTAGTTCGAAAAAGTTATTAAAATACAATCTATTACATGTAATAAAATTGTAGGAAAGTCAAAACTGTACATTGAATATATATTTTTTAAAAGGATTCTCGGGGCGCGATCTGCAATCGACACCGAAGCCAAAAATATAAATTTTATAATTTTTGTCTGTATTTATGTCCGGGCTAAACTCAAAAAGTACTGCAAGAATTTACTTCAAATTTTGTATGAATATTACTAACAGGTCGGATCAACATATAGGCTACATATTATCACGCTACCACCTATAAAGGAGCTGTGAAACTTTACTATTCCACGCGGACGAAGTACCGAGCACAGTACAAAATATGGGGTAGGTAATAACCAGTTGAAAAGTTGTTATTAGGAAATAGGATATACACATATAAGGTACGTAGAGAAATGAAAGCACTCACGAGTTTCTCTCCTTTATGTAACAGGCTGGTTAGAGGCAAGACTTGCAGTAAGTGAGGGTTCCGTAGCGCTGGACTTCTCAGTATTGGCGGTAGACGCTCTTCCTCCTGCCTCACCGCCAGGACATCAGGGTGTGGAGGTGGAATACTCGACACGAGACACGAGCATGTCGTCAGTAGAAGCACTAGTGACCTCATTGTTTACCAATTCTGTAAAGAAAAGATATTTTAAGTCAACCACTAAAATAATATCATGATTGTTGTCGATCAGTACTCGTGGACCGATAATTCTACGGCGAGGGTAAAATTCTACATTCACAGTTCTACAGCTGATCTTTGTAGTGAACCATTTTACATAGGTACACACGGCTACAAATCGAGCTTTACATAACCAGTATAAACTGAACGTTAAATGTGCGGAAAGATGATGCGACGCGACACCAGGATAAACTGGTTTTGTATAGATTGATGTTTGGCCGTGTGTACTGTGATTTTTTGAGGTCAATTTACTTGTGAATCCGAGACATTTGCTTTTTAAAGACATTATGAATCTCCCAACACTACATTCTGAAGATGTTAAATATTGACTTCGGTACATTGAGTGTATGAGCAAGGTTTTTTCTGCAGTAACCTCCTGAATTTAATGATTTATAATACTCGAAGAACACTAATAATCATGATTAGACATGATTTAGACATGTTATAATAAACACAATTATTATTCTAAGATGAAATGAAGTCAAGGATAAAGTGTTTAGACGAAAGTTACATAAGCATAAAGTGAGATAAAGAAATAAAAAAGTCATGATGACTTGCAGTTATTTTTACAGAAGATGTTAAGTAATTGGGTAACTCGTAGGAAATGTGGTTGTCTAAGATGGTAGATAAAGTCATCTTCATAGTGCAATGATCTTAAGAATTATCTTCCTACTCCCAGACTATCTCTTACGCAATTAATTATACTATATCATTAGTCTGGTTCCTTCTGAACGGTAAAAAGGTTCAAAATAAATACAAAATGATTCCTATGAGTTTCATCTCACATTTAATCAAGCTATGCAGTTTTTTTAAATAGCACAGAACAGTCACAGCTCTGGAAAAAAGGAGAATGTTGTTGCAATCCAGATAGGTATTGTACGAACGACATCTCTGTAACTTCTATAATTGTCACGTAAAGGAACACTCCTTGAGAAAACGCATAAGTTTTCTCATTACTTAGAATTGAGGTGAACGAGACTATTGCTTCACTTGTCTCAAAAGATTCCGAAAGTTTTCATTCATTAGCAGAAGAAAACGGAAGGTCAAACCTTTTGTTTGTAAGTACCCATCCTTAATGGGCTCAAATTGTTCGGAAAAAATACGTTAAAGGTCTTTTATTTCTCAATATAAGTATTGACTTCGGCAAAACTAGCTAACGGTACAAGTTATTGAAGAAAGTGCGTAAATGCAAGTTAAGTATAATATGACCCCTCAAGATCAGATTGAATAACTATTAATCTGATACGACTGAAGAGAGATCAAGTGCCAAGAAGGTCCATTATACTGATCAAGTAAGCGTTAAGAGTCTTCTTGACTTACACGAACTATCAAAACCTGTTATAGGAGATATGAATTACGAAGTTTTACTACTGAAATGGTCGACAACATTAAACTTAAAGATTTGTTTATAAAAGGGCGTTGTAGTACTATCTCTATCAAATGTGTAGTCCCTAAGGTTCATTTTTAACAACGAAACTGATCACGATTATAACTTAAGTCGGCTGTTACAATACCCACAGGAAGAGTCGGGGTAGTAGCAAACGATTTCCACTTTGCCTTTATTACAAGGTTTAAGGTATGAAGTAGCCTTGTACTTCCGAAATGTAATGACCACAATACTATATAGTGGGTGCTTCAATCAAACACCACACAGTAATTTTCCGAGCACCTGCAACATTTTGCACTTGACACTAATAAACTACTGTTACAAGTAATCGTTAGAGCAATCTACGGTTAGCAATACACACGTGCTCTCGGACAATGACTTCAAGGTCGATGTATCAAAACATAACATACTTTCAAAGCGGCGGGTTCATCCGACAATCCAATACTTGGTGAATGTTCGAGAACGCCTCTCATCTTAGAGTCAAAACACCCTAAACAACCATCTTTGTTCTGTTTTCAACTTTATCGTGTTTTGTTAAAGTTTAAAATATATTGTGTAATAATTACAATGGGGTCTTGTACACTATACTATACAGTCATACATATTATGTACGCCATACAAATCCAATTTTCTATCATTATTACATCGGCAGTTTGACTTGCGTGTTAAAATATTAAGCAATGTGAAGCAAAATTTTGTTTTGCACATTGAAATAGATTATTTCCTAATATGTCTAGATGAATATTTATTGCATATAATTTGCAAAAAATGCATGATTCATTTCATTCATTAGGTTGCTACATAGGTCAATAATGTATGCCTTGCTTATATTAATTTGCACTTGTGTCTTTGGTTAGTCGAAGGTTGCCTTAAAATACCGGAGACCACATTATTTAAACAGTCTATTTATATTCTTATGAAGATGTTTATTTCTGCCTTTTTAGTCAATGGTCGCAGGCGTTGCTGTTGAGCAATGGGTCTCAAGTTCAATCCTAAGATTCGATTAACTGGTTATCCAGATCTCAGAACGACATTTGAAAAAAAATGGTGTTACATAATTACATTAGTGTAGGTACTTAATTATCGTAACATAATTGTCCCAGAATAAAGAAATAAAAAAGATATTTAATATCAATGGGCTGCGAAAATGATTGATTAATGTTTATGTTAACGTCACGTTACGTTATAATGATCATTAATTCATTAAGTAATTAATTAAAAAGCAATAAAAACTATAACATTAAAAAAACTGACTAAAATGTCATGCATTGAAACTTCGACTGCCACAGATAATATAAAGGTACTTAGCTTTAAAGAATATAGTCTTGTCATAAGAGCACTGATGATTTAACTGTAAAATATTTGGAATCCTTCACTACTACTGAGTTCTAAGGTTACATCCACTGCTACCTATCTTTTTGAAAACCGAATATCCCCATGGATCTCTTTAAAAAGTATAAAAATAGTTTACTATTTAATTAAGTATACGTCTCACCTTAAAAATAAGTGTATCCTTTTAACAATGCAACCACAATTAAACACTGCACTTTATTCAATTTACAAAACACTATACAACAACTTCAAAATAATAAATACTTATTACAACAAAAAGTATCTATAGAAGCCGGTGTCTTAGAGTAAAGCTGACCAACATTTGCTTGGCAGTATGGCTAAGCGAATGGTCAATGCGCCTACAAACCACCTCCACTCACAAAGTTGCGCCAAATATGTATCATAATATTATGACAACATTGTTCCAAAACGTTTATTTTTAACATATCTAGTAGTAGTTATAGGGACTTAAAATATATCCTGTGGTAATCCAAGCGATCAGTATGCATGGCCACTACGTAAGCTCTATTGTAACAGGATTTTTTGATTTACTTCATCGTGTCTGTTACAAGTTTCTTGTTGTTTGGGGGATTCTCTTTTTAATGTAGACAATATTAAGAATATCACCAGTCATCAATGGATAACACATCAGGATATTTAGGGATAAACGTAACATAACACATAGCATGACGCCTTTTATCCCCGAAGGGGTAGGTAGTGGTGCACATTACAGCACTTAATGTCACTGTACAATGAAACACCCACTTTTCCCTATTTATGTTATGAGTCCCATGTAATAGGGTGGTGAGCCTATTGCCATAAACCGGGCACATTTCCAGACTCCGTGCTACTACTGAGGTTTTTACAAACTTAGTAATACTTTGTCCGTCCCGGGAATCGAACCCGAGACCCTTTGCCCGGCAGTCGCACTTTTGACCACTCGGCCAATGAGGCAGTCGATTTAGGGATAAACATTTTTTTATACCACGACGGTGGCAAAAAAACACGGTCCACCTGATGGTAAGCGGTTACCGTGACCTATGTACGCCTGCAACACTTGGGGCATTACATGCGTCTTGCCGAACCTTAAGAATCCTATTCACCTATTAAACATGAGTGCGCATATTAAATGTGTTGCCCAATTTGCAACCATTTTTTTATGTTAATTGTGGTCGCTCGCTCTACAGAATGTTGCGGGTAGACATAAAAATATTCACATATTACCAGGGACCTACCTTCTTTTTCTTGATGGGGGGAAACATTCAAAAGGCGCTTCATATTTTGGGAATAAAAGACTAGGGAGTGGGGGATTTCTACCTCACTAAAACCACCCCGGTGGCCACTCTCAACAGCTGTAAGGGGCATTGGGTCCTCTAAAAGAGTTAACCTGCTCCAGAGCATTACATATTACATGGGATGATGGGACTCATAACATAAATAGTGAAAAGTTGGTGTTACATTGTATATTTGTATAGTGGCATTAAGTGCCGAAATGCGCACCTCTGCCTACCCCTTCGGGGATAAAAAGGCGTGATGTTATGTTATGATGTTATGCTACTCCAGAGCCCCCACAGTGTAACGCCAGTTACATCCTTAGGGAGACAGGCGTCTCCCTTGAGCCTCGCTGTGGACGGCGGCACGTGATCACTGTGTCACCAGGGCCCTACCAGCATACCTTATTATAGCCTTGGCTACTTGCTTTATGGCCACCTAAATTAGTATCTAACATTGATGTTTGTATAACACTAGACATATAATTATGTCGCGGAGAACCTAACGGGTAACCGGGGCTCCGGCTCGACGTGCAGGAGAAGGAACCGGGTGGTTTTTAGTCAGTAAGAGTCTGACACTCCCTCCCGCCTCACCCAGGCGGGAGCAGTCATTCGATGATTTTCCCCCCTTAAAAAAAAAAAGACATATAATTATAGATTACCTTCAGTGCAGATGATAATAATAACAATGCTGCAACTAACAAAACTATAATAACATACCTTAACAACATAACATCACGCCTTTTATCCCCGAAGGGGTAGGCAGAGGTGTACATTACGGCACTTAATGCCACTGTACAATGTAACACCCACTTTTCACTATTTATGTTATGAGTTCCATGTAATAGGGGGTGAACCTATTGCCATAATTATACCGGGCACAATTCCAGGCTCCGACTCAATAATGCTTTGCCCGATCCGGGAATCGAACCCGAGACCCTTTGCCCGGCAGTCGCAATTGCAACCACTCGGCCAACGAGGCAGTCAACTTAGCAGGCAAACTATAATAACATAAACATAATATGAACAATATTTACTTTTAAACCTTGTTTGTAGGACCTTGCAGTAATGTAATGATGAGTCATAATAAATTGCTGAATCAAATCACTTTATTTATTATTTTAAATAAATAAAAGTTACCGGTGATTCAAGGATTATTTGCGCTCTATATACTTTTAAATGGAATGAATTAAGTACGTTTTTATTTTGTTTCTATGCACCTAAAGTAAAACAACTGCATTATCTTAGAATCAAAGATTTGCGAAACAAAGTCGCTATCCGCCGTCTGTCTGTCCCTATGTATGCTTAGCTTAGATCTTTAAAACTACGCAACGGATTTTGATGCGGTTTTTTTAATAGATAGAGTGATTCTTAAGGAAGGTTTATACGTATAATACACACATATTGCACTCGTGCGAAGCCGGGGCGGGTCGCTTAGTATACATTAAAGAATATTACAATTTTTAAAATGCACACAATGCACTCAACTGAAATATGAGCTGTTTTGTTAATTACACATTGAGACTTACTGCTGATTCCGAAATAATTTTCGTGTGTCATAGCTTCTTTGATAAAATACACAGGTAGAACGAGCGGGAATTGAACGCCCGACCGTTTACCTTACACTGTGGAGCTTCCATAGCTAGTCCGATGCTCGTGCAGTTCCTAAGTTCAAAACAAGAGCCTTAAAACTAACAACATTAAAAAAAAGGGTTTTGCATTGTCAAAGCGTATAACTTAGACCGACGTATTTCACAATATAATGTCAATGATGCAAAAGCCTTTAAACAAAAAAAAAACACATTTAATTTTTCACTTGTCAAAGGTTACCAACTAACAGCACAGTAACATGCATCGTTGAGAACAAAACCATTGATTTACGTTTCATTCCCGTGCCTCTAGCATTTATAGCACCTATTTTACAATAGTATGTTGTAGATCAGATTAACTAGTAATGCTAGCAAACAAATTAGCTAAAGTACTACCTATGTAGCTAATTATTAAATGCATAATTGATGTGGCAAAAGAGCTTGGACGTTTCCATGTTGGTGGTATTTAAAATAAGCATGATACTCTTTAGTAGCCGCGTGGTGATGGTAGGGATACAGTTGGGTACTTTCCTTAATCAAAAATAAATTATTTCGACTGTTCATTACAATGAAATATTAAAAAATTACACAAAAATCACACTTTCATTAATTCATTTAATGACCAACTCAATTTCAGTATTTTTCTAGCAAATTAAGTAATAAATATGGTGTTTGACGCTAAAAACCCGTGACGTCACAATACATAATCGCGTACAAAATTCATAGAAAACTGTCGTTTTAGACAGTTCGAAAAAAGTATTGAATTTGACTGGTTGGCGAGTATCCAGCTGTCATTACCTCTGTTCTTCCTGTGAGCGTCGTAAGACCTCATTAACTCGTCGAGTACCGGTTTTGCAGACACAATTATAGAACAATAGGTTGCGGTCACCGGTGACCGCTTGGTATTTGACAGTTTAAAGGACTAATATGTGACAGAAACCGGCAGCAGTGCTCTGATAAACCTGAACCTTTTATACGTACTCTAGTTTTCAACACGTCTATGAAGCGTGTAAGTTATGGCGAACAATCAACTGATGCAGGCCCATAGTCCAGCAAAAGACTGCCTTGGACTGTTAATGTTAAAGACACAAACATATAAAGAAGGTTGATGACACGTTCCATGTGTAAGTGCAACTCGCGCAGATTCACACAAAGGCGTTAACTAACATGAAATTACGCATTATTTCATTACGGGACTTAATATCAAAGGTAAGCAATGAAATCGCAATTAGCGATATTACAAAATAATTTATATCTTTAGAAATAAAATAAGAGGCGAGGTGTAATTCGATTGAGGTTTAGTAATACGTTAATTGGCAGTGAGTGTAGTGGAATATTAATTAAAAATTGATCAATTAGACCTCCGATAATCCTAATGGAAAATAACAAGACGGAAAGAACCGTAAGTAATCACAATAAAACAACTAAGTATGCATATAATAACAGTGTTAATATTTGAGTAAATGACGCATACCTAGTGATGAGTAAATGATCGTGTCCAAATATATTTACAAAAATATTATAATAACATGTGTAATCTGAATAGAATGTTACGCATAACAGTTTCATTGTCTTATGTATATTAGTTTACGCAACAGCGCGTGACCACGGGTCGGCGCGGGCCATGCCGGCGGCGTCTACCTGACGCGAGTGACGCGATGGGGAAAGGACGTCAGTACTGACCACAGCACCACCGGACCAGATTCTGTGGATGCAATAACATGTCTTGGTAATGTTACAATGATTTTGTCGTAATTTGTGCTCTACTATCGAATTTGTTCAAAAGTTATTGCAATAAGTTCAAAGTGTGAAATTCTCACACCGTTCCATTTATCGTTAGTGACTTTCAAATGACTTAATGCTGGTTCTATTATATGGCTATTGTCCAAAGAAGTATAATCTTTTGAAATCGATTAATCTAGAAGTTCCTTGAGGTCCCCTTGGTAATACCAAACACCAGTAGGCCCAGTAGCAAATTGTTTTTAAGCTCATAAGATATAGGTGCGCTATATTTGTCGCTATTACCTGCTAACCAGACATTTCATACCTCATTACTCACAATGATCTATGCAGGAACTGCATGTGGTTTGACGGGAGTACACGTATGTTATGTAAATACTAGTGTAGGTATAGGAAGATGTGGATACAGTAACCTACACTCACTTTAAGCCATCTTTAGCTTAATGTGTTTTTATAATTCTAGTCACAAATGTTACCAATCTTCTTTAAAACGACAAATTAATATGAATAGAAAAGCATTGCAATATTACAACATTGTTAAAATTCCACAGTCAAGTGAACGTAGGCGGATTCCGAGATGATCAAATTGTTTAGCAATAAGTTTTGCAAGTATGATGCGAGTCCGATCCTAGTGCCTACACCTATCTTCGGACTCTGATCTTTAGTCATATGACTAAATTATTAGTTACGTCAATTTTGTCTAGCAATTTAGCATATGATGTTATTCTAGAACTGTCATTCTTTCTAATACCACCAGAATTTTAGATTATGACCTTGAACTAAGACTCCATAAAATGTAATGTTGTTGCTGTCGATGTCGACTTTCAACGACATAAATATGTAGCTATCAATTATATTTTATCTTTTTCCAATCAATAGTCACTAATACACGAGAGGAATCGATCAATCACAGCAATTAACCTCACATCAAAGCTAGATGTTATCAACAAATAGAATATTTAACGACTGCTGTTTATTTTCCCATAAATACAAAATAAAAAAACAGGTTAGACTAAACAATGTACCAATATTGTCAGATTATTTGTTTAGTTTGTCAAAAGTAGTCAAACTAGTTACAATGGATAGAATTTCCGAAAATGCGTGTGAATTTGCATACCGTCGTCATTTGCGCAGGCGAGCTGCGGGACCGAGCCGATTAGAAATATTAAAGGCGAGTATCAAGACGGTTAGCAAAGAGTACTGCGAGGAGTCATCGATTTGCGGGTTGAAGCACCTCGTTGACGAGAACACTCCGGTAATTGAAAGGTATGTGCTCATAATTCTACGTAAGAACATGTTTTACGAAATAGGTGGATTATACTTGGATTATATTATTGGTCGTTACTAAGTTGCTTACTTATCTTGAACTTGTTCAGCAGGCTCTCGCAAGGCGTGTTTGCAATTATTGCCGTTTTATAGTGGACAGGCTAGTTACATCATTTGAGATCACTCCTTCTTATATCACTAAGTCGTAAATCTTATGTTAAATGGGATACGCAAATAATTTCATATACGTTCACAATATTTGGATACAAGTAATTGTCGATCAAAGAAGGCATATAACATTTTATTTGTCAAAGAAGCAGAAGCTTACTTTCCGTCAATTATTTTAGTAGTTTTCTGTCCTCTCGTAATTAAAGCTCGAAACACAGTTAACGTTGACCTAGGTTATGCCAAATATATACTGGTTGGACCCAGTGAATTAACAAGCAATTACTTCTCTTCGAATGAAGCTGTCCATACTCATTCATAAACATTTTGCAAATTAAGTCCACATGTAGATTTTGATGTTCATCACGTAACTTAGTAACTAAAGGGCATTAATTTTGTTTCTACTTTTAAAATATATGCTATCTATAGGATCATTTGGAGCATAACAATAGTAGTTGGACTAATTGGCTCCGTATCACTGGTGTGGGTGACTTTCAACAAGTACTATAGCGCGCCTCTGGTGACCACGCAGTCTCCTGAGGGTGTCTCCGTGAGCGAAATACTATTTCCAGCCGTTGGAATCTGCACGAACAATAGGATCAGTAAACGTGCTGCTACAGACCTTGCTAAGCGTTTGTAAGTTTTAATTGTACATATTATAGTTGTCTCACATTCAATCAACTAAATTATCTTCATTGTTCAAAGTGAGGTTAAGAGAAAGTATGTTTAAAAAAGCCTTTGCTCCAATATAACTTTATCTGGTATATATGTAAAATACATGTTGCACGGTAGAGGTACATGCAGACCTGAAACAATACCTACGTTATTTGAGGATCACGCCAATAGTTCTTGCTTCGTATAGGAATCACGGTGTCTTAACAACCTGCGTAGCAGTGCTACTTACTAAGTTATTTTTTGGTTCTAGACTGAAAGCGGAACGCAACAAAAATTACACAGAAGACCAGATGATGTCCCTACTCTACGGCTTGGGTCAGTTATACTGGCTAGGATCAGACATCAAAAAGGAGTCGACAATGGAATTGCACTATGCTCTCGGCGAATATGATGTTCACACCCTCATGCGCAGTGTAAATACTTTTTAATTCAGATTTTTTTTGACGTGACAACGTCTTAAATTAGGTTGCGGCTGGGAGTCACTTATGAAAAAGTGTAACGTTACGATGAGTCAACGAGAGAGAGGCCCGCCGAATGCCTTGCGTCTCTCTCCCACTCAACTATGATCGGTCTGCCGCGCGCGCAGCACTAGTTCATTCAATTCCTTGTTCCTATTGTGCAATTTAATTATATTCATATCAATAAATATTCTACCGAGAAAAAGACGTTGTCACGTAAAATCTTCGCCCGTAAAAACGACTTTACAGGCAACCATTTTTTTTAATACAATATTTTTTTTAATTTTTTTATTTATTGATAGGTTCTTCACAGCTTAAAAAATTAAATGATTACAACCAGAACAGATATTTGATTCAGAACAGATTTTTAATTCGATATCATAATTATGAGAACATAGATATAATTAAATTTTTATCTGAGTTTACCTAGTAAATTGAAACTCAATTAATTTTTATATAGTTCTTTTATTTAGTGAGTCAGGACTAGGGGGAAGGACTTTGTTTAGTTGTCGATATCTTCGGGCTGTTTCTTATGGGGATGATGATGAGTAAGGTCATTGTAATATGGGATAGTAGACGTTTCTTTTAGCAAATAATATCAGTTATAAGATCATATTGAAGCTAGTAAAATAATCTTAGTGCTTACATGTATTATGCTTACATGTACTAAGATTATTATGACATAGATACATACATTTTCCAAAAGTAAAAGCTCTAGAGAAGGATTACTTGTCTTTGAGGGGGAAAATCATTCAATACCTTCTCCGGCGAGAGGGATCCCGCCTCACACGAGCTGTGGTCAGACTCTAACTGATAAAAATGGCCCCAATTCTACTCCTGCTCTTCGAGCCAGAGCCTCAGCAACCTGTTAAATTCTACGCGGCTCCGCAGGATTACTTAAAACTTAAAGTTTGACTATTTACAGACCTCTATGACTTTTAAATAAACCCAACAATAACTTAACATCAACTTTGTGCTTTTATCTGTCAGTTAACACCGAAGTGCGAGCATCTATTGGTGAGCTGTGTTTGGGACACATCTCCGGTGCATTGTCTGAAGTTATTCGACTTTCGGCTTACTATGAACGGCTACTGCTGCACTTTCAACTACTTGCGACTGTACGACTCTATATTTCAAGAGTACGTATTTCTAAACGTTTTTATGTAATTTTATTTAAACTCAACTTAACGGTGTTTTTCATCCTCTTGACGACAGATCGATCTAATTCGATCGAATATAGTCTAGTTTTACACAATTATGTACATATATACCTAAAGCTCATTAAAACATTTTTTATGTGAAACAATTTTAATTTTATAATAATTTCACGACGGTCATGAAGCCCGGATTCGATTCCCGGATCAGGCACGTAAACTGGGACTCATAACATACTAATAAACAAGTGGTTGTCAATAATACCTACCAATTTAATTCTTTCTCTTTATTTGGTCTATGTTGTTCCCCTGTAAGTTTCCATTGCCTAATTAGCATTGTTTTTGCAGTAAAACAAGCAACACGAGAACAATAAATATGTACAGATACGGCAACAAATCATCGTTTGATTTTGATCAAGGACTTAAAGTTTTGCTACGTCTTAATGAAAGTGATGATTTCTTCTACAACATACCGTTGCAAGGAGCGCAGGTACCGTCTTTAATTTTTGTATAAAACTATATAAAATTCGATTGACAATCACCAATCCTATCTTCAAGTTATTTCAATATTGCACCGGGACACCATGGCGACGCAACCAACCGACGCTACCAACAAAGTGTATACAGCTCTATAGAGTTACTCATGTGGTGTGCGCTTGGTTGTACAACCAGCTTATATACTTAACTAGCGACCCGCCCCGGCTTCGCACGGGTGCAATATGCATGATATAAACCTTCCTTAAGAATCACTCTATCTATTAAAAAAAACCGCATCAAAATCCGTTGCGTAGTTTTAAAGATCTAAGCATACATACGGACATACAGCGAAAGCGACTTTGTTTTATACTATGTATTGAAGACGAGGGGCTTTTGTGCACTGATGATCGTAAATAAGATCCACTGCAAACTCAACTGCATGGTGGATTGCTTTCTTGTCAAGATCCTTTTGGTAAAAACAATGTCGGATAACTCGAAAATATAATAACTCGGAAAACTCAATGTTATTATTTAGTAATATAGTTGAAAATCTTTAAAAAAGTATAAGGTTTGGAATAGATTTATTGAGCGAAATTTTGTTTGTTATTGTAGTTGCAGTTCTCTGATGCATACGACTTTCCCGACTCACCGAGTGGCAGCTTTGCTATGCAAATTATAAGTCCCAGTGTTGAAGTAAGTGCAAGGTTTTTATTTCGAATCACAAAGTTTCACTACACCATGCCCTTTAGGGAATAAATTCTCTAAAGGTCAATAATTTCAAATATGAAGAAAGATAGTTTATTTGCAAATACAATAACACAAGTACCTAATACAATAACATGTGATGTTTAGGTAGATTGCGAGCTCAGCCATACTTTACCAGGAGCCATGCAAATATGAATTAACAAACTGCTACCATAAAAGAATATGAATCGTGGTTGTGGTAAATAATTAAAGCGTATTTTAACTAGCACAAGATTTATTTAGAAAAACGGAAACCTGAGTTTTTCAAAGACAGAGACAAAAGGGATGGACAATAGTGGCGCGATAGACAAAAAAACATATTTTAGTTATCACCTACCTATTCACCAACAAAAACTAAAATTAATGAACCAAGAATTTTGAAAAGCGAACTTCCTATCAACTAGGCTTCTTTTATTTTTAGTTTAATTAACAATTTAAATAGAAAAAAAAATCAATTTAAGTTTTAATATACATAAATGTTACCCTAAAAATAATTTACGCATTTAGTCTGAACGTTTTAAGTTACGTTTAAATATAATTATGGGTTTCCCTATTCACTACGGTATCCTAAAAATAACTTTCTAGAACAATGGGCACTCGCATGAATGGGCAACGTTTTAAAGTTATGTTCTATAAAATTCATTCGTGTGTAACATACATAAAATCATAGTCTAGTATCCAGGACAGTTGAAAGGAAGGAATTTAAACATTCGAAAATTGAAAAGTTTAATAACGTTTTTGATTCAGATGGGGAACAATCGGTTTCATTAGATCCGAGTATGTTACATTATAACAAAACATGATAACATGAAACCTTACTTATAAAGGTATAAGTAAGGGACTAGGGTCCCTGAAGAGAAAAGCAGAAGTTTTATGTGAAGTTCTATGAACTTCAACAAAACTTTTTAAGTTACATTATTTCTGTTATCAATGGGTTTCGTGTAATAGGGGATGCTAAGAATCTAATTATATTTTAAAAAAATTTTTGTATATATTTTTGAGCGCTGTAATCTACGAAACTCGGTTATATAGAGGTATATAATAATTATTTTTTGTTTTGGATAGTCTATCTAACGAGGAAGTCTATGATCAATAGGAATCTAGAAGACTGGGTGAAACCAGCCAGAGTTGCTAACTTATGTTATACGAATAAAAATATTATTATTACAGATGACGGTAATGGTAACAGCAAGTATAACAAAGGCGTCTCGAGATATTCAGCACGTTCCGATAAAATTGAGGAAATGTAGATTCTACGACGAATCTTCGTATCTGCCGTTCTACACGTACAGCGACTGTATGCTGAAGTGCAGAATGGAATTCCTATTGGACAATTGTAACTGCACGCCGTTCAATATGCCCAAGATGGAATATGTTAGGACATGTAATATGAAAGATGTCCCGTGTTTACAAGAATATTATGGTAAGTATAATTTGTTTTTTAGTTTCTTTTTTTTGTTGACTTTTTTTCGATTAATTTTTTTATGGGATAAGCCGGTAAACGGGCATACGGATCACCAGATGGTAAGCAATCGGCGCCGCCCATGGACACCTACGTTACGTCGGTTTTCTGTGAGGTCGTGGTATCGCTCCGGTCGAGCCGGCTCATTCGTGCCGAAGCATGGCTCTCATAGTTAAATATTATTATTATGATATGCATCTCTGACAATGCACTTTTAGATTTTATGGGCCTCTTCAAATTCGATAAGAGTCTTTGTCATAATCGGAGACCCAATTAGCCCCTTCCCCTTACCAATCTCCTCAATCCCTGAGTCCCCAACAATCCTCAAATTCGTAATCCCCAAAAGGCCGGCAACGCGCCTTTTTATGGGACAACCCTACCACAGCCTCCCAGAACTGGGCTGGACTGGACTGGGCTTCACCTAGTTGTACAGTATCTTTTTTGTGCCTTTAGGCTTAATTCAATCTGTCTCCTGCAGTAATTCACCGAGGGAAGTGGAAACTATCGTTTTTTTTCTTCTCCTCTTATAATATCTTCTGATTCACTTCGTTGCGGAACCAAGACCGTTATTCATGTCCCTGAGACTTCATTGTTCCGGTGTTTTCATGGTTGTTTCTACTGTAGATCCTGGCTTACAGGATTTGCAGCGGTAACGCGCTTGTAATGCCTCTGGTGTTCCAGGTGCGACGCCGATTGCTTACAATCAGGTCATCCGTCTGCTCGTTTGCCGGCTTGCCCCATAAAATATTGATTCTACTTACTCTGCCGTCACTTAGTTTTTATAATAATTTATGTATAAAATACAATGCACCTAAACTGAAGACAAAACAGAAGATCAAACTCTTGTACGACGTGTTTAAATAAATACTTCTTACAGCTCAATCTATATCAGTGCGTCCAAATGTCGACCATGTGCCTGATGAATTAGAGTTGGAATCAGTTAACGGAGGAATCTACTGCCCGATGTGCTACCCAACTTGTTCAAAGACGGATTACAGTTATGATTTCCACAACGTATTAATTTATCCAGAGTACCTCAATAATATACCTAACCATAATCGAGATCCTTGGCTGTAAGTATTATACTGCTGGAGCGCGCGCCGCTCACTCGTGCTTTACGCACTCTCAACACGGTGGCTGATGTCGCAGACATATTTAACTGTAGATACACTGAGCGAGTTCACAAGGACCACTTACTCTATAGTGTGTAAGGAAATATAGTTTGCAGTTAAAATTTTAATAAGTTTATAGTTAAATATAGGTCATAGTTAATAGTTTAGGAAACATATTTTAAGTTACTATGTCGAATTAGGTTTAGTTATCTGTAATGGCAAAGTAATTGAATTAAATTAAATATTTGGTACAGGAGATTATTTAGCTAGAATGTGGCGAGGGCTCACTGACAACATTATCTATAACATAAGAAATTATAATTTGGGATTTCTTTCTAGTATTTTGTCAGAGCCTTTAAACAATGCAGAATGATCTATTGTAATGATGTTGCGACAGTGATGACCCTTATTTAATATTTTTAAAAAATTTTTAGTTTGTATATAAAAAATGTTACGTAGCAAAGGTTACGATGGGGCTGACCGCTGACAAAGCCTATATAAAAAGCCCCTAAAATAAAATAGAATAAAAAAATAGCAATAAAATAGATACCTAGTTGTCTAAGAACTGATCGTCATTATTAAAATATTGTATTGATAATTTTCATAAGCTTGGCTTTCTTCTGAGTGTGTTTCCGCCTTGTGTGTTGCACTTTCCCGAAAACTTAGAAATCAGTGGTTACATAGCGCGACTTATTCGCGTCTGCCATTGCGATAATATTTACGAACAACGTATTCTTTATTTAAATCGCAACGTATGTACAAGTGAATAAGCTTCACATTTTGACAATTGGATATTTTCCTGGGTCAAAAATAAATTATTTTGATTTTTCAATACAATTAAATATTCAAAAATAATTACAATTTCATTCATATCTTTGACGATATACTTGATTTTCGATTTATTCTAACATTTTTTTTTAGAAATAAGTGTGCTATTTGATTCGAAAATATGATGACGTCCTAAGTTCGTTTCGAAAAAAGTATTGAATTTGATTAGTTGTAAAATACCGTACCTATCAATTATTTGCTTGGGATATTATTTAGGAAACAAAATGATAAGCGGGGAATGAACAAGGGGGTATTATTCTCAAAAGAAGACTGATAATAATTTCCAGTCGATATATCTACAGATTATAGACATATGTCCAATGCCTATAGATGTGAATTTAGATACCTAACTGTATATAAATTCATTCAGGTAGGTGAACAATTTAGCGCAACTATGTACGAGCGAGTAGAACAAGTTACGAGAACAAATACGGGAATATAGGTAACAGTAACTACGTGATGCGAAGCTAGTCGGAGTTGGAATACATTTGTAGTGAACAAGAACAATGCGTTTGTTGCAGGCAAGGCGTAAATTATACCGGAACCTCGCTGGTAAACGTGAGGTATGCGAGAGATGTGGCTGACTGCTACGGACAGAATGTTATTATGAAGTGGTTCGATTTGATCAGTAAGTTTTGCAGATATTCGAACTTTTGCTTTAAAACATCTAAGTACCTATAATATAATTTTTGGAAAGTGCAAACTGTACATTGAATATTTTTTCAAAAGATTGCTTCGGGTGTGGTCTACAAACGGCACCGAAGCTAAAAATATGGTTTATAGAGTTTTTGTCTGTTTGTCTTTATGTATGTCCGGGCTAAACTCAAAAAATACTACATGGATTTACCTACTTCAAATTTTGCATAAATATTACTAACAGGTCGGGTAAACATATAGGCTACATATCATCACGCTATCACCTACGGGGGAGGAGCTGTGATATCTATTCCACGCGAAGGGCAAACGAGAAGTGTTGAATACAAAAGGGTCTCATGCTTTTGTTTGTCATAAGTTTTTTGAGGTTATAATATTCATGCGTGTAATTTTACTAAACTTACAATTAACGTTTTCTAGGTAACATTGGATCCACATGCGGCTTCATAACAGGTTTCAGCTTCGTTTCCGTGCTAGAATTCATCTACTTCTTCACCATCAAGTTGATGCGTGAGATCCGAATCAGGCGCCAACGAGTTCAAAACAATACTAAAGTCGTCTTAGAATACCATGGTTCAGGACCCGTAGAGCCTATGAAACGATACAGACCTATATATTGGAATGAAATAACGCCAGGCTTAGGCCCGAAATCTACTTAATTTGTAGGGCCGTAGGGAAAGTGACCGAATACCTAGTCCTAGTTATTTATTAAGAATTTTCTCTGTTATTGGTTTGTTGAAAAGTTGTCTGTAGATGTAGTGTAGACAGTCAAATAATTTATTCGGCAGGTAAGAACAATAGATTGATGAAGTACAGTAACTAAATAATTGAATTCGGCTTACTCACGTAATAATTTGACGAGGAACTCGACTAGTTTCAAGCCATGCTAGAGGCTCATATTCATGAGCAGCATTTCGTGACCTCCGAGTAAGCCGAAAACATAATAATTTATTTAGTATGTCTCACGAAAGTTATAATACAAAAAAGTACAGTAAGGATTAAAGCCAAGGATGCCTTAGGGGACAAATGTGCGGTGACGCGTGTCGCCAGCGACGTTGAGTGAAGTAGCGGGACGTTGCCGCACTTTGGTCGACAAGTCGCCATGTCTGACAACATCAATGTCGCGTCGTGTGGACGTAAGTCGCGCGTTATCACTGTATATGTCACGCGAAATCGGCCGCCTTCGCTCGACATGTCTTGGGCTATTTGTGAGGGGTAGTATATTGTACCTATCCATGGCTTTAACTTGTTAATGAGTGTTAAATTTAGTACAAGCTCGTTGTAATGAAAGCTACTATTTCGGTACTGAACCACTTTTGTTTGTCATTTAAATCCATGTTACCTGCCTACCAAATGACTTGGCTTATTTTACCTAGTTATCTGTATAATGGTTGTAACATTTGAACACCTGTGCCGTAGGTACTCATACTGATTAAAATCTATATTAGAAATTAAGATCCTTGTGTAATTCTACATCTTAATTAAGTACTTACTTATTTATTTATTACATGTTTCGAATGTGTACTGTATTATTGTTAAGCACATAAGTTGTTGTATTAAATAAATATTTTCGAACGAAAGTTGTTTAGTGTTCGTTGTTTGGTACCTATGTAACTTAGTAATTTCAATAGTTTACGTTACCTACGATAAGCTACCAAGGGTGCAATTATATATATACCTAGTAGGAGATCGCACAGAGCGAGTGTTTAAAGGATGGTTACAATAGCGGTACATTGTTCAGTAGTGTTGTGTGCGTTCTACAATTGCTAAAAATACATTAAAAACTATATAACACAACAAAAACTACTTACAAACAACATAAAAAAAGTAACGTGGCCATTCTACCAGCCTTCTGGATACTTTCCTAGCTAACATCGATGCGGACGATTTTTTTATTTCCACAATTGAGTAGCTTTTATCTGCTACTTTGCCTGCGTAGGTAGATAAAGTATAAAAGGTAACAAACAAAACTTAGGTATTTGTAATATTAGTTGGGATTAGGATGGAGTCTTCACAAATCTTCAATATTCAACTTTAGGTGAGGAGCACCTATGAAGAGACATTAGCAAACTGTTCATGGAATGAGTAACTGTTCGAATGTTGTGAGTACTTCAGACCGATGGACACGGAGCTCGGAACTTGTTATGCTATTAATACTCAACAGGAAAGGTAAGGGAAAGTGTCGATCGATACTAGCTGATGTGTGGAAGGTAACTGCGTAATAATCTCTTATGTAATCAATTTATCTTCCGCGATTGTAATTATTTCCAAGTGAACGCGAATGTTCGTCTCTATCACTTGACTCAAACATAAAATACAATAGCAAAGCGATTGTTAGTACTGCTTCTGTTTGTTTCATTGATGTTTATTTTACGCTCAATAAGTCATCTGTGATTTGATAATAGAGGTAAGTATGTAGGTATAGATGCTCTGTGTCCTATGACTAGGTAACTACCCAATGCAAAGGCTGCAAGTTCCATCACCGTAATGGTCTTCTTCTAGACTTCTTTCAAGTATTCATCCACCTTTATACTTACTTGAATTACCTATCGTCGAATTCAGGTAGGTATTATGTACTATTTAGTATTTCTTACATTTCGTGACTTTTATACGCGCACGCTTTTGCCGATCACTGCATCGAAGGTTTGGTCTGTAATGCCTTCAAAATAATAACTGTATACCTAATTGGAGCTGGACTTATAATGGAAAGGCTGTAGGAGACGGTAATGTGATGTAAAGTAATTTAAATGTTGCGTATTAAAATCAATATTTAATTTATATTGTGTATGTTACTTAGTTGTCCAAAGCCATGCAGAGAAGAGTATACAATATTATCTTCTACACACATGTTTAGCGTATCGTCTGCACGGTATACTTATTTGTGTTTAAAAATAAACAGTGAAAGTCAATATGAACTGTATGTAGAGGTATAATGTATGTTTATTACCTTATGTGTTCTGTATGTACGCATTTATTATAATGTATAAACAAATTGTTCATTATATACAAATTACGTATGCAGAATTCACCTTAATATGCTATTTGTGATGTAAGTAAACAATATCTATCTGCAACTTCGTTAAAGATTTCCATGACTTTCTGTCTGTAATCAGAATTTTCTTGCATCATTTTCTTAATAAATAATCCTTTGTTTTTTGATAAAATCTCGTCAAATTGCTCATTGTCGCAGAATATTTTTGTCGTTAGATCGTCGTCTATCCAAAACTGTGGTATTAGGCAGGCACATACAATGAGACCCCATTGCCTTTGTTCTTCGGCAGACGTCATAAATTCTGATTTCGACATTACTTCTTCAATTTTTACATTATAATCATCAAGTATTTTACCTAGTTCTTCGTAATAGAAGTTCAAAAACGTGTCAAGGTTTTCTTCTCTGAATTTTGGATCTAGATTACAACAGAGTAGTAACATGACATCCCCAGCAGGTGGTTGGTACCTGATCGCCTGGAAATCAACCAGTACGCAGTCGTCTGGCTCCAACCGGTTCTTGTCATCCTTATAATGAAACGTAATATTATTGTTCCATAAATCCCCATGGCAGATTACATTCTTCTGATGAGAAGAATAATCGCCTAAACTTAAAGCAGTGGACCAAACATCTTGCCAGCAACTTTCGATCAATTTAATGTCTGCTTCATTGAAGTCCGATAGTGATTTAATAGCTTCTAATGCTCCGACCATGCACTGATAGAACCACTCGGAAGATAGATGGTAACCACCCTTATCCAAAGACTTTTTATAGTCATCATTTATGCTGTACTTTGTTCCATTTTCTTTAGTTTTCTTCTCTTCATAAATAATTGAACATGCATGACACCTGGCTAATGTCTTCAACGCCTGAAGAGTGTGAGCTATGTCAAACCTCACGAATTTGTTTCGCAATTTATACTGTTTCGCATTTAAATCTTCAAAAACCATTGCGTCGTTTAGGGCTGTTATTAGCCGCGCTGCCCAGGGTTTGATACCTGAAAAATTAATAATAAAATATAGTCAATGATTCACAACCTCAGATTTTTTTAAGAATACTGAGTAGGGATATCTCTCGATTATTTTATTGATTTTAACCTCTTCATTTGTTACCTATTTGACAGAGGTAAATATAGGCCATAAAAATTATGCCTGAGTAGACCAAGCCGAAACTAAGATTAAAATTAAGAATTTTAAGTAAAAAGATATAAGTAGAAACTCACCCGGCACTTCAATATTTTCCTTGATCACAGAATAAAAAAACGCTTCTTTATCGTACAGACGCATTTCTTTTATCATACTTGCTTTAGCTGCATTGGATCTCGAAATGGCCTTGATGAAGAAATGAAGAACTTTTCGGCTTGATAACAGCACTTTCACTTTCCAGTATTCAGCCAAAAATCCCAACATTTTATCACTAGCGTTGTGAACTGAATAATCTTCTATTACAATTTCTTCATTGGCACGATTGTAATGTGCTAAAATGAGTTTAATATCTTCTTCAGTTATGTGGTTTACTTGTGTATTTTGTTCTGCAGCTGTAGTCGCCATATTTTCCACAAAATTAATGAGGTAGGTACGTGGATTACTAGATGTTGCTGGTATAACTACAGTAAGCGGGACTAAATGAATGTGATAATAGAATAACTACTACATAACAATATTGTTAGAATCGCTAAGTTAATATTGATATATGCTACGTTTAAATTAATCATGGTAAACACTGTAATTGATATGATAGTTTAAGAAATGTCGGCATTCATAGTCGTGTTTTTTTTACGTATGGGTAAGACTCCAGCTTTTCTTGCATGATAGTGCGGGTTCGTAACCTGCCAGCGGCAAGCACCTACCAATGTGACTTTTTCCGAGTTATATGTACTTTCTAAGATTATTTAGACACCACTGACAAACGGTGAAGGAAAACATCGTGAGGAAGCATGAACTACTAATTTCTAGTTATAAGTTTAAAATCGCCAACCCGCATTGAGCAAGCCAGGCGATTAGGTAATGCTCAAACATTTTCCGTGTGAGAAGGGGCCTTTGGTCAGCAGTGGCCACTAACAGGTTGTTAATGTGATGTTTTTTTAAATTTAATAACGAATTTTTGAATATTCAATACAGTACATAAATTAAGAATACAATATATGATATTGCTATTGGTAAGTACGAGACTCGAGGGAGCCGTAAGTCTCCTAAATGAGCTCATGCAAGTCGTTGTGCCCACCGCATACGAAGCTTGTACCTTTAGGATCCATGCAGTGCTCTCTTATGCTGATGGTGAGGCTATTATTTAGGTTCTAGGTTATTTCAGTGATGTATAAATCTCACACTGATCAAGTACATTTTCCTTTCAAAAATAAAGCGCCTTTTAAAACAGCCATCATCATCAAAACAAAAAAATGCTATTATTGTAGCTTCGTCCCCAGTCCCCTATTAAATGGGAGTCGTAAAATAACTGGTTAAAATAGACGTTACTTTACAGCCATTGTGTGCCTATATCTAATGTGCAAATAATTGCTAAGGTTAGGCCTAAAATTAATTTTGGTGGTAGACAATCACTGAAATCCTCTTTATAAATCGATTCCCAAGCTGTCTGCCATTCGATAAGTTACAGTCCCCCTCTGTGTTTCGATTAAGGTCCCAATATTGCCCGAAGTTAGAATTTATTGAACCCATTCTCTTGCGATTCCAAAACTAACAAGACATTGAAAATTTTTGCTATTTTATTTATCAATATTTAACACGACTGAGATAAGACACTCGTTTGAAATATACACCGTAAAGTAAGTAGATAATTAATAAACGTGTTGTGACAAGACTTTATTTATTTAGTTTAATACTTTATTATTAGCATTAGCTATCGTACATAATTAAGAAATAAGTAGCTGTAGATAAGGTACAACAAGAAATAAATATGAACAATTTTAATTGTAAAATATAAGTAGATATCTATGAACAAATGAAACTCCTCCCATTATTGTTACAATTACTTTATTAAAATACGTATTTTGTCTTCCACCAGCAGCTTTTATTGCGGCACCTAATTATGTAGATGGTTTTGGGAATATATATCGTTCAACAATTTCATCAAACAATTCCGTTACTCTAGCTTTATATTTCTCATCTTCTTTTGCGATATCAATAATTTCTTGACTTCGAGTTTCTACATTAGCTCGTCTTGACAATTCTGGATCACCAAATATCGCCTCGCTTTTTTCTTTACTCATTGCTATAACAGGAGTTATAATAGCTGATTGTGTTATTCCAAACAATCTACTTTCCTCATAAGCATCTCTCAGTGAAGCCTTGTCAAATATTGTGTTTATATCGATCCCCGCAGCGTCTAGTTCTTCAGATAACACAGCATAGTAAACTTCTATGAAATCATCAGTCCAAGTATCTCTATCTGCTCTGGTAGTATTAAAATATATCAACGATGAAAGGTCAAGCAGTGGAGACGTATATATAACAGTTTGAAAGTCAACGATCAGGACATGAGGTGGTGAGTTCTGTTCCTTCTTCACCAAAATATTGTTGCTCCAAAGATCGCGATGAACTACTGCGTTCCGATATTTTTTACTAGGTTGCATCAGCTCTACGGCTTTCACATATAATCCTGGCACTATTGAGTCTATGTATCTATTGAAGTTAGGTTCAGACTTGTACTTAGAATAGACTTTCAGATAATCCATGACTGCATTTCTTCCCGTGTCCCGCCAATCATTTCGAAAAGTGGGTTCATTTAGGTATTCACTATAATCTTCCCATATCCTATAAGGTCTCCCAAGTTCCTTACTTTTTCTCTCTTCATATATATAGGACTGTGCATGAAACTGTGCTAATGTTTCAACCGACGCCTTCAGTTCTTCGTAACCCATCGTGTCCTGCTGACAGGGCATTACGTATCCATAAAATGATACGTTTTCAAATACAAATATATTTTCCTTTATAAATAGCAGTTCTGGACGCCATTTGCGGTACCCTAGAAAATAAAAATTATTGATTAGGTAGGTAAATGTATACCTACTCGCATTGTTGATCTTTGTTAAATGTTTGGTAATTGGTAAGTAGTAATGTGTATGTGTATCAAAATATTTTTATTTGAATTAGGTACTAATAATGCAATAAACATGCAATTTCGTACTTGCCTTAATGAAAAATAAATTATTTCGACTGTTCAATACAATAAAATATTAAAAAATAATCACACTGTCATTTATTGATTTTATGACCTTAATTTTAGTATTTTTCCAGCATTTTATTAAGAAATAAGTATGCTGTTTGACGCTAAAAAACGTGACGTCACAATACACAATCTCGTACAAAATTCATAGAAGTATCGTTTTTGACAGGTCGAAAAAAGTATTTAATTTGACTAGTTGGCAAGTACCTACTCAATTGAAAAAATTGTGCTTAATTCAATTCCTCCATGGTCGGCAATGCATTGGCTCGAGCTTTGTTGATACCGTAAGTACCTATATAGTACGATTATGTAGTTTCTTACCTGTACCATTTTCAAAATGATTAAAAAGTTGGCTTAACATGACGTACTCCTTGTTGAAAAATCCAAGCTCTTTTATGTATTCTGCTTTCCATTCGTCAAATCTTGGCAAGCACTTCACAAACAGATTGAGAGTCGAACTGGTTCCATTCTGCTCCACATCCAAGAACAGTTTTATATGGTCTCCTAAATACCCAAGAACTTTGTCGGGAAAGTCCTCCAGTCTCCATTTTAGCACTTTATTAAAACCACATTTTTTCGCAATTGATTTAATTTCTTCTTCAGTTAATAATTCCATTGTGAGCGTGCTTCTCGGTATGTTTGCGAAAACCTAGTGTTATAGTCGCTCTCTGTTGATGATTTGAGTAATGTATGGAGATAAGGCGGAAACATTGACATAAAATACAGTGGGTATATAGGCTTTTTTGTTTAACTTTTTATTTATTAGATAGTGTTAGATAATATTTGAATTGAGGTATCTGTTTGATATAATACCTACTTCAACTGTTGCTATCAACTATTTAAGTAAGTACTGGATAGATATGTTTATGTGTGTAAAGATTTTCAAATATTATCGATCGATATAAGAATTTATGGTTCATTCCCATATTACCCCAAGCGGGAGAATATAGTAGTTTTTAATCGGAGGAAGATGGAAGTTGCATTAGGCCCCGAAATATTTTTAATTAGGTGTATATTTTTTATATAACCGCATCATCACAAAACAAACGACACCTCAATCAAATTATTTGAATGCAAAAACAACGTTGAACAAAAAAGCACTTGACATAATTAAGTAAGTAGTACTGAAATTTAAGATATGAAACTTTTGTGAAGTTAACCTAAACAGCAGCTGTAGCCAAATGCCATTTAGCGTTTGTCTACATATAGAATAGAAAACCAAATTATATGGAATTGACGTAAATTTTGACTCTTGTCAGTGTCATCCCCATACATTTTGATTTCTACTCTCAAACTCAAACTCAAGTCTTTATTTGCATGTTAAGGTAATACATGCAGGTCATTACAGGTCTTATGAAATAACAGGCACAGCTTAACGGCCTTTTTCAGGCGTTGCAAATTTTAGGGGTGAGCTTAATATAAATTACATTTTGGACTTGTCTCTCTGTAGACAAGCGCTAAAGTGGCGTTTGGCTAGAGGCCCAGGGACGCTGGGATCACGTGGATTAATGTAACACAAGGAACACACCAAAAACGTAAACTTAACACTGTTAGATACGGTTTTGATTCTAATTTCAAACTTTTAGACCAAGTTAGAGAGACGTACAATAGTTCAATTTGACGATTCGATTACCTTCCGTTACTTTAAAAAGGTACTGCGTTAACGAGTTTTGACAATGAATGACATTGACAGTGAACTGAAATATCACGTCCCGTTCATTGATCCCTTCCCAAATAATCGCGATAGACCTTGAACTCAAATCTCACGCAGTTCAAAATTAATGAGATTGGTTTGCAAAAAATATGACCCAGTGCATTTTGAACTTTATTATTAAAAACATAATTGCGATAACTCTTTTTAATTGTTAGAGTTTATTTTTTAGTCGGCTCAGTAACCAACCAATGTTAACATTACATAACATCACGCCTTTTATCCCCGAAGGGGTAGGCAGAGGTGTACATTATGCCACTGTACAATGTAACACCCACTTTTCACTATTTATGTTATGAGTCCCATGTAATAGGGGGTGAGCCTATTGCCATATACCGGACACAATTCCAGACTCCGTGCTACTACTGGGATTTTTTGAAAAACCCAGTAATACTTTGCCCGACCCGGGAATTGAACCCGAGACCCCTTGCCCGGCAGTCGCACTTGCGACCACTCGGATCACTCCAAGTCAAGCAGGCAGGCAACCAATGTTACTGTACTGAATCAATCAGTTATCTTACAGCTTGCATACCTCCTAAAACTGGGCTGACTGAATATTTAGTTTTAAAATTAAAGGATCTTAATAAAGGAGGGTTCCCTTTTAAGTAATGCATCGCAATTTTGGTATCACACGTGTCTGAAATAAATGTTATGGATAAAAAACATCTGATTTTATAATTAAAATATTTATTTAACTTCTAAAAATAACTTAAAAACTAAACACCAAACAATGAACTAGAAGAATGTAAGTCTAGGAAAGGTTCGTGCGTCATTTTATTAAGTCTCTTTTCTTTTACGGCTTCATAGTTGGGAGTCCACAACTCTGTGACCTTCGGGGCGTAAGGTCCATTCAACTTGGAACTAGATTCTTCGTCATCACTTGTGTCTTCATCAATTTCCATAGGTTTATCTTCTTGTGAGTCATCATCAAGCTGTTCTATGTCTTCTGTGCCGGATAGACGTTGCAGGAATGTAGTGCAGAGCAGGCCTACTGAGGGCACCATGTGTGGTGATGCTAACGAGAACTGGAAGAAGGAAATAGAATTTAATTAGCGAGGACTTTGGGCTGCAAATGATAATAAAATTACAAGGATATGTCATGTATGTATTGTTTATTTAGTGCTTGTATTAATTTATTTTGTTGCAAAATTTTTGTCATTTTTGCTATTGATTGTTTATTTCGCCGGCCCCGGGCAATAAAGTGGTAATTTCAAAAGTCTAATTTTACAGGAAAAATAAAAGCTAATTTGTTTATAGTGCAGCCCACAGTCATGCAAAACAGGCGTTCAAAATGTCACAAAAAAGCTAATTTTTTTATCAATTTAACCTTTTAAAAATAATTGTAATAATATAATTACTTAATGAAATAATTGAAAATATGTATAATACTAATTATACATAATACTGTTTCAATTGTAACATCATTAATGACTTTATATCAATAAAGATGTTTTTGGTATCTATTTTAAAGAAATGTTAATGAAAAAAAATCGAAAAAAATTAGAGTGATAGATTGACACCCAGAGAAGCCAAAAATCAAATAACATTAAAAAGAGCGTAACCGGCGTTTACCGCTTTATTGCACGGGGCCAGCGATTTAATGCCTGTTATAATTTATAATTTATATTGTGACTAATTTTTGACATTTTATTAATTATTTATGTTACAATTTTGAATATGATGAATATTTTTATACTTTAAATAGTGTATGCCTAATGGGCAGCTTTTTGCGCTACTATAATAATAATTTTAAGACCCTTTTGTATCACCAAAAAGCACACGAATAAATACTTTGACTTTGACTTTGTATTTGCATGGAAAAGATAGCTAACCTCTTTAAAAGAGGTCTTGCTGTAATCTCAAAGTTTGGCAAATTATTAAAAGGATGCTAACCACCTATTAATCGATGACTATCTAATCTTGGTTTTAGATAATACCCAACTCGCATTTTAAAGTAGGTATTTTTGCATTAATATATCATAATTCTAAAAAAAATATAGGAGATAAAACTGGCGACGACTAATTGTCATTTTAAAAAGATAATAATGTGATGATAAGGTCAACGTACTAAACATCTTGTTGTTCATCGAACTTTTAATGCGACCTAGATAGATAATTCTTTGACAAGTAGAAACAAGAACAGACAAGTTCTTTAAGTAATTTCTTTGACGTTAGGTTTTGAGAACGACAGCGATAATGATTGCCAATGTCATCATTGGTTTGGGTAAGTCCATTCACTGTTGATGAAATTAACATAGGCCGGCAGCGCACATTTTTTTGTTTTTCAATGGGATAAGCCCGCTGCAACCTCCCAAAACCGCTGCAACTCCTGTAAGCCAGGATCTACAGTAGATACAACCATGAAAACACCGGAACACTGAAGTCTGACGCGTCTCAGGGACATGAATAACTGTCTTGGTTCCCGCAACGAAATGAATCAGAAGATATTATAAGAGGAGAAGAATAAAACGATAGTTTCCACTTCCCTCAGTGAATTACTGCAGGAGACAGAATGAATTAATGCATTAATCCTAAAGGCTCAAAAAGAGACTGTACAACTGAGAGAAGCCCAGTCGCCATTACAGTCGGCAACGCACTAATAACTTCTCTGGTGTTGTGGATGTCCATGGGGTGTGCCGATTGTTTACCATCAGATGATTCGTATGCTCGTTTACCATCTTATCCCACAAAAAAAAGAAAATCACCATAATCTCTACAACTGCCTGGTGATGTTGGGATCAAGGTTTAGGCTTTGACAATTTTTATAATAGAAAACTGTTGAAGTGAAATCTTCTACTTGTGTCGTTGGTAACAATCATGGCGTTGAACGTGATAGGTCACAGAATTAAAAGAGAATAATATTTTAGAAGTTACCAAAGAAGTTTGGGGAATAAATTAAAAATAATAATTCTTTGATAGACTACGCTTTCTTATAAAACCGACGTCTATCTTCTCTTTTTTTTTGAAGTCGGTTAATTAGTATACTAAAACCGTCTCCTAAATGTATCAAAATTAAATAATTTTCTGAAGGCCACGTTAAAATCGGTTTCAGCCAATCGTGAGACAATCGCACACCATTGTACAGTGGCATAATGTACACCTTTGCCTACCCCTTCGGGGATAAAAGGCGTGATGTTATGTTATGTTATAAAACATCCATGCAGGTCGAACCGACAACCTTTATTTTCTTTCCTTAGTCGGCAAAAAATTTATATCATTGTATGAAAAATGAAAAATGAACAGATTTATCTATAAACAGTGCTTTCTATATAACGAGATATCTACGAATAGTATTTTCTACCAACAAAGTTTTCGGCAAAACGAGCTGCCTAAGAATAGAGATTTCTATGGCTAGTACTTTCTATGGAACATGATATCTACGAAAACTATTTTCTACCAATAAAGTGTTCGGCAAAACGAGCTTTCTAAGAATAGAAATTTCTAGTAGTTTTTTTTTATAGCATAAGCCGGTAAACGAGTAGACTGATCACGTGATGGTAAGCAATCGGCGCCGCCCATGGACACTCGAAACACCAAGGCGTTAAAAGTGCGTTACCGGCCTTTTGAGAATTGGGAATTTGAGGATTGTGGAGGATTCGGGGATTCAGGAAGGGGGGTAATTGGGCCTCCGGTAACCTCACTCACACGACGAAACACAACGCAAGCGTTGCTTCACGTCGGTTTTTTATGAGACCGTGGTATCACTCCGGTCGAGCCTGCCCATTCGTGCCGTAGCATGGCTCTCCCACACTTAATTTTTCTTCTATATGCATTTTTCTTCTATTGTTATTGTTTCTATATAACGTTCCACATTCTTTTTACCTGTGCTATAGTGGAGCCGGCGAGGTTGTTTACATCGAAGACGTTGCCGTCACCGGTTGCCGGCGTGACCTCCGACAGTTGTTGCTCGGCCAACAGCGCGCTAAAGTTGGATGTAGGCAGCTTACGGTGAGATATCACTTCTAACCGACTCTCTTCAGTCTTCTCCGGTTCTAAACAGTAGATTTCCTGAAAGAAAAAAAAAATGGTAATAATACAGTAGTAACTTACTATTATTGTTTATTACTTTTTTATACTACATCTTATTTTGTGAGTTCAATTTTATTTACTTAAGATATATTTCTGTATTTTGCTTTTTTCAATTATGAACTTATTTTAATTATGAAATTATGACTGCCTCGTTGGCCGAGTGGTAGCAAGTGCGACTGCCAGACAAGGGGTCTCGGGTTCGATTCCCGGGTCGGTCAAAGTATTACTGGGTTTTTAAAAAATCTCAGTGGTAGCACGGAGTCTGGAATTGAGCCCGGTATATGGCAATAGGCTCACCCCCTATTACATGGAATTTATAACAAAAAAAATAGTGAAAAGTGGGTGCTGCATGGCGGCATTAAGTGCCGTAATGTGAATCTCTGCCTACCCCTTCGGGCATAAAAGGCGTGATGTTATATGAATTATGAATAAAATTTCATTTATGTATTGCAACCGTTTCAGGGACTATTGAATAATATATGTGTCCGTATTTTTTATTCTATCTAATAGACATTCTGTTATTGACAGTTTTAGATTATTCCAATTATGAGCCCTGTTGTGTCTTGAAACTAGTTGATCATACTCGAATGAGTTAATGCGACTAAGCGCTAAATAAGATAATATCATTATTATAATACTTACAGAATCGTTCCTCATTAGATACAATCGGATTTCGTCATCGAAACAAGTACCGAAAGTGCATTGTTTGAACACTCCTGTAGATGGGTCTAGTAGTCGCTTCTTTGTCAGCACAGGAGTCGAACTGTGTGGTGAGAATACGTGAACTGAAATAAAGGTTTTATTACGGTGTTATTAAACTATTGTATTTGGTCAATCGATTTTCGACTTTAAAACAAAAGAATAAGGTCGAAACTTGAGTGACAGAGTCGTACATAAAGTTGGGAGTACTTAAGACGACATAGGCAACCTTACATGGAAAAATCATGTGAGTAAAGTCGCGAATGAAGCATAGTTACTTACGGTCATTATTAGTTGTAACTACAGCCAATTTGTTGGAGAACCTGTGAGAGACTAGGCACGTCGGATTGATTTGCACGAGCCATTTTACAGTCAGCGATAGTAAACTCCACACAGCTAGACATGTTTCTGTTGTGCATACCAACTGGAAATTAAGAAAATATGATAATAATAATTATAGATATGTGAAGTTACTGGTAAACGGTGGCCACTGCTGACAAAAGACCTCTTCCCACACGAGAAAGATTTAAGCAGAAAACCGACGTGAAGCAACGCTTGCGTTGTGTTTCGTCGTTTGAGTGAGGTTACCGGAGGCCCAATTACCCTCCCCTTCCCCAATCTCCCAAATTCCTGAATCCCTAACGATCCTCAAACTCCTAATCCCCAAAAAGCCGGTAACGCACTTGTAACGCCTCTGGTGTTCCAGGTGTCCATGGGCGACGCCGATTGCTTACCATCAGGTGATCGGTCTGCTCGTTTACCGGATTATGCCATAAAAAAAAGCATTAATCACCATGCTTCCTCAATGCGGGTTGGCAATTTCAAACTTACAATTTGAAATTATAATCCCAGGTTTACTAACGATGTTTCCTTTACCGTTTTTCATTGGTGTCTAAATAATCTTAGAAAGTACATACGACTCGGAAAGCCGCATTACTACTTTGGTAGGTTTCAAACCTTCATCCATGAGTAGCAGACGTCTTCCGGGCCACCAGGATAGACAATATAAAATATAATATTATTATACCCATATATCTGCAAGCGGTCACCGGTGACCGCTCTCCACTAACTACATTATAGACCTTATTTTCAATGTTTAGAGACTACTTTTGTATGAACAAATTTAGATTATGATTTTCAACGGGTTAATTAATACTCACATAATGCGCAGCATCCCTGTTTCCGAATTGAACGTGTACTCCTTTAGGCCTCAGCGCAGGATGAGATAACGTAGTACTGAGGTTACACAGGTGTGTGTCCCATAAGGTCAACTTGCAACCAAACCAAGCGGCGATTAGCGAACCATCCTGAGATATAGCTACACCGCCCATGTCAAACTCACTATCTCTCTTCGTCGACACTTTAGCTTCATCAATAACCAACGACTGTTCTTTATGGATATTAAACAACTTTTTAATCACATCATTTTTGTTATCAACTTCTCTTAAGTACGGCAAGTCCTCATCCCTCCCAGGCTTGTGCTTGAAGCCATCTTTGAAACCGTTGAGAACGTCATTCGATATGAACTGACCAATCCCGGACGAGTAATAGCATGCAGTCAAACAACTCCATGCGAACTTTTTGCTCTTATTCGACGATGAAGTGTTCTCTTTCTTCCATATCCTGAATTTTTGGTCAGAGCCAGCTGATACGCAGAAATCGCCTTTATAGTTAAGTGACAGAGAGACTACATTGCAACCTCCGTGGGATAGGTTGACGCAAGTGTTTAGTTGGAAAGGTGTGGCGTTCTTGTACTGTGCTGCCCAAAACTTTAGTTTCTCTTCTGGGTAGGTTATACCATCGTTTCTATACTCGGAGGTAACCAGCCAATCCCCGTTCCCACTGACAGCTGCACAGGTCACTTCAGTTTCCAATGGCAATAGATTCCACCTTTCTGATGGTAAGTTGTTCAATCCTGTTATGTCTAACTGTAAATAGGAAATATTTTTTTTTGAATCATCTATTTTAGTCCCAATATTTTCAAAGGGGGACAATTGAGGGCTTCATTTAGAACTATTTAAACTGGATTAACTTCAAGTAGGTACATAACTTATGTCTCCAAAATTGTCACCCAATGGTTAAATGCAAAGCGCTGAAGATGGAGTTCAGCTAGGCTTATCTCTAACTGTCAATTGGGACTTTCGAAGTGAGTTCGATCGCATTCTCGCCCGTCATTGGTCGAGATTATTCTTACAACGAATGACATAGCGAAACGCGGTCGAGTTCACTTCAATCTTCGAATTGAAAGTTACAGAATAGCCTTGTACGAGTTGTAGAAGTTAACTACGTACATTGATTTGTAGTGAAGGTGAAGTTGGTGTAGTGTAGATAAACACGTTTCGCCCTATAGCATTGAGTAGTTAGTTTATTGCAATTAAATCACAATATGAACGAAAGGCGATTATTTCTCTCAGTTGTTGTAAGCTACCAAGTTATAAGTTGACTATATTTTAATTCGTCCACGTTGTATTTTTACGCGAAGTTGTACGCGCGTCGTTAGCCTAAAGTAGGTTGCTGCGTAAACAGAAAACATGTGCGGTGGTGAAACCTGTACGGTTTAGTAGCCTAGTAGTGGCGTATTATCGGAAAGGTTTAGGTACAGAATTGGTTAAAAATTGGTTGATGGTGTGACTTACGTTATAAAGCACTTTATCAGTGTTAGTAGAGTACAGCTGCAGATGTCCAGTGCGCGCGGCCGTGAGTAGCGCGGCCAGCGGCGGCACGTGCAGCAGCGCGCCGCCCACCGCGCGCGCCGCCGGCGACACGCCGCCGCACTCCAGCAACGTGCCCAGCACGCGCAACTGGGCGTTGGCTATCACAACCGCTAGGGAATTTAAAAAAAGACTCCATTAGACAAAAGTGATACGCTCTCCAAAAGGTGTTCGACTTTATTACAAAGTGATATGGTTAAAAGTTGCAAATCTAAGTTTGACAGAGTAGTGTAGTTATTTTTAAATTCATGCCCTAGATATTTTGTACCCTTGTTTTAAAATGAGAGTATTGCCTTATTGAACAGTCTATATTGTATTACTCACAATTTTAACGTAAAGTCGGTTAGTACTAATTTTGAAAACAATTTTAAACTGTCAAACACCAAGCGGTGACCGCAACCTATTGTTCTATAATTGTGTCTACAAAACCGGTACTCGACGAGTTAAAGGATAATATTATGTTTAATTTGTTATAAGTAATTTTTAAGAGACTGCTCCGTAATAACAATTGGGCCGAACGTATTTTTCCTCACCAGATGGCGGTAGTGTGAACCTCTCGTTCTTCGTCCAATAGAGAACTAGCTAGTGACACGCCATTAGGCGTTCAATATTTGACAACTGCTATGATTGGTGTGCGTTACCCAGGCAAAATGTTTTGCTTTAGAGAGATGAGACTTAAACAAATAATTAGTGTATCATGAGGAGCAATTTGTTTACTAATAGCAAAATTTGTTTGAATTGTAGTTTTTAAGTTATTTAAGAAAAACAAATTTTGCTGGAGTAACGTTTGAAACGTTACCCAGGCAAAATCGTCTTTCAAAAATTAGTTTCAGCACGGAACCAAATACATGAATAGATAGCTTTTGTTGAGTAGTAAATGTTTATAAATAGCAAAATTTGTGTGTGGTATAGTTCTTTAGTTATTTAAGATTTTGCTGCGGTAACGTTTTGGGATTTCCCAGATCTCGAAAACGGCTCAACGCAGAAGTTTGAAAAAAATACCAATAAAAGACCTCAATTTGTTTAAATTTGTTTAATCATTAGTTTTTGATTTGGTTGACGTAAACCAATGTAATTAAATGGTTTCAAAAATCAGAAGAAACGGGTTTGCAAGTAAACCAATACACTTATAACCAAATAAACAGCTGTAAAAAATACCCGTGGTTCGACGCTTGTTTACAGCAGACATTTTAGATTTCATACTTTACACGTTAAGAAGATAAAAACAAATTTGATTTATTTTAGACTGGTCGTACTTTAGCGATCGAATACGCAGTTCCCATAACATTAAGAAACATGGCATACTTTAAACAAATTAAAATGATTCATGAAAATTCCTTCCTGTTAATTTCAGCTTTGAATTACGGCTCTAATGAAAGTTATCTCAAAAACAAGAATATGTCAGCAATTCTCTAATAAGCCGACCAAATTGAAAAGGTCACGTAAAAGCGACTGCACCGTACGTACGGGTAATCTTCGCAAATTAGCAGCTTGGTAACCGATGTTTTGTACAGTTAAGCAGAAAAACGTTATTCGTGAAGCCGATTTTTTAATATTTTTTAAGTGCAGTACCATATTACACAATTTTTACTAGTTAATGCCAATTAAAATGCCATACTGTGAGTCGAGGTGAAATGGAGTCCACCTATCAACCTACGTTATTAGTACCTCCTAAGGAAAATTGTACAAACTATTAATGTATCCAAATATTAAAATTAAGTAAGTAGGTTATAACTTATCTGTGATTTTTCTCTAAAAATGTTGATGCTAAGGCAAAGCAATACATATAATTTGTATGAGACTGATTTTTTAAATAAAAATAATGAATCTTAACCATTTTATTATTTTAACTAACCTGACCAGAAAACTTTTGTATTCAACTGTACTAACAAAACATCTATATTATCCTGTTCATTTCAGATGGTTGCGCTTATGTATGGTGCGGTCGCTTTTATGTGACCTTTTCAATTTGGTCGGCTCATTAGAGAATTGCTGACATAATCTTGTTTTTGAGATAACTTTCATTAGAGCCGTAATTCAAAGCTGCAATTAACAGGAAGGAATTTTCAGGAATCATTTTAATTTGTTTAAAGTATGCCATGTTTCTTAATGTTATGGGAACTGCGTATTTGATCGCTAAAGTACGACCAGTCTAAAATAAATCAAATTTGTTTTTATCTTCTTAATGTGTAAAGTATGAAATCTAATATTTCTGATGTAAACAAGCGTCGAACCACGGGTATTTTTTACAGCTGTTTATTTGGTTATAAGTGTATTGGTTTACTTGCAAACCCGTTTCTTCTGATTTTTGAAACCATTTAATTACATTGGTTTACGTCAACCAAATCAAAAACTAATGATTAAACAAATTTAAACAAATTGAGGTCTTTTATTGGTATTTTTTTCAAACTTCTGCGTTGAGCCGTTTTCGAGATCTGGGAAATCCCAAAACGTTACCGCAGCAAAATCTTAAATAACTAAAGAACTATACCACACACAAATTTTGCTATTTATAAACATTTACTACGCAACAAAAGCTATCTATTCATGTATTTGGTTCCGTGCTGAAACTAATTTTTGAAAGACTATTTTGCCTGGGTAACGTTTCAAACGTTACTCCAGCAAAATTTGTTTTTCTCAAATAACTTAAAAACTACAATTCAAACAAATTTTGCTATTAGTAAACAAATTGCTCCTCATGATACACTAATTATTTGTTTAAGTCTCATCTCTCTAAAGCAAAACATTTTGCCTGGGTAACGCACACCTATGATTGGATAAAAACCTTTTTCTACATTTGCACCATATGGCGGCTAAAAATACGGTAGCCCCAAGGACGAAGAGAACATTAAGCTATCTTATGGTAGAATATTATATTACTATACTTACAATTATTAGTTAAAGTCAAGGCCACATGTGTGTTGTTAGTTGTGATAAATCGAATCATGCCCGGTAGACGAGGGATGAAGTTCTTTTCATTGGCTCTGTACGCTAAGTCACCAATTGTCCATTTTACCAGCACCTTCTCCATTCCACCAGTGTAGAGATAGTTGCCTGGAATATATGTTCATGATAAGTTAATCGAAATAAATGATTTTGACTTTGATTTTTACATTGAATTGAAAAGCATACTGATATAGTATAAATAGATTATTTTTAAACTATGTTTAATATGATACCTTGTAAGGAGAAACAAGTAGCGAGTGGCGGCAAGAAATGCCAATGTAGCACTTCCCTTGCTACTTGCTTGTAATCATATAAATTTCCTCTTATGACCGTAGCTCGTCCTAAAGTATCTGTGATTGCTACGGCATTTGTTTTCTGATGTGCTGCCACTGACATTATTCGGTAACCATTATGATTGACTATTCTGTAAATGAAAATAATTTTTGATACCATTATTAATCAAAAATTTGAATTATTTATCAAAAATACATAAACATCTTAGCAATTTGCCATGTTTTGAATCAGACAAACTGGTTTCTGCAAACTTTCTTATCCTTATACATTGGTTTGGTACATCTTCATAATGAATACACTTGCGAATGTTCCCATAGAATAAAATTGTAATTCAAAGAAAGTAGTTACCTTGTTTTTAAATGTGGTTGCTGTAGATTTTGTATGCATAGCACTTTTGTTCCGTTGCTCACTGCTGCATATCTATCTCCGTTGCACCAACCTAATGCCACGCATATCATGTCTCCGTACATCGGTTTTGTATCCTGATAGTCATAAAGTAGTTTTCCAGTTTTTGTGGAGTAAGTGTTGAGGTTTAGGCACTTGTTATTCGGTTGACTCGTTACAATACAACACTCTGTGCTGTCGATTAAGTCAAATGTGAGGACTTTTGTATTTGTTGGCAGATTGAGTTTCTGTAAATTACATTGAATTATGTAGTAATTGCAGGTTTAATGATTTGTTATGTAATTTTAACAGTGGGGTAGCGAGCCTTGGCGGGGCCTTGTATAAAAAATTTTTGCGGGCAGCAATATTTTTTTCATAAATATAATTCAAACTTGTGATTTGTAAAATAAAACTTTGAGAATTTTTTATAAATTTTTGCTTACGCACGTTAGGGGCCCCTGTGACCCGTGGGCCCCGTATAATTGATATGGCAGATACGATGCTAGCTACGCCCCTGAATTTTAAAATAATTATTAGTTATCTTTTATTCCAGGAAGGGGTGATAAAGGACAGATGACAGAGACATAAATTACACTATTTTTCTCCTGTACACTAAAAGTATTTCAGATCTTATGTTGCCTCAGCAAGATTGACAAATTAAAAAATTTAAAACATATTATTTGTAACATATTCATCTTCTGTTTTAACTGTGCACTTTAAGTGCCATCAGCATTAGATCAGAGAAACTGAATTGAAAAGCAAATTCAGTTTTTCTGATCTGGCTGAGTCTAATTTACTTTATAAAATGTTGATATCAAATATCCTACATTTATATTTATATTTACCTTACACAATATCTTAACAACAATGAAGTATAACTTTGCTAGAAGATAGTGGTTGGAAGTTGTAACAGTAATTAAAAAATACTGTTCAGCTAAATACTTACAATTTCCCTAAGAACAGCCCCATTTGCCCAGGTCCATATAGTAACATAGCCAGTATCGGAACATCCATACAAGTTGTAGTCCTCATTTTCGGGGAATTGTATCGCTATCAGCTCATTTACAGGACTTTCAGTTTCTAGTATACGAACACATTCCCCAGTCTGAATATTGTACACTCGTATTATATTCTCAACAATTATTGCTATTGACCTGTAAACCATCACGAACATGTTGATATTACATACATTTTATGGATAAAAAGAAGTTCAAAAACAAAATTTAACTTACTCTCCATCCGGTGAAAAAACGGGACGACGTTCGATAATACTTCTGCCAGCTTTTCTATAAAAATTGTATTTCACACTTTTACCACCATCACCATTAACCAATACACCCATTTTTAAGAAATTTTAGTCAATAATATGATCAATTTATTCAAAACATTTAAATAAACACACGGATTTTACTCTCGAACAACATGAGATAACCTCAATCTCTTTTTGGCATTTGTGTTCCATAATACATTTTATTTTACTTGCATAACAAAACATTCGAGTGAAATAAAGAACATTGAAAAGAAAGCAAGTAAGAGAGAGATGTCAGACTCCACTTTATGCTTTTCAAAATGGAGTTGACATGTGCAAGGTTTTGATTTGGAACGCTACAGTATTTCGTCCGGAAATCATTAATATTTTTAACACAAAAGGCATGATAATAATCTGCAGAATCTGGAAGCATTAAATCAATAAATATTGATCATTATTTAAAATAATGTGAATCCCATATTATCAGTAACAAATAAAATTTTCGTAAATAAGAACTTCTTGTTCCAATAAGTCTATGGCTGTGATTTTAAAACGTTCACAATAAAGTCATTAATTATTGTCAAGTCAAATTCTGAGAGCATGTGTCAATATTTGTCTATTTTTCAGACGGCACTCAGATTTAAAGTTATCGTGAAGCTGTTCAGTTAATTTGATATTTAGTGTGCAATCTTTCTAAATTATCGTTTTTATGTAAATAGGCCATAATGTCTACCGAAGTAGCTGAAGTTCAGCTTCAAGTGCGGTTTATAACCAAACAAGAACAGTAAGTATCAATACTTTATACGGCGTGGCGATGAAGGTGTATTCGCATGAGGCACATGTTTAATATGGTTTTTGTCGTAGATATGCTGTACCGGACAGTCCATACGCTATACAAAGCAACGTCCAAGTAGCAGATTTGAATACTTTGGTTAATGCCTTGTTGAAAGAGACCAATGCTTCAATAGAAAAGGCGGTAGAGTTTGACTTTCTAGTATGTGGGGAACTGTTGTGTTCGTCGCTCTCAGAACACCTGCAGGAGAAAGGTGCATCGACAGAAGATACATTGGAAATAGAATATCTTGAAAGATTCCCGGCGCCATCACCTCAGGACTGTTTGATGCACGATGACTGGGTGTCTACAGTACATGCACATACTAACTGGTAAGTCCATCATTACTATTCAGCAAATCAATTTTAGTCAAGTATGTCAATGGATTGAGATGTTTTTTGAGCGTAATTTACTATACGAAAAATTGTTGCACAATTTCATGTCATCTGAAACTTAGTTTCATGACCCCTGTGGTTCTTACTAATAAAATATTGTTCTTATTATTTTTACAGGATATTATCTGGTTGCTACGACAACAGTATTCATATTTGGAGCACTAAGGGTCAACATAAACTGGCCATTCCGGGCCACACATCTCCTGTCAAAGCAGTTTCTTGGGTATCTTTTGAAGGTGACCAAGCAGTGTTTGTCAGGTAATTGAATGGTTTTTATTAACAGCAGAAGATAATGCTATTTTGATCCATTGTTTCTTATTAATATTGGTTATTGAATTCCTAAACATCAATATTGTTCATTCTTTCAGTTATAATTTATCCACTACTGGTTAAGAACCTCCCTCGTTATGTACAATAAGGCATAGTTTTGTGTATTCCTAGTCTATCCATTTTGATCATATCTTCTACCTTACACATGTTAATCGGTCAAAATACTTACTTGAAATTTGAGTCTAGATGATTCAAAATTTTTGCAGTAGTTAATCGGCATTGTGGCCATTTGCTACAACCACATGCTATATTATGTCATCATAACATTTTGTTAATCTGATTTCAGTGGTTCTCATGACCAGTCAGCGATGTTATGGGTGTGGAATGTTCCTCGTAACTCTGTGGACTGTGTGGTGACCTGCCGTGGTCATGAGAAGGGTATTGAGTGTCTTGCAGTTTCTGCTGATGCTACCCGCTTTGCGACTGGCAGTTGGGATAACAATGTCAGCTTATGGAGTACCAGTAAGTGTTTTCATCATCATCATCATCATCAACATCCTATAAATGCTCACTCCTGAGCAAAGCCTCTTCTCACACGGAGAAGGTTTGAGCATTAATCACCACGCTTGCTTAATGGCTTAAGTGTTTTCACATAAGATTAATTGATGAGTGCCTCGCTGGCCGAGTGGTCGCAAGCGCGACTGCCGTGCATGAGGTCTCGGGTTCGATTCCCGGGTAGGGCAAAGTATTACTGGGTTTAAAAATAAAATTCTCAGTAGTGGCATAGAACCGAGCACAATGGCAATAGGCTCATCTCCTATTACATGGGACTCATAACATAAATAATGAACAAGTATATGTTACTACATTGTACATGCCACTAAGTGCCGTAATGTGCACCTCTACCTACCCCTTCGTGGATAAAAGGCGTGATGTTATGTCATGTTACTAATTGATGAGTTCAATTAAAAGCTCTTTTGATTTATTTGAATTATTTCAAAGAAATGTCATCAATTCATCTTAGCCAAATGTTGGACATGTGAAAACCAGCGTGCTCATTAAGGGTGAGGAGTTGAGCCCTGTAGATTCTACTGTCTTTTTAGGTATAACCCTAGACGCTAAGCTCCAGTGGGCTCCACATATAAATAAGTTATCAAAAAGGCTCAGTTCTGCAGCATATGCCGTTAAAAAAATTAGAAATCTAACCGATGTAGATACAGCGCGATTAGTATACTTTAGTTATTTTCATAGTGTTATGTCATATGGTATTCTCTTATGGGGGAATGCTGCTGACATTCAATCTATCTTTGTTCTGCAGAAGAGGGCCATTCGATCAATTTATAATCTTAGTCCGAGGTACTCTCTCAGGGAACTATTTAAAGAAATTAATATAATGACGGTTGCTTCTCAATACATTTATGAAAATTTAGTATATGCTCATAAAAACAAAAGTTTATTTAAAAAACATAGTGATATACATAATATAAACACGAGAAATAAAGACAAATATGTTGTTCCCACTACTAGACTAAAGAAAATAAGTGGTTCGTTTAGATGTCAGAGTATACGCTTTTACAATAAGATTCCCAGCCATATCCAAAATTTGAGTCTAAATAAATTTAAAAATGTCATTAAAGATAAATTTTATAGTAAAGCTTATTATAAAATAAAAGACTACCTAGATGATAGTCTGGCTTGGGAATAAGCTGCTGTAACGTCCACACAGGTCATGTTGACATGTTTGTAACATATAGTTACATTTCTTTTTTTATATGCAATTTGACATTATTGTTTTAATGTGACATTGTTTTTCATATGTTGTTCTAACTTGACATTTACTTTTTATTTAACAATTGTTAGTGCTAGGACCGTGCGAGACTTTGCCTCACCATTTCTTTTCTAATTACCCTTTTTCTGACAGTTTGAGTATTTGTGCGACCCACGCAAATGTTCTTTAGGTTGGTATTGTTCGTCGAATCAGTCAGCCTCACCTGTTAATTGAGCTGACTGTAAACCGACACATGCGTACTGCCTTCAGAACGGGTCCGCTCAAACTGTTGTGGTTCTTTCCTCAAAAGCCCACTACAGAAAGAACTGGCACGGTTCTCACACATAATCTGTTATACATATTGTCTGGACTTTAAAAGAGACAGACCTCTGAGTTTGTTTCGGCATTTCTTCTCAGAGTAGTCAGTTAGGAAATGTCGACCTCATCGTTCGCTTGATAAAATTGACGTGTAAAAGTGCTGCCTTGTAGCCTATTTGCAGAAATAAATTCACTTGTTTCACTTGTTTCACTTGTTTCACTTGTTTCACTTGTTTCACTTGTTTCACTTGTTTCACTTGTTTCACTTAGCCACACTCATTACAGAAGATAATATTATTATGATTTTAATTATTTTTCTAGGTCTAACAGAGGAAGACAGTGCACCTGCAAAGAAAAAAAGTAAACCAGATCATGGGAAAGCTAGGGTAAGTGCTTGTTTTTTTTTCAAAGTGATGTGTATAGGATATTATTTTAATTTTTCCGTTTAGGACTAACAAATATAAAATTTCACATACACATTATACTCAGACCGGAATGACAATTTGTGGATCGTACAAAGAGTTGCTCCGTACGTGAATCGAACCCGCTACACAACACAAGCCACCCGCGCCAACCGTACAGTAAAGTCAACTTCAGTTGAAAAAATATCAAGGAAAAATTTTAATTGTAAATATCATTTTATCATAAGAATTTATCAATTTCTAGGAGCCATTAACCACATTGAAAGGTCATCGAGAAGCAGTGTCAGGTGTACAATGGATGGACTTTAACACTGTACTGTCCAGTGGGTGGGATCATCTGTTGAAACTGTGGGACTGTGAACTAGGTGGCATCAAGCAGGAAATTGCTGGTAAGTGTTCATAAATTACTAGAAGTCCATGCTGCTCAAACTCAATTTGCTACTTATGTCCATGTAGGTCCGGGGCTCCGGCTCGACGTGCAGGAGAAGGTTTTTAGTCAGTAAGAGTCTGTCACTCCCTCCGGCCTCACCCAGGCGGGAGCAGTCATTCGATGATTTTCCCATGTAGATATGTAGTTTTGTTTGATTGAAGGCGCTTTCTCTAAATCAAGCTCTCTGGAAATTTCTATAGCAGAAGTTTACGTAAAAACATCTGTATCTATGAACAGAATTTATCAACACTGATGACTATGGACCCAGATTTCTACGAACAATATTGAAAGTCAAAGTCAAAATCGTTTATTTCAATTAGTCCAGGTTGGCACTTTTGAACGTCAACAAAAATTTTAAGTTGAAGAAATCCTATGCATAAGAACGAGCAAAAAACTCCATAGGTTACTATTTATCAATCAGGTTCACAATACAATTCTCTAGTTACTTTCTAGTTTCTATGAATGGTTTTAACGAAACATGCTTTTCCAGAATAGAGAATTTCATTAGCCATGCTTTCTGCTTCTAATAGGTAGTGTCGGACAAACGTTTATCTTAATCCACTATTATGAAAAATCACCACAACATTTGTTCATACAAAAGTAGTCTCTAAATATTGGTAATAAGGTCTATAATGGAGGAGAGCGGTCACCGATGACCGCTTGGGGACTGGGCAGTTTGTATATTACGTTCTCGGAGGACCAACCTCCAATAGTCTTGAAGAATTAATAGCAAGTTCAATAAATATGTATTCGCTTTCGCTCTTTTTGCAATACGAATGGTCTATTGGGGA